ATATATATATATACATATACATATATATATATATATATATATATACATATATATATCATCCGATGGAGAATGAAATGACCCTTTTATCCGTTCCATTCGAGTTGCCTCGTAAATCGTATATGAGTATATCAGTAATATAATGTGATCTTTATGACTAGTCCAAAATTTCCTCATATTTATTATAAGTACCACAAGAGACCATTTTCGTGATAAAATCAGATTACCCATTAAATTAGGAGCTTACTATTTAGTAATTTTTTTACTATCGATAATCTTTTACTTTTTATAATTCTTTTTAAAAAATTAATAAATAATATTTTATTATTTATCATCTTTTAATTCTAATTATATTTTTTCCGTACATCTTTTACAATTTGCCTACATACCATGCCTCTATCGATGTTATATATCATGCCTTTATCGATATTATATGTCGTCATTCATTGTTTCTAACTCGTGCATTTTGATTGTTACTCTCAGCTCATATTACCAATCAATTGTCACCCTCAACTTGTGCTTACCCTTAGGCTACAATCTCTATCTCGATTTATGAAATGAAGGAGGATATCTATGAAAGGATAATTTAAAATATTAATTTTTTTAAAATAAGATGATAAATAGTAAAGAGATATTATAAATTAGTAATCTTCTTAAATTATAATCAATTATTTGAAGATTGATTATATAAATTGATTAAAATAAAGCCATAATGAATGTTCCAATATTAATTTCAATTTCCTAATAGGAACCATCTACCTATTCATTAGAAGTTGGAGAGATGAATTATTAGTGATGAGTTGAGCCAATAAATTCTGGAGATTAAATCTTGATAATTAAAGGATAAATACATAGTTTTTGCCCAACATACTGTACACAAGAAAATTAGAATATGTGAACCAATTTGGGATAAAGAGAGTGCAGCGAAGAGCACAAATGGTGGGAAGAGAGAGCAGTCGTCGGAGCAGATAAAGCTGCAGATCTCACTGCTGTTGCCGCATTTTTCATGTTGATGCTGCAGGCAAATCGACAATGGCACCATCGTGCGCTGACAACTTCTCCATTCTCCACACCCGGAAAGACTAAAGGTCTCAGAAACGAGGAGTGTCTTGTGGCCGCGGAGGAGCCTGCACCGGCATGACCCTCCCCACTGCGCCAAAAGTTGGAGGCAAGCAGCAAGCACTTAGCTGCATCGGGCAAAAAGATCGAAGCAGGCAATCACTCATCTTTATCCCCCTCACCACTCTCATCCATGAATCTGCCAACTGCCAACAGCGACAAAAGCCAAAAGGACAAGAATGGGCCAACTTCAGCTTTGCACTGCAGCCATGGAGGACAAGAATGTGATGAGAACAAAAGGTGAGTTGGATCATCTTCGGCCTTTGGTTTTCCTTTTTTTCTCTGGATTTTTAGCTCTCCATATATGCGCATAAAACCTTCGATGGTTAATGCAGGATTAATGTTGATACTGCACAATGATATCTTATGTGATGCATTGGTCAGCCAATTTGCATGCCTCGTATATCTTGGCCACTTGAATGAAGGTGGAACAAAATATCATCATTGGTTCAGAAAGGCATATGGATGGAACAAGCAACCAAGAAAATTATTGAGGCACTTGCAAGTTTGGATCCACAACATTACAAGGAAGCTCAGAAAGCAAATTGGGTATCACAGCTACTAGTACTCCAGCTTGCATCATCCATGAAGCCACCCAAAGTTTTGTGGAAGGCAACTTGATTGATGTAGTTCCAAGAGATCAATGATTATTGCAGTTAGAAATAATCTATCATGTTCAATAATACAATAATTGTAATATGTTTTTTTGTCAATTATTTCAATTACAATCTCCTTATCATCTGACTTTTAGCAAAGCCTGAACCACACAAGAATGTTCATTCTTGATGGTTTCATAAATTAGTATCATGGGATTCTGAAACTTCAAAATGCTGCACTCCAGCAAACTTCAAGATTTCACTCTCTGATGGTCTCATAGATTGTAATTGTGTGATTCTGAACATCTAATGCCATTCCTATCATGGCACAAGAAAGTAATGCCTCCCTGATTTGCTTTTCTGGTAATCATTGAGGTCTACTGTGTTGGATTTGCATGGCTTGCTCAGACAAACAGCACCATGAGGTTGATATCCATTGTTGCTAACTGCTGTGATGAGTTTGTCTAATGCTAAATAAATGCATTGGGAAATAGAACATAAACTTTTTTTTTGTTTGTAGTGTCAAGGTTTTCTTGATGTCCTCATGCAGAAGATTTGTGATCTATCACCATGATTGTGTAGTCGTTATAGCCATCAATGCTGTCTGCTCCAATTTTCTCAATGAGAAAGCTTTGATGGATCCATTCTTTAAATCATCTTGCTTGATTTGGCAGACCACCTGCTCCAACCCTTCCTTTGAATCTTGGAATTTGATGACTGATTTTTATATAGATATTTGTGGTATGAACACAATGGAATCAGTTCATCTGCAGATACTAATGTCACATTGAAATAAAAAAAGAACTATTGAGAAATTGGTTGTGTATTTGTCTTACTCAAATTGGAAACTGTGATCCACCATCAGGGTTCTTCAGATCAAGCATTTGAAGTCACAGCTTGGTGGGTTTGGTAAAGCTAAAGGCATAATATTATCATTTGACAGACACAAGTAAATGGCAGAAGTTAAAATGTAATATTAAGAACTTGATGATGACATATGATACCACAAAGAGATCCATCAATAAATATGCTGAAATTAATGGGCCAAAATATGATTAGTTAGTTCATACTAATAGCCGATATCCAAAAAAGTGTTAGAGGGAAAATTGAGTTGATTTAGAAGATTAGAAGAGTTTATTATAGTTGACTTGTACTTAAATATTTTGATTCAGAAATTTAGATTCATCAAGTTAGTAGGTTCTCTTGGATAGCAACAATCAGTGAAAATTAAAAGTCATTTATCTGAGAAAATGAAAATTTATGGAAAGGTGGTGGTAAGTGAGAAGCTGTATTCTCTAATGGCTGATGACAGGTGTAACCAAGAACATAAACTTCTGTCATTGGTTACATATATCATGTGTTGCCTTCTGAGTGCTCTGCTTATGAGCTGCATCAGACTAATCTTGACTGTCCCAATAGTGGTTTTGACATGATAAGAGCCTTTTTGATGGATTGGCCACACTACCTTCTCAACCAATGGAGATATCAGAGGGATGGCAGAAAGGAGAAGGCTGTGGCTGTGGGCACTATTATTCTAACATATCAAGTTCTCTTTTCACCTCAAACCTTCTCTCTTGGTAATCTGAAGGAGGCAGCCTGCTGAGTTTTGGGGTCTTCTCATCACTTTTTTCACTGAAAGACTCTGCATTCACGCTGATCTCAACCAGCTGATACAGAAACCTCTGTTCTTGCTGTCTTCCATGTTGATACTGGTCATAACTGCTGTAAACACTGTTGTTTTTGTCTTCCAAGTTGATGATACTGGTTATAAATGCAGTCATCTGATCAGCTACAGACACTGTTCTTCTTGTCTTCCAAGTTTATACTTTTTCTAATTACAAACATCTGATCAAAACAAGATGATACAGAAACTGTTCTTTTTGTCTTCCAAGTTAATGAATACTAGCTCGAACTGCATTCACCTGCTCATAATCAAATCATGACTTGTTGGAAATGGCTTTGCTGAATCTTGAAACTGTTGATTTCATTGTCATCAGTCCTGAAACTGGTTAACAAGAATTAGGTTTGATGACAGCAGCCTTCCATTCACCATAACCACAAGCATCAAACCCCCTGAGCAAACTGTTGAGCTACATCTGCTGTCTCTGCTAAATGAGGAAGTGACTACCAGGGAACATCCAAATGCCAGCATCAGCCATGGCATCTATCATCTTCCATTGGATGACAGCACTACTGGCATGTGTTATGATAGCGAAGTCAAACAAATGAAGACATTAATGCAAGATTTTTTTTTCCTGTAGGGAAAGCTGGATGTCACTCCTTTTGGGTTTCTGATTTGTAATGTACTTAGAACATTGTCAGTATGTGTTTGACACTCACACTGCAAATTGCCCATTCAACCTGTTTTGGTTTATGAGAGATATCATGAGATGTCATCTGAAATGGTACTGTGGCTCATGTTCAACTTAGTGGCAAGAATGCAACTCTGTTAATATCCATATAAAAAGAGTTTCTATGCAATGAATCAACAAATAAACTACATTAGATTAAGGAATAATCAATCCCCATGTCACCATCAAGTGGGGAAGATGGAAGAAGAAAAGTATGTGACATTGTTCATTCCCTTCCCTATGGATGAAACTCCAAACCATCCCATGCTAACTCCCCTACAAAAGTTGACTTAGTGGCCTCATTAATACACAACACCTACTCCACTTAGTTTTAATATACTCCATCATTCTACTCGGTGGTTTGCCTCTCATCAACACCACCATGAGCATGTTGAGCATGGTGGAGGCAGAGCTGCCTCCGGGCTTCAGGTTCCACCCGAGGGACGACGAGCTCGTCTGCGATTACCTCGCGGTGAAGCTCGCCGGAGACGGCGGCCGCGGTAGCTTCCATGGCAGTGCTGTGATGGTGGATGTTGATCTCAACAAGTGCGAACCATGGGATCTTCCTGGTAAGATCAATTGCATGCCTTGAGCACCATGTTTGATCTGGTTCTGATGGCACTGGTGTAGCATGTTGTTCTATGTTGTCTTCACATGAACTAGCTGCTGGTATTCCTCTCTCTCTCTCTCTCTCTCTCTCTCTATCCCCTCTTCGTTGCTGTCTTTGCACTCCCCTTGGAATGAAACTCTTGGTTCTGATCTGGAAGCACAGTTTGATCCTTCAGAAGGCATTCTGCAACCTTTAAGTTCACATGATATCAGAATTCACAAAGACACAGCACAGTCTCGGGTTCCAATCCTCTTTTGAGGTCTATCATGTCTTCCGTTCAATCTCCATGCTTGTCCTATCTGGCCTTCCCATCAAAGGAAATTATTCTTGTACCAAACTTCACCACTTTGGACCTGTTCATGTGTTCTGTTCCTTCATGATTGACTGCCAACCCTTTTAATGGAGTATTCCTTCTACCTGAAACGAATCAAAACCTAAAAGGAGGAAAAGAGAGAAGAAACTTAACACCTAAGAAAGGAGAAGGCATCAAGAAATATGCTTACCTAAAATTATATATGCTGCATGCATATCTGCTGTTACTATGAACCAAACTGAAGACCTTGATTTGAATCACAAAACACATGTTTCAACCCAAAGGAATGCTTTTTGGAGATGTTGATGGATTCCAAATTGGAGATCTCAATTCAAGAGAGAAGAATGATCTCAATCTCTCATGAACCACACAAGTGTCGGCACCTCCATGGTCTCGAACCTTTGGTGCCAATCCGTCTAACATTCAATCAAAGAGAGGAGATAAAGAGATCGACGCTGACAACTCTTTGGTATCGTGAGAGGTGCAACGTCGATGTGCTAATCCACCAAGCATGCACACCATGATGAGCAATCTCCATCATGGAGTTAGGTCCATTGCTGATGTTACAGAAACCATGTAAACAAGTTCATCTCTCATTCACATCCAATTATATCTTGTTTCTCTACCAAAGTCGTATCAGTGTCCTGATCCAGTGCTTTCCAGGACAAAGTGCAATTTCTTGTCGAGATATCATTGATCAGGATTGCCACTGACACTGATGGTGAATTCATAGAATCAGCAACTTGTATCAGAGTGTGACTTGCATCCATTCTTTTAATGCAACCAAACTGTTTCTTGTGGATGATCAGCTACTGCATGTGTTGGGGGAAAGGAGTGGTACTTCTTCAGCCATCGAGATCGGAAATACGCAACCGGGCAGCGGACCAACAGGGCCACCGTGTCAGGCTACTGGAAGGCCACCGGGAAGGACAGGCCGGTGGCCCGAAAGGGGTTGCTGGTTGGGATGAGGAAGACTTTGGTGTTCCATCAAGGAAGAGCTCCCAAGGGGAAGAAGACAGATTGGGTGATGCATGAATACCGCATGGAAGGATCTGATGCCACTCCAAAATCACCCTTCAAGGTAGTGTCATGCTCTCAAGTCCTTTATATCCTCACTTTGCTGTGGTGACCAGATTACCTTCTCTTCTGCAAACATCACTCTTTTGTTTTGTGATACCTGTGTGGTCATGTTGCTTATAGTCCTCAAAAGAGCTGCAAAGAGATGTTAGGCTTACAATAAATCTCTGTTGAAGATCTCAATTAGACTGATACTGCATATACTATACTACATAAACTATCAAGAAGAGGCATTGTGAGAACAGTGGGATGAATCAGAACAAAGAGCAACACTAAGTTCTTATGAACAAGTAGCAGATGCATGTAGTTTATGAAAGATTATTAGAGTTGAAGGACAAGTTAGTTCAGTGATTTGACAGAATAAAGCTTTTTCTTATTTGTCTCTCCTTATGCATGTCATTTTCCTTCCATGGGATATGACACTTTAAACTTCTTCAAGTAATCACTACATTATTATCTGAAAAGAATATATATATATATATATATATATATATATATATATATATATATATATATATATATATATATATATATATATATATATCTAACACAGTTTCATGACTTGAATTCATAAGTTGCTATAATAAATTGTTCACAACATGTTACATAAATCATTTCTGTTTAATCTTTAATATACTATCTGAATGCTAGGTGGCCACCACAACCAACTCAACTGCTATAATAATTAATTGAAATCACTCATCTTGTTTCTGCAAGTCCTTTCATCATAAAAACTGTGACACTTCATTTTTCTGTGCATTCAGGAAGATTGGGTCCTTTGCAGAGTCCTCTACAAGAGCAGAAGGATCTCCACCAAGCCAACCATGGAGACAAGCCATGATGACTCAGGCTCCCAATCTCTCCCAGCCCTCATGGACAACTACATCACCTTTGACCAAACCCCACTCAACTTGGAGGGGTTTGAGCAGGTGCCCTGCTTCTCCAGCCCAACACCACACCTGCCCTCAGTGGAAAGGGGAATGCCTCTAACAAAATGCTTGATTCAAAGAGGTGGCTTGCCTGAGTTGAGCGCTGGATTGAACCAGCTCACTGCTGACAGAAAGGTCTCAAGAACAATTCTGAACCACCTTGCCAAGGTTGAGGGTGATCCAAAGAGAGAGATGGTGCCAAATTTAGCTGAAGGGGGTCTGGGGGGTTACTTAACACACAGTGGTCTGCCATCAACTTGGAACCCTTCTTGAGGGTTGGTGAGGTTGGTGAGCAACTAGAAAAGATACCTCCTACCTGTAGTCACTCAAATAAAGAAGCCAACATATATGTTTGGTCGTACACAGATGAGGTGTGATGATTAAATATTTTCTTAGGCATTGCATAAGTTCCTTCTTCCTAAAATGATTAGATATTTCTTCTGGTGGATAAGCTTGAAACAGCACTTAAATAAAAGAAAATGTAAGCAAGAAAAGTAAGGTTGATGGTCAATGGCAAAAGAAAATATATGGAGGTTAATGGGAAGGCATCAAGGTCTTCATTTCATCTCAAAGACCAAAATTAAGTAAAGGACATGAAAAAAGAGGCCTATCCAAAGAAAGTGAAGGGACTAAAAAATAGTAAAGTCTATACAGTTAACATGATCAAAATCTTATATTTGTGAAACTAAGTATAATTTGACAATTATAATGCACTGCAACAAAATATTGTGCTATAATCAACCAGTTACTAAGATTCTAGGTTTCCATTTTTCTTCAGAAAAATATAGGAACTACCACTTTATGTTTTCTTAGGATTTATCCTACATAAGTTCATTGCATATGTACTTTTATAACTTTAGCCTTTTTTACGGTTTACTAGGTTGATCCTGATGATCTTCAAGAAGATGAGGATCTATATATATATATATATATATTCTAATGCAACATAATACCAAAATTTTTTAGGGAAAGAATACAACCCCCCCAAGTTCCAACCAAAGCAACATAAATTAAGCTTATAAAGCAAAAGTTATCTTAATCTAACAACATCATCTAAATATTAACCTCATTATTGCACAACAGAACTGGTTCTGGTCATTGATTGTGCCTTGGAGCATTTTCTTATATGTTTGGTTGTATCAAGGATTGCTAAGTTCTGAGATTGTAAGCATTATGATTGTTTAATATCATAGTATAATACAGCTCAAATACTTCTAACAAGGAACATCAGCAAGAAATTGCAATCATCTGCTGTCAGCACATAATAGATTATCATTGGACCCTTTTCATTATTATATTTCTTAATTAGATATTTAAGATCAGGGTATGATCTCAGACCAGATATGCTGACATAAAAACCACAGATCAGAAGGTCTTACTCAATTGGTTCACCCCATCTTCCTCAACAATCTATTTGTTTGTAGTTATGTACATTTGCTGCACAACCAACCACAAGCTCAGGTTTAGGTTAATATATTGAAACAGATGACATCAAATCCTACTTCCCTTATTTTAATGGACTGAGATTACTGAAAGCAACTGAAGGCCAACCTCCAAGCTGTGGACCTTTTCTGTAGAAAAATAAAATAAGTACCACGAATAACATTTAAAACACTTTCAAAGTTCAACACTGTTCGCGTATCATGTTAAAAGAAGATAGATTATGCAGTTCTTTAATGTAGTGATGACCAAGCAAACTATCAGCCAAACTGCTTCCATCAAAGCAAATGAAAGTACCAACCATTGAAGGAAATTTCATAGCTTTTATTCAGATTGATGGCAAGGTTGGTTTTCTTCTTTGAGACAATCCAACACACCTGATAGCATACTAATAACATTTCCAATCAAAGTGTGTCCCAATCCATCTTTAGATGCTGATGGTGAGCTGGAGGACAATAGTTTTGCTTCTTCCTCACCAATCAAAACAAAATTGATACTGATGTAACAGGAGACGATACAAACTGATTAGAAATGACATGTTGGCTATGAGCTGTATGTAACCTGGTTTGCTGAATTCTAATAGAGAGTGACAGTAGAAAGCCAGTTGATGATCCAAAAGCAGCACATGATGTGGGCCATGTGGAACTTGAACTACTGCCAAACTATCTAAAAGCTTAAGCCGATAGATGTAATAAAGACTGATTTAAATATTTCTTAACAATCTCAATCAAGTGTGGATAAGCTAAATGATATAAATGACTAAATCGGCCCAACACATGACAATCACATTAAAGAGAGAGAAAAATATATCATAAGCGTAAAGCTCAAGCAATAAAAAGAAGGAAGAATTTGAAATTTTGATCACTGCTAAACCATGTGAAATCCTTCTTAAAGATGTGTTTAGTTCATTACATACCTTAACAGGGAAGACGACCATGGAAGCTGATATGCTTTAAATCTATCATCCATTGGAATCCACCATGGTTGCAGGTTGCTTCTCTGCAACTGGTGAACAACATCACTTGCCCAAACATCCATGTCTGCAGGTCACTGTTCTTTAGAGAACATTTAGAATGATTTTAACAGACCAGACAACTTTGCTTGATTGTTGTGGCAATTAGATACCGTGAGTAGGTTATTAATAAAATGATTTGATCTAGAATCTTAAACTATCCAATAAAAAACAATGGGGTGATGGTTTTAGTATAAATGAATAACAATGAAATGTATGGTTCAGGAAGACCTAGTGCATAATGTTTCCACCAATTTTTGATATGGAAGAGTTAATATACTGAAACCTGATCAGCTATATCACAAAAAGAGAGCAATCTTACCATGACACCAAAGTTATCAGCTTTTATATATATTGAAGTTCTTCTCCATCAATATACATACTAAGGACCTCAACTAGTGTCATATTCTAATTGTAAAAACACTAGAATTGATATGCCATTTTGACTTTTCTATCTAAATAAAAATCCCCAAAATTACACCGGAAGTAAAACTATATACATTGAGCTTTCATGAATTTTACATGCCCATGAGAAGAAACATTCTCTGGCAGACTAAGGTCTGCATCCATCTGTTCCTCAAATCTAGTTGTAGAAAAACTGTTTTGTGCCTATTCCATGCTTCCTCAAGTTCTCTCAGTAAACAAATAATTAAATCACAGATACATTCTTCAGAATATGCCTTATCATGAAAATGATGCAAAGAGACTACAAAACAAAGTGATCCTGTAGGTCACAGATCTGGGGTCCATAAAAATTTTAATCTATTGAATATTAGGCAGCAAAACATGACCAGATGCAATCCAACTAATACAGTTCTCATATCAATTAAACATCACATCCTCTTTTCATAATTAGTGCTTTTGATGAATGATTGAACAGACATTTTGATGAGTTTTTCCTGAAACTGACCTGGGGCAATCAGTATATCCAGAGCTGTTTCAATAAAATCAAGGAGCCTTATTAAAATGAACTTGTGGTGCAATACAGCAGTAAACTATCCAAAGAAATGAAACTTTACAAAATTCCATTATCATGTCAACCAACAAAACAAATAAGCAATCATCAGGACAAGTATATTGTCTTATGTAATTTGACATTAATTGTGAGATCACTTGCTACTGCAGTAGCATATCTATCAGATGCAACAAATTTCCATGTGACACGGCACATTTACAAAAGTTAGAAAAAAAAAAGAAAACAGGTCTTAGGCATTGTGTCCATCATTTGTTAAAAACCTGAGCTCCAGGAAGAAGAGACTTAATCTTCATTTAACTGGAATATCAACCAACTGATTCTAAAACTGGTCCATTGTCATTTTTTCCTGGTGGTAACTCCAACCACAACATTGCTCACCTGCATCATAGAAGAATTAAAATTATTAATAGAGTTTAAACTCCATAGACAATTAAGAAAATTGAGCTTACCAGTTTGCCATTTTCATTCACTGACATTGGGTTCTCAACAACTACGGTCATGTTTGAAGCTCGGGAAGATGGCTAAAAAAACCAAAAGAAAACATATAACATATAAATGAATAATGAAACAAATTGCACAACCAAAAGAGACTTGAGGAAGCGAACATACAACTGAAGTTGATGGAGGAACAGGGGTAGGTTCATTAGGCCTATGAGCAACATGGATTGGAAATCTCATATTATGCATCTTTATTAACAGAGAAGGTTAATAATTAATACAAAATAGTGAAAACTAAAACCAAAAGAACTATAAAAGGATTCAAATTATACCCCAGCATTTGTAATGTAGTTACAAATTGCGCATTTGACACATGGTGCTCCATAAGGGTACATCAGAATCGGATGACATTGGACACAGTTCAGATGAGCAACCTGATTTGCTGAAAATCAACCCAGGAACTTGAAAAACTAATTTAAGAGATTTAAATAAGAATTTCTCTTTTTATATGTTGCATCAGATATCAGAAAGTGTCAACAGTTCATATCCGTGATATGCACTGGAACTATCCTAGAATCTTATAAGTACGATTATAGTTTCATAGAAAATGCAGCTTTGAAGTCAATATAAAAGGCAAGCAAGTAGTAACAGATTGTCAAGTTCTAAATGGATAGTATTATTCAATTGCTGACATGATTTCTTTACTTTTATAGAAGAAATTATAGTCCACATCAATGGATGACGAAAAAAGCATGATGCAAGACTTATCCTAGAGCACATATGGAGTCCACTGTAAGAAACAAGCATCGAAGAACCATTGTATGATCATCCTGAACTGACATTCAAAAAAATAGTCTACTTGTTCAGTAGCTTAATAAACAGTCATATAAAAGATACAAATGAATACCTGATCCTGTCATATTCATGGTGTCACAACAGGAACACCTTACACTTGTCGCACCGTTTGCATACATCAACATTGTTCAGCAGCCTCTACATACAAGCTGAACAATCTTCATTCCTGCAAATTTCGTGATTTAAGCTTCCATAGGCAAATAGGTAGTTTATTAATAATATTGGTGATTTGAACCACCTAAGAGACAGAGACCATCAGCAACACAACAACAACATCCAAGTGCAAGTAGCACTGTTAACGTTCATGGATAGTTGGATACAGATACAGAAGATCAAAGGAACACATTTTGATTATATAGAAGGTGAGCGATCCACAATGCACAGAGAAACACTTTAAAATGTTTATTGTTAAGATATGTATCTGATGCCCATATGGCTTATATTCAAAACCAAAAATAAATCATGCATGTCAGGAATTCACATCAGCAACATTTCATGATTATAACTAGGTTAGAATGATGTAAAAGACGTACCTGGTGGAGGAGCTGCAGTCGTTGTGCCGCATATTGCACAACGCGCATCAGTGGCTCCCCTCGGGTAAACAAGGACATTCCTGCATAGTTGAATCGCATGCAGTCCAACAATCGATGGCTACATTTCACCATTCCAAACAAGAAGTCACTCAACCAAAAGTGTTCATTTTGCAATAAAAAAAACCTATAGATTACAAACTTATATGGATCACTCATTCCATCAGTTGACAAAGCGTGGTTAAGTTAGGGTTCGTAACTACGAAAGAAGATACATTTTTCAGAAGAACAATGCACAAAAATAGATGCGAAAATCTTCCTCCCAACATTCCTCCTCTTCCTAGAACAACCAAACGGAGAAGGGTCGAGATAAAAGAGAAAAGAAGCCAATAGAACAGTAAGGCTGTCGGGTCCGAGGTCTAATACCAAATCCGACTGAATTGCGCTTAATTAAGCAGCATAAAACAAAGAAACAAGCAAGATCCCCGAATTCTTCAAAAGACAGGAAGATTAAACAGAACCAAGACGGAGAAGGTGAATCATCGAAAGCCTGGACCCGAAGGGGAGATGTAGTCCCAAGGCGACCAGCAAAGCAATGCCGTCATCTTCGATCGGAGAAGAAGTAACGGGGAGTTCTTTGGGCGAGGGCAAACGTATGCGCGAAGTGGAACGTGGTGGGTTTCCTTGAAGATACAGAGTCGATGCAGATTCATTTTCCTTCTCGTTTCGTCCGAGTAGAGAGAGAGAGAGAGAGAGGTGCTGAGGCAGGGGCAATTCAGAAATTATCGAAGAAAGTAGGACGGTTTTGGTGTATGTGAGAGAGAATAGTCTGTTGATCAAGCTTGATCAAGCTCGACTCGAGTCGACTGCAACGTGACGAGGCAGGGGCAATTCTGAAATTATGAAGGGCAGGAGGACGGTTTTGGTGAGTGTGAGTGCGAGTGGTTTGGTGAAACAAGTTGGGCTCGGTCAGGCTCGACTCGAGTCGAGTACAACGTCATGCTCAGGGGCAATTTGGAAATTATCGGAAAATCGAGGACGTTTTTCGTGAAACAAAATATATGGGAGTAGGAACAACACGCGAGCGGCGGATGGATAAAATGGGGCACCGCCGGCGTCCTGCTCGGCTCTGCGGCAGTCACGTGTCCGAAGTCGGATCCAAGAACGGAGATCTCCATGGTGATCGAAATCTAGTGAGTAGATTATATTTTTCTCTGGCTTCATCTCTTTCTTTCTCCTCCTGTCCACCGCATTCTCGGAGTTACGCGTCCTGCTGGTGTTTACTGCGCATGAAGTCGTCTTAAATACGCCAAAAACACTTCTTTATGATGTAACGAGAAGATGTGAAGAATTTTTTGGCTTTCTTTTACATTGTTAATCTGATCTTGGTTTTCTTTGTTTTGGTTGAGCGAAATCCTTGTGTGATCAGAAGGGTATGGATCAGTTATTGAAATGCCTCACCACAAAGAAAATATTTTGTTTGATGAAGTTGTTTCTCCACCATAGTTTTGTTCCACTTCTGTGGCAATTGGTCCTTCTAATACAAAGCTAATTTTCATTGAAAATTCCCCTGATGTAAATTGGGCTTTGTATTTGTATTATACCATTTTTCAGAAAATGATCTTTTGCTATTCGACTCATTTCGACTGTGAAGTATTGGAGTGAAAAAATGGGATACACTTAATTAACTCTGATAATTTATTCGATCACATAAAAGTCTCACTTTGATTGTCTTGTTACAAAGATGCTGTTGTGAAGTTTTGTGGAGGAGAAGGATGATGCAATAACCTTTGTTTCACCTGATAAGATAGGAGACTTTGTCCTAGAGAGCTCTAGTTCTAATTTTGCTTGATGATTCACTTTAATGTCCACTTTTGAAACTTAATAAGCTACTGTATCATAGACAGTAGACACTGTCAATAAACGTTCCCTTTGATGTTTTTTTAGTTCTAGGTGTCAAATCGACTTTGTGCACAATTTGACTTGAAGAATTGTTATACATAAGACATTCAAGATATTAGCAGGGTGTCACGTTGTGGATAGACCTGCAGCCTCTGCTACTTCTGCTTTGTGCTGGAAATGAAGTATATCAGTAGAACTTAATCCCCGCCCATTACTTTGACATGTCTCAAAATTTTTGGCCTTTGGGACATTTAGGTTTAATTTCAATCCCTTGCCCAAACGATTGATTTATATATATGTATATGTTGGTATATATATAGTCATATTGCTTTCATACACACCCAGTTGTAGAATGCCTTTGCCTATACAACCATTTATCAATAGATGGATGTTATTATCACCATGAGAAACAAATAACTTTGTGTCAAAAATAATATATTTAGGTTATCAAGTTCTTTATATGACAACTCAGTCAATGTAGCCTGATAATTTTAATTGTCATGGAGATGCAAGGAGACTGTATATATGTTAGACAAGTCCTTAATATTGCTGTGATTCGTAAATTTATTCTCTTTTCAGCCACTCTCTTCTCTTATATTGTTGATTCATCTTATTAGAAAAACAAGGTATTTCTTTCATTAAATTAATCCTAACATAATTATTATCATGATTTTATTCTTGAGTTTCTTTTTGTTTGAAAGATGTGCATTCTGTTCTTGGCCCTTGTTGCAGCTACTAATGATAATAAAAGGACTCTTCAGAAGATACCAGAGATGGAATCCCGTGCACCCTACTGTCGGCACCTTTTGGGGCATGGGGATAGGTATTGGGTGCGGTGTAGGTTGGGGTCCTGGCTTTGGTCCTGAGGTCATTGGATATGTTGGAGCAGGCTGTGGTGCAGGATTCAGTGTTGGTATTACACTGGTTGGCATTGGCATTGGCCTTCCACAAGATGGCCTTACCCGAATCGCATACAATGGTATGTTGGTGGTGCTTATATTGATCTTCTTTCTTTAATTAATTATGTCATTTTATAGCTTGTGCTACCTAACATCTATCACTCTTGTGTTTATGAGGTATCATTCTGGTTGTCTTGTGGCCAATAATCTTGTATTTTGTCTACTCATCTGATATACTATACAATTTGATCTCCCTGTTATAGCTCTAAATGATATTCTTATTTTCATATATTGTTGTTTTTTTATCTGAGCATTGGATGAGTTTAAGTGGTAGTCTTTTTGCTGTTGTCATGGATATACATGGATATGATTTTTAGTATGTAGATCACCATGGGCTTTGTTTCAACTGTATATGTAAGGATGACAATCCATTTTTAGCCTTTACATCTGCCCATTGGAATTGTGAATCATTTGCTGGAATACTGGATCAAATAAGAATGTTAACTAATTTCAACTTTTTCTTGGGATCAACTATTAAGTGTTTCAAGGGCTTCGTCATAACTAACCAAATACTTTAAGATAAGAATTACATGGCTACTGTTAAATGCTGATGTCGTGTTTCTGTGGTGAGCATTAGCAGATGCTTTAGACAGTGGCATAACTATATTATAAGTATAAATAAATTCAAAATGCACATATATTCTTGAGCTAGCATCTACATTATCTAGCCCTATTTGAGAGGAAATAGCAGGAGCAACTTCAACTGAAAGAATTTTACTGAAGACAAGGTATGCTACATGAATATGTTGTTACAACTACTCTCTCTTTTTTATTGCCATTGTTTTAGTTACTGGATGTATAGAAATAACTAATATATGGAATATACACACGAAAAATAAAAATGGGAGACAATGCAGTAGTAGTAATTCACTTTTCCTGTTTTCAGCTTTTACAACAAAAACTGGTTCTTTGGATTCTGCAAGATCTTATGCACTTACAACCATGAAGAGTGTTGCTGAGGACAGTTTAAACTACGCTGCACCTCATATATCCTTCTTGAGGAAAGAAACAAGTTGGAGGCTCTCAAGGCTTAAGTCAAACATTTGTGTACAGAGAGCTGGGTTGAATAATCTGAACACTGCTGTATCAAAGCATATTCAGTCTACTTTGGAATGTTTAGAAGCCTTCAAAGATAATTTCTGGCCACCTGGGAAAGCTACATAGTCAGGCTTCAAGATGTTTCAAATTGTATCAGTAGCTAAATTTTAACTTATTACAATTGAAGTTGAGAGGTTTGTAAAGGGACTTGTGCTTCTGTCACGATGTAATTTACAGGAGCCCATCTGTAGGTTCTGCCAACAACTTTAGAGCATTAGAATTCTAGGCATAGCAAGTATGTCATTTGTTATACCAATGCTCCATCTTCCAAAAATCTGAAATGCGATAAACATGAATGTTTATATAAGCTTGTTAGGTGAATTTTTCATCTCTGAAAAAAATTTCAAACAAGCTAAACAGTGATTTTTCTATGTTTAAGTGTTTCAAACCATATCTAACAGGGCACTTCGCTTTCATATTGTTATAACATATTTCATGTTGTTTGTAGAAAAAAAATTCCTTAGTTTTTTGTTTAATCTACCCTGTTGCTGAAGGTGTATTCGCATCACAAAACTCCCCGATGAACACTGATAAATAATACTTATAGTTTCTTGCAGTTTCCTATTGTAAATAATTGCAGTTGTTAATTTAGTTTAGCAAGTAGATTAATGATCATTATGTGAACCATCAACCACCGAGATAATCCTGAGAAATAGGTTCATCTTAACTCAGGAACCTCTTTCCAAAGAGCTAAACAAGGCTTTGCAAATCACCTCAGCTTGCAGTAATTCCCTTCTGGTGTTGGTAAGTTTCATCATTTTTCGGCTAATGAGCATTTCTTAACTGTCAGCCTGGCTGTGTCTCCCTTCAGTCTTCATCTGCTGTGTAGGAGTTGCAGGGGCTGGCTGTGTCATCAGATATTACAGTAAGTGTAGCAGGGGCTGCTTGCTGCTGTCTTTCAGGCTTCTTCCATGGAACAAGCTGAATGCAAATGGGCTTGGAAAGGGATAAGGGAGACCGCTAAAGGTCTCCAATATCAACTGAAGTGAAGGGGATTCCTCTACAATTATGTACTGCTCTAGGTATCCTAATTATGTTTACCATCTATTTGTTTGAGAACCTAGTTGAGCTATGTGCATTGCAAGTAGAACAATTTACTAAACATGCTTTGATCAATAGATCTACAGCCATTGACAAACATGATTGGAGAGGAGCTTTCTTATAAATGGTGAACATGCAACAATACTTCACAGAAACAGAAAAGAAGACCCTGTACCAATAAGATGTGTAAGCATGCAGAGATTCCATCACACTTTTATCACCTTGGCTCAAAAGTATAGGAAGAAGCAAAACTGCACAGATCCTTCTGTCCATTGGATCACACAAATAGGTTTGTTTTACTCTTGGAGGTGTCAGCTGCGGAATCTTCGAGACCAGGGTTGACTAAAGGTTAGTTACCAAGAAAGTTCTGCAGCAGCTTCCACTGGTGTCTTTTCATTCTTTTGGAGGTGAACACTATAACAATTGCAGCTTGACTATGCTAATTTAAGGCCACAAGTTCCCAGGTGCCAGCCACAGAACCAGTTAAGAGAGATCATTGATTACGATCTACTAGGTTTGGAACACATCTATCCATGTGATGAGCAGGCATGCAATCTTGTCTTATTCACCAGACTTTTATTGGTGCATGGTCTCTGTTTCATATTCCAATTAACTATGAGTGCTGTTTAGGTCAGGTTTGCTACCATGGATAACACGATATACATGTTGAAGAAAAGGTGTACACTTTGTTTCAATTGTTTCCTTGATTTGATGTGATGCATGAGAATGATATATCACAAAATTGAAGAGGCACATCATAGAAATTTTGTTTACATCTATCTCAAACTTTTGTACTGGGTTGTATTATTTTTGCTGCTTATAGAATATGATGAGCATTGATAGATTGCATGAGCTTCTAATATCATATTATTATCAGAATTAACTCCACTGGTAGCTATATGATTATGCAACAACTGTTATTGTCTAATACATACAGCACAGATTACAATATGCTGTTTGCATGTTAAATTTTAATGCAGAAATGAAAAAGGAAAACATTGTTGTACCATAAATTAGCTGTAGTAAGATCTAGATCTGCTGCATGCTCTCTCCCCCTACCTACAAAGAAGGAATCCAAGGCTTAAACATACATGTATAGAACATTAAAGATTAATCAGAAGACTAAGGAGTTGTCATGGCATGTACATCACATGCCAACAGTATAACATCAGTGTATAAATGAAGAAGGAAATCAATGTTCCAGCACAAATTATATAGCTGCAGAAAGATCTGAGGGAATCCACAGGCTTCAATCATCTCGCAATTTTCATAATAGCAGAACATGTAAACCATATCAATCAAATGGCAGATGAGCTAAACAAGGTCATCAAGTTTGTTTTAATCTTTCATTAGATGAATTGCCAACAAATGATGAGCTGTTGTTACAGATTACAGAGTATCAAACAGTGATATAGATTCTCCCTGCACTTCATCTTTTAAGTCCCCACATGTTGGATTTGCACCTGTGGAATCAGAGGACCAAAGTTGACCAAAGGCAACTTGGGAGAAGCTTCCTTCACTCATGCATTTGGCTATGGCTCCTCCTCTGTCCAAGCTCACAAGTGCTTCGTACTCGTCCAAGCCTCATGAAAGCTCAAAGGTTGAGCCCATCAACAATGCATGGGTTAGAAAGGTGACTAACCTTGTTTTAAGTTGTGCATTAGGTGGTTAAGATTCGAGCCATAAAAATAACTTTTTTTGTCGAGTAAGACTCTCACTTAAAATTATAATTTTATTTATATTATGCCTTGATATCATAGTAAGATTATTCTTACACGAGTCGAGCGATTAGAATTCGAGTCATAAAAATAATAGTTTTTTATTAGAGTAAGATCTTATATATCAACCGTACTATACCGATAGTGTGCATTAATTTTGATCGATGAAATTAATGGGGCATACTGATGTTTTTCCTATGTTTGTTGATCAACAAGCAGGTATTGTTAAAATCGATGAATCTGAACCAAAGTTGCAGACAGTAATGTCCAATAACACTATGATCTAGAAGTGATTTTTATGTTTGCACAACAACATCAACGAAGTCATTCGAAGAAGGATTTCGATGGGCATGACAAGCTGCGGTACGACTTGCCCGATCCTTGGTCAACAAGGTCAACTCATACAAACTGACTTCCCATGTCAAACCCTCTACCAAGGAAGTCTGCAACACAAAAAAAGAGTTACAAGATTCTTGCCAACTATGTTTTGCTCTACTCTATTTCGATCTAATGGTCCGGAGAAGTGGATGTGGTCGTCGTCGACGTGGTGGTGGTGGTGGTGGTGACAGTGGTGGCGGTGGTGATGTTAGTCGCTGACGACGTCCTCGGGGTCATCACTTGCTTTACCACCACCGTCGGAATCGGGCTCTTCTTCCTCCTCTCCTCCTCCTTGATGAGCGCGCCCGAGAACCGGTCGAGCTTCTCGGCATTGGTCTCACCGGAGACCTTCTTCCCTCGGAAGAGCAGCGACTCCACGTTTCTCTGTGACATGATGTCCTCTGCTGCTTCCATCAGGTTCTTCGGATTCGCCATCCTTGGCGTGCAGTTTCCACACATGAATCCATTAGCCTGGAAAATTGAGTTCATCAGCTATGAACACAGCTATCTAATGGATGTGACGATTTGCTGTCAGCAGAAGTCGAAAGTGTACCTGGATGCGTACGTAATTGCTTCTTCTGCAGTCTCCAAATGCCATTGCCACCGCTTGATCCACCTGATCAGATTACAGAGGAAGAACATACTTGATTTAGTATAAACGATAACAACATGCTGCATTGGATGTCAAAAATATTAGAAATATTGTAAATATTTTTATATATTTCTTTACGAACCATCTTTTTATTGTGTTAAAGACAGTGGCATATATGAAATTTTCTAATATTTGAAGGGATATATATGCTATATTATTTATTTTCCAAATTTTTTGTGTGTATATATATATTATAAGGAACTTTAATGGAATAATATTTAGTTAGTTAGAAGAAAGGTTAATCTGGACCGTCTAATCTTTTGATCACAGATTGTTTTGACGATGAGATCGGTGATGATTAGTTTTTGGACTGGGTTCGTTGGCCACTGATGAAAGACGCGAGAGGAGAGAGGTGTCTCCTTACCATGTCGGCGACGCCCTCGCCGGCGATCCTGACGAGCCCTGCGGTCCCCGCTGCGGAGGGAGCCACGGCGGAGGCTGCGAGGGAGACCACCATGAGGTCCTCCACTCCAGCGACGAAGGGGAACTCTTGCTTGTTGTGCAGCACGTGCGTCATGGCCGCCGCCGCGGGGTTCGCCATCGCCACTCCGCCGCCCGCCGCGGCGACTCGCGTCCGCCCGTCGACCGACCGCAGCTCCACCGCCGCGGCTCCCGCGTCGGCGCACGTGGCGGCGCACACCTCCCACACCCGGAAGTCGTACCCATCGGCCTCCACGGCGTCCGCCCGCGAGAAGAGGAACGGCGCACCCGTCGCGAGGTCGTAGCACGGTATCAGCAACGGCTTGATGGTGTCCCTCAGCGTCGCGTCGCCGAAGATCCGCCGGAGAAAACCCCCCGGTCGCCGGAACACCCCACGGAGGAAGCCCCTCTTGGAAGCGAAACCCCGGTCGCCCCGGCGGCGGCTCTCGGCGAGGAGGACCTGCAGCGCGTCGGCGGCAGAGAATAGGGGGCGGCCGTCGTGACCCCTGGTGAAGAGCATCGCGGCGAGGACGCCGCCGGCACCAGACCCAGCGGCGACGTCGAACATTTCGGTGACGGTGGCGGATGGGTCACCGGAGTGGCGGCGGAGGGAAGATTCGAGCCGGGCGAGGGCGGCTGCGGCGAGGAATGCGTCGGAGGGGCTGCCTCCACCATCGATGGACAAAATCCGGACCCTTCCTGCGGCACCCGCGGGGGTCCGGGGTGAATCAGTGGAGGAGGGGGAAGATGAGGAGGGGAAGAGGAGCTTGTTGTGGTCGTCGAGGCCGAAGAGAAACTTGCTCTCCAGGATGGAGAAGATCTCGTAGCTGAGCTTGTCGGAGTCCACAAACGCCATCGTTACCGGAGCGAGAACAAGACCAAACCGATGCGGACCGGCTTTATCTGAGACGGAAAGGAGGAGGAGGTCTCGACTTGGGGAAGCGAAGACATACTCGCGTCGCTTAAATAGAGGGAGGACGCCGCGCAGGTTGTGCGCGTCAACACGGCGAACGTTGGCAAGGCCTCGTGGGGGTTACTCCCGTACGGCACTGTATCAACCGTTCGATGAGATACGAACGGTCGGGATCGGAGACAAGGGTATGTGCCACAGAAAGTGGGAGGAAAGTGGGGTGTGCTGAGTTCGGGTCGGCGCAGGGCATGCGGCGAGGAATAGGCGAGGAATTGAGACGGGCTCGCACGTGTGGGAGCACTCCGGGTTGTGCGGCCACCGACGGTATCGGTAGGGTCGCCCTGGTGGTCGCACGATGGAGATGGGATGGCTGAAGGCCGGTCTCTACAAGAAAAAAGAAGAAAACAATATAAAAGGGTAAGTTCGTCCTTATATTTCTAATTACTTGGGGTTTAATAATTATCCTGGCATTTCATTTCTCGTGAAGCTGCCTAATTTAGTTATTTTGTATCTTTATTCATAGCAAGTTTGGTTATTAGCTAAACACTAAAAATGAGATTCACCTTAATGTCTTATAAAATAATATTGTTACAGTTGTTGTTGTTAATGCTTGTGATTCTTATCTTTATGATCCATCACAAATTTATAGGATTAAGAAGGGTTAAGTTAGTGTTTAGCATCTTTAGAATATAAATTTATCTTTTGTTTGTAAGGTAGTTTTGGATTAGAACAATTAATATGGTTAATTATTCCGAAACTATGCAAGCTTTTACCAGCTAGCTTTGTTTAATTTTATACTATTAGAATATCTTAAAGAGTAATTATAGACCTTTCTTTCACTTTCTTGATTTTGTCACAAGGTTAGAGGAATTATAGGCTTTTCATGCTCAAATGGTGAAATTGCAATCTTTACCTGTGGTCACTGAGTGTACTGAATTTTGGCATTAATCATATGAGTTGGTAAGGGGTTTGTTCTTATTAGTTTGGAAGCTGCTGGGTGTTTGGTCTTCACTTCTTGGAGGGTTGATGGGGAGCAAAACAACAAGGACTCAGTATAATATGGCATCAAGGATACATCCAATTCTTAGTACTTCACCCCTCTCAACTTCAAAGGATAAGGCAAAAGAAAAAAAAAAAATTCTTCGCCAACCATGATCCATAGAGTGCATGTTTTTAGCATGCAAGAAATTGGTCCAAATTATATCTTATGCACCCTTTGGCATCCAAACGACTTTCACTTCATATACCTATAACATATGACCAGACTTTCTGATATTGTCGATTAATCCCTGTTCTATATATGCTGCATTAAACATGTGGTTGGGTGTTAGGTTTATGTATATCAATTAAAGTTTAGTAAGTCTCCTCTTGTTGAGTTATAGTTGGATGAATGAAGGGTTGGTGCAGAGCATGGTGTGATAAAAAATGAGGAGGGGAAGAGCTTCTTGGGACCAACCACTTAATTCCTCAAGAACTTGTCTTGGCAGCACGCAGGGCATGGACTTGTTAATTAGCCCTACAAGATAATGTAGATATCAATGTCTTTCTAACACGTTGCATCTCTATGTTTATGGCTTCTTCCTGCATGAACCCTCCGACCTCTCTTTTATTTTTTTTCTGTCTGAAGAGTGCTTCAGTTAGTTATGTATTGCTGACATGAAATTGTGCTTCATCTTTTGTTTATGCATCTCATGATGAAAGGGAGAATGTCATTTAAGTGCTTAGCTACTCTTTCACGCAAAGGTTGGTGCTGGGCTTTACTAGTGCAATTAACTAGCGAATGAAGAAACTCCTATGACTTGGTACTCATGGCAGGTGTGGAGCCAGTAAGATAATAACAAGACACATCCTGGGATTGCTTTGAGTGTAGAACTAAATGAATTTATAATCATTGTGGTCTTACATTACAGCACTGAGCTTTTTTTTTTTTTTTTTGTAGGAATAAGTCTTGATTTTATTACATTACAAAGGATGGACATGTTTGCACTCAAGGAAGGAGTTAAATGAGGATATCATTTGCTCAAGAGTGAGTGAGAAGAAAAAGAAAAAAGTTTTCTTGAGCTAAAAGGGAACAGAATGGTAGTCATCAAGAGTGTTCTATGTCACACAACTTTTGTGTCCACCGACAATGATGCTTGTTATGGAGTTCAGATGTCATATGATGGTGCACATATACTGTCCACAGAACCGATTAAAAGTATGAGAACAAGAGTGCTAGGTAATGTAGCATGGCAATTGAAGAAGATAGTTCTTGGATAATTCCAAGAAGTGTCAAATCTGAGACAGAGGCATACATAGTGATTAAGCTGCTAGGTTAAAATTTTGAAGTTAAATTGTTGCCATGAGCATGACATAATTCTTAGCATTTTCCAGGCTAAATATAAGATACAGCATCAGATGAAATTTCTAAATTGTGATTGCAGATTACCACTAGAGGTAAAAAAAATTATTGAGTAATTAGGTATATTTTCTGGTACTTCACTACCCTTTATGATGTGAACAGTAGCAAGGTTTTAGGCTTGATTGGGTCAGATATTAACTTGGATGGCATGATATGTACTTTAAACCGTAGTTGAATAAAAATTGCAACAGCTTAACTTCGTCTCTTCTACATAAACAAACCTTGGAAATGTGAACTGGTTGAAAAGAGAAAAGCAATAGGAGTTGCATTCATGTGCAGAATAGTCTAACCTTATCCTTATCAAAAACACTGCAAGTTGATGTCATTGAGAACTTTATTGTCTCATTTTCAAGCATGAGCATCCATTGAACACGACATCCTCTAGTAATTATTTATACAGAAGAATTGATCCTTTGAAAGTGACCTGTGTTTGCTTTCATGTAGGCAAAAAGCTCTATTATACCTGCATAAATTAAACAAAGAATGTCCAACTCTAAGTTGATTGGAAAATAAATGGTAATCATAAACTGAAAATGACATCTGTTCTAACTGATTATAACCGGTTTATGAGCAAGTATCTTTGGGAATTGCCACACAAAGGCACTTTTGGTCAATCGTTTTGTCCTGGTTTATGGTTCTCATCATGCTTCCCATAATCTGTAGCTTTGGTTTGTGTAGAATTGGCTTTTTAGCTCCTAATACTGTTGCTGGGTAATCAGGATATCATATCCACACCACTTTGTCCTGGACCACCACTTAGACATACATCTTCACAAAGCTTTTTGTTCCTCCCATGTGATTTCCTTGGATCACTCTCTAGTTTGTTGTGATTTCCATATATTTCACCTGATTTCATTACCTTTCTATTGCAAAATTTCATCATTTACACTTTTGTACAGGAAGTTCCATCATATGTTGATTCTCCTGATTTCATTTGCAGAAATAAGATGTTCAGTATACCAATGCTACATCTGATAAAGAAATCAGAATAATCTCTCTCTCTCTCTCTCTCTCTCTGTGAGAACAATGTCCTGAGATGAAAATGATCCGAGAAGGATTAATTTATTACAATAGTTTAAGGCATCTGTAATGGATATATTGATATGCATCACAAGTCTAATATTGGTCAATTCTTACCCACAGTGCTCGAGAAATGTACCTTCACAGTGGATTACTTCTCATGCTGCATCAGAGGACCAGGTTATTGCACCACCTACACTATGGGGACTCCTCAATTATTCTCATGACAACCGTTCATCCAAGGCAGCATCGACCAAGCAATTCAATAGGCTGAGGAGGAAAAGGTGTAATTACAGCAAGCTCCAGGACATCATGTTTGGTTGTTTATAGCAGAGGGAGTTACTCCATCTTCTCTGGTTTCTTTCTCTTACGCAATCATACCATTGCGAAATCATTCAGCTAATAAACCTTTGTCCTCACTTTCTTTCATCGACTTATCACGGCAGAATGATATAGCTATTCGACAGAGTGCATAAATGACATCTATGAGTCCTGCCACTGCCAGGCTTTCAGCAAGTTTGCTGTCCATCTTACAGGTTTGTGTCTCTCGAGGCTTTCTGACATTTTCTGAGATGTGGCATGAAGGTTAGAACTCCGCAAGTTATATAACATTTTAATCATTTTAATTGTTAAGGATCAGAATTTTGTCTGCTATATTTGCTTTCCATTTGGATTCTTTTCCTTTTTTTCTTTTTGATCTGAAAGCAACCTTCATTTCGATACTATGTTAAGAACTACAACAGTTTTATCATTTTACAATGTTAGAAACTGTGTATATATACTTATTATTGAGGCACTCCATGTCCTGCATGATGTCCTTATTTTTTTTGGTTGCTAAAGATATGATTATTGGAACCCAATCTATTTATATTATTATTGGAACCCAATTGTATATATGCAGGTGAGTTTATTGCAAAAGATAAAGCTAAGATATAAAAGAGTTTCTGGGGGAGTATCAAAAAAAGAGACAGCAATACTATGACCTTTTCAGGGATTGACATATGTTTAGCTTCTTTCACCTATTATCCTTGCTAATAGGTAACATATGTAAGCTTACCCACTGTGTTTCACTTACTCCTCTTCTTTGATTATCTTTTTATTTGGTGGAACTCCTGTGATCCAGAACAAAATAACTACTTGATCTGATAGCTGCATCTTTTTTGACAGAACAAAGCTTTGTGGCAAAGAATGTTATAAACACTTTGGTAACTCTTTCATATTGGTTTGCTTCACCTTCAACCTGATCCTATTTATTTGCATGAGGACTTTTTCTTTTTCTTTTGTGCTTCCAAGATTTTTATGTTTCCTAGTTAGTTATCATTAAATTTCCAAGAGATGTTGATGTCTTTTCCATATCTACATACAGCTGTCTTCATATAGCCTTGTGCCCCACTTGTAATTATCTTTTTCTTTTACTGGAGGCCCCTTCCAATAATTTGCTTGTTCTAGTTCAGAGAACCATGGCACCTATCAGGGAAGGAAGACCTGAATGTTTAGTAGGAGATGTACACACATCAATTATTAATGCAGTAAGAAGATACACGGATGCTGCATAGCCTTAATTGCAGTGGATGAGACAGCTCAGTTCTAGCTGGAACTGCTGTTTCCTAGATTTTAGCCAGTCCTTCACCTGATCTAAAAGAAAAAGAACTTTCACTGCTCAGTCTGTTGTCTTGTTATTTTAGTTGTACGACTTGTATATGAATTAATCATTGCTGAAAGATCTGAATGTGCTTAGGGTTGATATTAACTACTAGAGTTTCTTCTTTCTCTTTCTTTGCTTTGTGATGTATACAATGACTCTCCTAACATGACAAATCAATAAAAGCCTTGTGCACTGAGTCATCCTTTTCTTATGGCCTTACAGCTAGCTATACAGGTGATCTATCATTGTAGGTGGTACTGTGTCAAGTCTGATGCATGGATTGACTGGCTATCTAACATGCAACGGTTTGATTTCTGACAGAAACATGGTCTGCGATGGCATCTGAAACAGGAGGATGAATGCATCATCAATGAATGATTGTCCAAAGTTACAGTTTTAACTGCTATGGTTGTCACCAACGAACAGTTGGTGAGATTGTGACCTCTTCTTCCGCTGGAGCTCCAAAAGCGACTCGCTGTGGAGAATGCTGCAGCAGCAGCAGCAGCAGAAGAAACTTGGCACAAGCTTAGACGACATGGGTCCCAAGATTTGCCATGGCAACTTCCAGGCCGTAGTCATCGGCTTCTTTGACCTTCGACATACTTGATGGTGTTGTCTTGCATTCCCATGTAATTTGAGTGGCGTGGTCAGTTGTCCTCTCTCTTTGACCTGGTCAACTGGAGTCAATGCAGTGACCCGACTCGATTGGAACTGCAGCCGTGGAGGACACTAACCAAGCATGTTTAGTTATCCGTGCACTGTTTACCCTGTGAAAAGTGATGGTCATTAGATTAAGAGCTAATTATATATTATCTTTATAGTTAATCATCTACCCTCGATATTTTTAACTCTATATTTATAATTTAAAAAATATTTAATCATGTTTCTCCTTACGTCGTTGATTCTGTTAATGAAAATATCGCACGTATTGTCACGTATGAAAAAATGATATTAAAATATGATTAAGAATATAATTTTGTAATGCTATTCTCATCGATATTAATTTTTTCATTTATAATTTTTATGAAAACAATAACTCTACAACAATCTACCAACGAGGAAGTAGGATCACAAGAGATTCTTTTTATGGAGTGCTTTACTTTTCAAGAACAAAACTCGAAAAAAGGTGGAGCAATTGAATAGTAGTAGCCTCATTTTATTTTCTAATAAATTTTTTTTCTTTCCATTAATTTTTTTTCCCTTAGACGATAAGAATAACATCACAAAATTATATTTTTAACCTTGTTTTAATGTTATTTTTCATATGTAACAATACATGTTATATTTTTATCAATAGAGTCGACGATGTGAGAAGAAACACGATTAGATGTTTCACTTTCGTAAGTATAGAGATTCTAATTAACTTTTAAAAATATAAAAATTAAGATATTAAAGATAACTAATTATAAAAAAAAATATATAATTAGTCCATAACTTAATCATAAAGATCTTACCCGAAAGACTTTGGACACAAATGTAATTTGAATTTTTGTTATATTTCCTTAGAGATTTATTTTTGGTAAATTATGAAGAAATTTTTAACTTTAGTATAGGATAAAATTGTCAAAAATTATCCTCCAAATTTTTGCATCATTTAACATCATATTACTTGTTTTAGTCCCCCAAACTATTTTTATCACAGCATAATGCCTTATCAATATGCCCAACTATTCCTCTTTTTTTTTTTTTTAAATTATCAATAAAAAATAATTGGATTTTTTTTCTTATAAAAATCTGTTACCAATTTCATAGGGTGAGATGCAATTATAATTTGTTTTCAAAATTAGGGAGATCTTTTTTATTTACCTTTTATTTCTGTTCGTTAAGTTCTTCAGGGCATAAAAGTAGTAGCTAAATAAAATTGGCATCGAAAGTTTCATCATATGATTTAACCATCTATGCGACAACCATTATCATCAAACAAGTATTTGTATCAACATAAAACAAAAAAATAATATTCAATATGGATCTTTGTTTTTTATTAAAGAAAAAAAAACTATACATCTCTTAGGTGACATGGCCCTAAACTAAGGTAGTCACAAACCAATTCCGTGTTAAACCTACTTACAACAGTTCGGAAGAATCAGCCAAAACATGAACTTAATGAATCAGTCTGGCTCTTTGCATGGCATAGAACAAGAGTTGTCCGAGGAGAAACCCTAACTTCAAAACCACTCGATAACTACAGAAAGTTTACATGCAAAACGTTGTTAGGCTCTCTGCCCATCCATTGACACTAATAAACACTCTGTTCCCCAAAAAGATTTAAGAAGGAGACTTTTCTAAAAAAAAACAGTAGACTAAGGATTGAAGAGCTTCCTGAAAGGTCCATCTTTCCTGTCCTTGGCAGCTTCTGTTAACGCGAGGAACCTCTTGAAACCAGTTGTAGCAGCTCCCCTTCCGAGAGCTGCAGCCCGAGTGAGCACATCTTCTCGGGATGAAATAGCAGCAGAGGGAGCAACATTGATCGACGGAGTAGATGTGGCAGTGACAGTTGGAGCAGCTGGTGCTGATGGAGGAGCAGATGGGATGGCAACGGATGGAGCCACCACCGATGGGTGTCTGATTACAGTGTTGTGCTTGTTAAAATCACCAAGTATAGCTTGTTGGTCTGCTTTCTTCAAGCCCTGCAACACACTAAAACAGTAAGAAGTGCAACAAAAGCATGCACACTGGCTATGCAGGGATAACTATAGGCAACTAGTATACACAGCCTTGGCAGAAAGATGTGTTTTGAGGTTTTGGAAGGCTTCAGTCTGTGTTGTCACTTTAAAATGATTAGAAAAAACTAAAACACAATTATGGTTGCCATCTTTACATCTGGCAATCCTCTTACAAAAGTAATTGAATACTGTAAATATCCAAAGGAAAAAACTTCTCTCAAATTTAATGAATAATGGCTAATTTTGTGATGTGTATTGCTCAAAAACAATGATATCCAAGGCCCATTTGTTTCACCGAAAGTGAAAAATCAGTGCTGAAGTGGAGTACCCCGAGTTCCAGTTCCTTGGAACAGTAGTTCCACAGTGTTTGGTGGTTCGAAGTTGCTTTTGGATAAAAACTGAAACAACAAAAGATAACCAACCATTTTCCCACTTTCATGTAAATGACTTCAGGGCTCTTCCCACAGTGATCCACTTTCAGAATCCTTTTGGATCTCCACTTTCAGTCTACTTCCAGTGAACCAAAAATTGGAACCGGGCCACTTCACCAAAATTGCATTTTGATGGTTTTCTTTGGCAAAACAAATGGACCCTTTTGAATTTTAGTCTCCAACAAACAACACATTTCTAATTCTTCATTAGCATGTTTCCTAACTTGGACTAATGCTAGAAAAGGACCTACGCGAACAAGCATAGTTAACTTTAATGTTCCTCAGAACTTTGGACAATCATACAAATGAGAAGCACAACATTTAAGAAAAGAACCTTCAGGTCCAGGATCCTCTGAAACTCAGCAGGTGTTCCCTCAGGAAGTAACGCTCGGTATGTACTTGCAACAGAATCGATTGGAGATAATATAACCTGTATAAAGCAGGTTGGTCCTTGAACTTCGGTATTTGCTCTTCAGGTGATAACCATGAGTAGGGTCAAGCTCATACCTTCAACAGCGCTTCAGCTTTACTCATTTCACGGCTAACAAATTTTGAATAGCTAGTAGCAACTGTTGCCTGTCAAAGGGCAATAATTAATCATAATAAGAACATGCAAAAGTTGGCAACAATTAAAGGAAAATATGCAAACAGCAACAGCTAATGAAGAACCGTGAAAAGATTTAAAATATTTGGACCAAAAAACTCTTATATAGCCAATGATTTTACTTAATTTGCTAGCATAGGGCAGCGATTTGCTCCAGCATCAGAAAAAACACAAATAACATTAGTTGACAAAATATCATGAATAAATTTAAAAATTGAAAAAAAAATCATACACTTGACAATTTTACTTCTTGTGTAACTTAGGACATCTCAATGCATGAGACTCCTGCCTTTGTGGAGGGTCAATTTACACAACTTACCATTGCAATAGGAAGGTCATTCACATTACTTAGTTCCTTGGTCACCCAGGACATGAAAAGTAATGTAACCATTGAGCCAAGGATTGCCCTCCTTTTTAGAAGCCACTGCTTATCGTTAACAAAATCTTGGTCTCTTTAACTACATCTATAAGTTCTACCATGAACTAAGCCGCAGTTCAGATAAACAAGTGCATATATACCTCCGATGGTTATAGTCTCCTCTAACCTCATGATATTCAACTTGAAAAAAATTTAGAAGTCTAAATACGATAAACAAAAATTACTATAAATGCCAAGTACCTGCTTCCCTAAAGTAGGAATCTCCAAAAGAATTGTCTTTACAGCCTGAGTATCCAACAGCATCTAACGCATAAAGAATCAAAGTCTCCAAGTTACATTCAAATAAGAAGAAAAAAAACTCAGAGATGTCTTCTGTGTTTGTTTCTAACCATCAACGATGAATTCAAGGTACCTGTTGTGCACCAGTTTCTGATATATGTTTGCATTTGAAAATATTGAGGAAAAATCGAGGGCCAAGAGATGCCGCTAGCTGGAAGTATTTTCATTTTGCAAGTTATCAGAAAAATAACAAAAACAGGAAAAGAACAATGTAATACAACAACAACAATAAATAGTAATTTCTCAACTATTTGGGGTTGGGTAGAAAAAGATCAATGTAAATATAAAATGGAATAGGCCAGGAAGAATTTCAACTCCAGCTCCTCATATAAACGACAATTGCCATAACTATTCTGAGAAGAGACGAACTGGTCAGCAAGAGAAAATTATCACTTTACTTGGGCAAGCAACCATGCAATGGCTTCCATGGAAAGAGGCAAATTAATCATTGGGGTAAAACCCAGGTTGTTGATTTTAGACATTGGACCCCCCATTCATCAGCTTCAGCATCCATTAGGAAATCAAATATTAAAATTCTCCAAATCTAGCTTCCAAACAAAAAAAAAAACCTTCTGAATTGAAAATAAATTAAACCTCCAAAGTTAATTTGTAAATTTGACCATGTCAGCTGCATAATTTAGCTCACTAGTGGAGCAATTGTATGAGGAAATCCTAGAAAGTGTCTAGGTGCAAATAAAAAATGATAAGAATTGTTATGGGAAGTAAGGTTTTAAATCTCAATCCAGTATCAATACCATTCCTGGGGCAGAGTGTACCATGTGTCGGTACACTCCCATGCTGACTAATGTGTCCAGCCAGGGAAGGAGAGGAGAATTGGAATAGGGAGAGAAAGAGAGAAAAGAGGGGAGAAGTGGAGGAGAAAGACGAGGAGGAGGCAGACGAGGGGGAGAGAAGGCTGCAGTAGCAACACATAATGAAGGAGGAAAAGGTGGCAGTAACAATGCATGGAAAAGAAAAAAGTGACACAAGGAGAATGAAGCAGTGGCAATGCAAGGAGAAGGCAGTTATTTGCCCTAGCATGGACAAGAGGAAGAGAGAAAAAATGGCATATGTATCTATTAAGACTCGGGACTTAAAAGGAAAGACCTTGTGCCATAAAATTACTGGCCTTAAGCTCAATCCATAAGCTTATCGGGCGATAAGCAGTGTCTCAAACTAGAACAGGCAATCTTGCCCGATCCATGTACCAGTTTGGGCTTGCGGAGGTAAATACCAGCTCTACTAACAGGTTTAATCAAATTAAAAACCATGCAAAAGATGATACCATCTTTGAGACACTATACAACAAACAGTGCAACTAAGAACAAATATCACAATAACATTAGTTCATGCATCTAGGCTGGCACCATATTAAGTATTTCCACAGGGGATGTAGCTATTAAAGATACATTTAATAGCACAACAAATTCGGTTTAAAAACTTACCTTGTCCAAGAAAAACTGAAAGTAAGTGGTAGACAGTAGGCTACCGAGCACAGGAATGCTACTGGAAAGAATAGAATTGATGCCATTGACATACCTGCAAACATCAGAAGAATCTTTTGATGATTGAAATATAACATTGACTATAAAAGAATAATGAACAGCTTAATAAAATATCAATTTACGCTTCTATCAAAACATGTTCAAATGTTCAATACTCCAACTTGAACCACCCAGACACCTTTCTGCTCAACAGCATACATTCATAGGTATGATTTAACGTGAAAGAAGATTATATGGGTTTGGTTCTAATTGTTCAAAAGAAGAGCATGGACTTGTGAGCCTCAATACAATTGATCGGTAAAATGTCTAATTTTGATGGACAGCAGCAAGATAGTGCCTGGTGATCATCGAGGAATCACATTCATTTCAAATGTAGAAATTAAATATTAAAGAACTAAGACTTCAGAGTTTTTACTCTGATTGGTCACCAACACTTTCAAGAGTCGCCCAAGGAACTCGTGTCATTGCAGTCATCTCAGCATCAAATTTGGTCTCAAGCCCATGCACTAATGTTACTAATGCTTTTGTAATCACTGCTGAGAACTCATCCTGCATAAATGCAAAATGCACACCCATTTAAAAACTCTTAAAAGGTTTAAAGGAACTTAGATATAGGGTATCAGATTTATTACCTGAACTTCTGACATATCCACCTTGTCTGCAAATGAAGGATCAATTATCTTCGAAATGTTTTCAGCTAGCTCACCAGACTGTCACAGAAACGTAAAATAATGTTAACTTCCATTACTGACAGATGGAAAATAATAACTCATAATTAACAGTTTTTTTTTTACAATGAAAAGGACTTACTGTGATAACTGACAAATCAAACAATACTGTGTAATAGGCATAACTAATGGTTAATCTTTATCCTATTTCACAAGAGAATCCAATTTCTCAATCCAAGAGTACAATAGTTTGACATTCAAATTTCTCTCTAGAATTCATCTAATACAAAACTTATCCTTCAAAAATTTGAAGTACTACAGCCAACTTACAGTTTTATGGCAGTACTCCGCTGTATTGACAATGTAGCATATCATTCTCTCATCTCTGTCAGATGTCTGCCGTTATTGGTATAAAATACAAGTGTTACATGTCAAAGTAAAGTGAAACTAGATAAATTAGTCATTCATCTACAATAATAATTAGAAAAACATGGTGATGACCTTGATCTGCCCATCTGTTCCAGTAGCAGCTGCAACAATCCCTGTACCACCTTTAGGCAATCTAGCATATAGCTTTGTTGCATATGCCTTCAAAATTCTTTGAAATACCTAGTCAATTCAAGATAATAAGTAATATACCTCGAACAATGATCCCTTTGGGCAATCCCAGCATTATATGATGATTAAATATGAATAAATATGTACCTCAAACAAATTAAATAAAGTCTGACTCTTCGTTAAGGCACTGCATCGCTTTAAGCTTCTCCTTATTATCAAGAATAACTGCAGCATTGAACAATTCCAAGTGAAACAAAGAACATCTAGAAAATAATCTTTATTAAACTTCATTTAAGTACAAAGGTTTTAAGGCAAGAAAATATAATTTTTGTTGAAGCAAAGAAAAAAAAGTATGTTCACCAATCCTTTGTGATAAGCTCTTCTCTCCCATCCTCAACTCATATGGGTCAAGGCAAGGTTTTAAATCTTAGTCCCATACCACTACCAGTCCTTGGATAGACGGATACGACCTTGCTCAGGCAGAATGTAGAGTTTCAAATGATCAGCTGAAATAGATTTAATTCAATTACAAACATATCATATAGACATATACAATAAAAAATGGGGCAACCCTTTTTCCCTTCCTGGACCATTTAGACCAAAAACAGATTTTATAGGGCACTTACTGGCCAAAATATCTCATTGCCAAAATCTCTTAGTGCTGGCATGACACAAGCACTCGTGATGGTAATCCTTGATGTCACAGATAGAACATTGATGATTTTTTATGTTTTATTTTCCTTTAGGTTTAGACAGACACTAAATTACTGCTTGAGAACAGATTTGAAGGAAGCAAGTTTTGTGATTTTAGCTCCCATCACAAATTCATGAACTTAACTTTATCTGCAGAACAAAATGCTATAGCTATAAGAAACAAGGTTAAAGGAATATTAATATCTTCTAGACATCAATAACCAAAAAACTCAACCTTTCTGCAGATAATTTTCTGAAGCAGCCTATGAGGACTAAGTTAATTTACAATCTCAGCTTCTATAACACTGGAAGCATGCATGGAATTTTTTACAATAAGACAATTCTCATAACAGAAAATATAACATTACATAATACCTGCATGCTACTTGACAAAATATTTGTCTGACTTCCCTCCTCAGTTTCCCAAGTTTCTTCCTATAAGAAAACATATTTCGTAATTACATGCCAGTATGTGACAGAACAACACATGAAATTAATATTTTTAACAACCTGAACAAGTTTCTCCAAATGCTCCATTAGTGTTTTCTCCTCTAATTCTATGTAAACTGTCAAATGTGATTCAAAGCAAGAAGAAACAATTCCACGAAAGTTGAACTGCAAGGGCAGGATGGATATCAATATCATATTTGCATGATCTCACATGCAAGTTAGATATCACACAGGAAACTAAGATACTTACTCCAGCGCCATGAACAGATAAATCTCTCTGTTTGTCAATTTCCTAAAAAAGTAGAAACCAGGAAGCTAATTACAATAGGAAGGAAAAATTTAAAAGAAACTGAAGTCATTTGGTACATACTGCTTCATCTCCGCCATGTTGCACAGCAAGCTTCTTTTCATATTTTTTACGTATATCCAAGACAATTTGCTTGTTGCTTTCCCCCAAACCAGTTTCTTCGACGTCACTACCAAGTTCTTTGTCATGAGTGCTCGCAGTTCCTCCACTAAATTTTTCTGCCATTTCTTCCTCAAACTCAAGGGTCCGCTGCAATGCCTGAAATGTGGAAAGTAGGATCATAATAGTTTGCTTCTGAACCAAAAACAAAAGTTCTAGATTAAAAATAAAAACAAACCAAAACACAAATAAATAACAAAATGTCCCAATTTACTTGACCTGTTTCCAAGCAATTTGTTACATTTTTTTGTTGGACTGGAACAACAACAGCCATAATATTTAGATCATTTGGGGTCGGCGACATGCATCTTTGTGCCATTGAGCTCTGCGTAATGCCAATATCTTTAGTTTAATCAATAATAATCAAATATTTTTATTATTTTTATCAAAGTCTTCTTAAGACTTCATTTATCTCGCCTCACATTACTAATCCTAATCAACTCAGTCATCTAATTACACCAACTATAGATCTCCTTCGAACTTGTTCATATTATCTTAGACTATTACACATTGATATAGTCTCACCTAAGAAGTGGAAAAATGAATGCATTTGTAAATATAGGCTAGATGACCTACTATCCTCAACTTGCACTTGTGCATTTTGGACCATGTAGTTTCACGTTCATCAAACTAATAAGTTAATTCTCTCGTTGAGCTAGAATTTTTGACGATTGGGAGTAGGACTCTTGCTTCTGGTCATTGAACATATTTACTTCAATTACTGTTTTGTAGACATCCACTTTTCTGGAAGGGTAGATCAAGTTCGTAGGTCCTGACAGTTTCTCATTGTTGCACAGTCTTGCACATCATTCATCAATTGTTCACATCTAAGTTGTGCTGAAAACTACCATGTGCCCAATATGTACTGACAGAAACAGTTAGTCAACATCTATACTATGCGGCCAGCTTTCCATACCCCTCGACCACTGATGTGTGTTTTCTTGTATGCTATGTTTTCTTCCTAGATTAGGAAATTTTTTGTACAAAAATAATTCCTCTTTCTGCCTGACATGAACCGTCTTTGATTTCCTAGATTAGGGATTTTTTCACAAAAATAATTCCTGTTTCTAGCTGACATGAACATTCTTTGATTCTCCCGAGTACAAAATTTTGCATTCTAAAAATGTTTGATGTGGTTTACCAGGAGATCAAAATTGTCCTTAATCAGATAAATCTGAATAATATACAAACAAAGAAAGAGGTGGCTGACAGATTCCCCCATAGCATTGACTAAATAGTTAACTATGTCAAAATCATGCTCTTTCCTGAAAAGCTATTTCAGGATCTACTACAGTTAGGCATAAAAACCGAGCATCAAACAATATAAAGCAACAAGGAGAAAGAGATAGTTCTCTTTTTTGACTAAAGTATCATTTATAATAGAATTGCTTGATGCAGGGTTGACAATGAAACAATAGCATCATTCAATGTCTGTCAGAAGCTTCTCTGAACATTAACGGTTAAGATGTACATAGATAACGAGATAATCTAATTTGATAAAAATCCTTTTTGTGCTACAAACAACTTCAAACCTTTGCAAAGTTCCACAAGTTAATGGGACATTAAGTATATTAAACTATTAATCACAAATAAAAAAGCATCGCCACAATGTAGAAAAATAAGATGAAGAATTACCAATAAGAGTGTTGCAACATCTGGTTTCTCTTTCAGATTACTGAGAATATCCATAATCTGTGTCCTGCAAAATTAGATACGTCAAATTATCTTGTTGAAGATGCATGCATTATCTTCCTTGAATATTGGCTAAAAGTTAACAAACAGAAGCTAATATGCAGTTATGCACAAAATGTCATCATCTATTGTCACGGAAAGGTTGCACTGTGCTCCCTGATAACTAAAGTCTGGAACTTTAGAAGCTATTAACCTACTCATATGAGAATCAATTGTATATTCAAATAGAATATCTGCCCTTAAACCCTAACATGACATTGATTTAAATCTCCTTGAAGAATAAATGCTCAAGCTTTGAGCTAAAAATCTTTTCAATTTCATATGTTATCTTATTTCTACTGAAAAACTTGGCTTTATTTTTTTCTTGAAAGATATCATTACAAAATGTTTGAGTTGATAAAAACCACTTAGGTTTTGAGTGCAATGATATGTCCAAAAAATGTAGAATTGTGTAATGCAAAATTTTAATTTCAGTCAGAGAAACTCTTGTTTTGTGTTGAAAAAGACAAGAAAGGTCAAAGTTAAGATCAATTCAGGAAGAATTTGATGCCAGAGAAAAAAAGACATAGAATAGGTTGAGGTGCAACATCTGATCAAGTGTCACAAACCTTGTTAGCTTACAGAACTGGATGCACAGAAGATAGTCAACATGCCAAGCAGAAGGAAAAATTTTCCAAATTTCCTCATTTGTCCGCAGCCGACGCTTAATCCATGCATATCTCCTTTCAGTCTTATCCAGTTTTGCTAGTTCTATATAAAAGTGACAAAAGAAACCAATTTCATGATCAGTAAAATGTAGATGGGAGAAGAGCTCAAAATAACATGAATTAAGTAACCTGCTCCCTCAAAGATCTGACGATATGAAGTCAGCTCCTTATTGCACAAGTTTCTTACTAGCTCTTCCCTTACAGATGGCTCCAACGCATCAACAACCAAGCAAGCATCTGTCAACTGTTGCAGCAAATTAGTTTCTTCTACCTCTTTTCCAGTTCCTAAGCTGCAGATTGTTGCCAACAATTACTTAAATGGACCTCTAAATCAGTGAAATTGTACTAGGTCATTCTCAGTTAAAAGATATGCTAGACATGGAATTCAACCAGAAGCTCGAATAAGGCAACCCAAAGACTACTGAAAAACTAAAGTTTGCGTCCGTATTTTGCACTATATTGCAAGAGATTTACAAGACTAGGAATCAAATACTTGTTTTGGCTTAATCTTCTTACTTTTTATTCCTGCATTTTGAGAATTACTATCATAATCAGTAACTTTGTCATAGTTCTTCAAATCTTTTTCACTTCTTTTCGATAAAAGATACATCCTGAGTCCTGATATAAAACCCTTAATTATCCTTTTTTCAAGTCTTTCAAATCCATGTCAAGTTTTCGAATCTTACAATTCCTTGTGAAAGTCATACATACTTGGATTCTATCATGAAAAAATCTGTTCTGAATTTCCTTTCTCCACTTCACATAACTCAACTTAAGACTAATTATGTGTATCTCAAAGCAAATGCATGAATTATGAATTACACAACTAATTAAGATTGTTCCATGGAGTTATGAAAACTGGAATGGTGCTGCAAGGTGCTGCAAATTGATCAATGTCCTTGTGAAGTAGACGTTTGGCTTGAAATTAATGAGTAAATGGGGAATATTATCTCATAAAAGATTGAAATAGCTGTACACACCTACACACCCACAAGAGTGGATTAGACCAGGCACGTGAACCACCGCAATCAAGTACAAATTAGCAGGTGTGCCTTATAGACACTTGCTGTTTTAATATGATTAGTGAGAATCAGGTATTGGATCTTTCTGACTTATTTAATTGCTGCTGCTTATTCTAGACTACTGAAGAGCTAGCAAACCTTACAAAAATCAGCTAACTTTTCCTTGTACTCAGAGCAATTGGACTATCTTTGAGTAGTTGTATGTCAGTCTCCTACATCATGACACAAAGTATTGAAGTGCTGAACTGAAACATCGACATGTTACATCTAGGATCACCCCCAAAAAAAAAGTCAAAAATTAACACCCTCCAGCATTGGACCATGTGGTCAGATTCTGGTCCATGGTCGAACTAGCGTTTGAAACCATGATAGTAACTCATGCTCTCATGTCTATTCAAAATGTAGGCTTGTACTAATCAACACAAACTTTGTGCCAAGCTTTGTTAGCAACTAATGTGATAACCACCACATAGCATGGCATGTTGTGACGAGAAAATCGTTGATTCAATTTTCCCATTTATCATTCTTCTAAAAACATTAAAATTGAAAACTCAGAACTAGAAAAGGCTCAAATCCCAATGAACATAAAGATGTAAACCTTGATCTTGTATGTTCTAGTCATAGAATGATTTGACATTCAACCCAATATCTAATTTGTGATATCCCTATACATTACATAGTATTTCTTCAAGTTTTTTATGAACAAATATATAAAGTGCATATCAATAACTTCAATAAAATTTCCTGAAATCTATTAACAACTACCTTGAAAAGTCTGAGAAGACATGGGACTTGAGTATTTTCTTGATGTTCTTGAACTTCTCTCTGAGTTCGGATATCTTTGGTACATCCCTATAAGTTTCAAAATGACTGCATAATTGGTTTACTGCCTGGAAACATGCCACAACTTCTATTAGCAGTAATGTTGGCATTCCACATTATGATTTGACAGCTGCTAGTGAAAAAATCAAGAGCAGGTAAAATAGTGAGTTTATGATAATCCTAAATACATTTTGCAGAAGAATATTGGTTGCAAATTCAGAAACCAGCACTTGTAGTCAGATAATAACACTAATTTTGAAATTACACTTGACAGAAACATATATCAACATGGAAAACTTAAAAGAATGACACCGTTGGTTGTTTCAAATAGTTAAATTTGCCTTTTTTTCTTTGCTATCATTAAAACTGTTTTTAGTTGAGTTGTATATGCAATGGACAATTAAGTCCATTGTGTCCTTTTGTCACTTAGTCTGGTAATCTAAGGCCCCAAGAATGTGGAGATGAGCACAAACTGCAACAAGATTTTGCAAATACAGTGCAGTTTTCATTTAAAGTTGGTGCCCATGGCATTCTTCTTAGCATTATCAAGTATTTCAGCAAGTTCATTCTGAAAAATATATCAGTGAGAATCCATTAATAGGCTCATCAGAATAGTTAACTCTTGTGTCCATGTTGATCTATGTAAAGAGAGATGATATTTCAAATTTGATCTCAATATTACCATCAAAAACGTTATTACCCTACCAATAACAAATATTGAAGTTTCCATCAGTCAATGGTTTTAACTCTTGACAAAGAATGCATTGTACAACCTAAATAAAGATTAAACAGAGAAAAAACTGGTACTCTATCAAGCACAAGTCACAATTTCAAGAATAAACATTAAAATTTGTTATTCTACCTCCAACTGGGCAGCAGCCTCCTTATATTGGCGTTTTGAAGCCATTATTTGAAGTTGCTCAACAGCCGATACTGTAAGTATCATGTTTAATATAAACATAAGTAATCCATTTTCAGTAAGTAACTAGGATCTGCTAAGTCACATCATCAATCAGGTATCAGTAAATTCATAAGTAGTATTATAAAAGAACAAGCAAAAACTAATCACAAGGATTGAAAACTCTGTAAAGTTAGTATGGTCTTCCAACCAGTCAATGGATCATTATGATATGAAGGTTTTAATTCCGTTTGACTTACATAATCTCACAAAATTAAGACTATTCGCATTAACCAAACATATGTAGTACAGAACAAGGTTCACAATTTTGTATACCAGTACTCAGTCAGGGCTCAAATCGGTACGATACCAGTCCAAGTGTTCATACTGCAATATGTACTGAGTTTCAAGAAAAGTCTAAAGAAGACCAAAAAGTAGAAGAAAAAAAAAAAAGGGAAATTGCTCCATACAGAGCCAGTCCGCTTGTCAGTCCTCTATCAGACCAGTAGATATCGGACCATACTAGGCAGTATGTTGGTTTTTATGACCTTGGTGGTATCTACAATATAAATACTTAAGGAAAAAGAGAAATGGAGCACAAAAACAGAGAAAATAGCAATTTAAATGATATGCACATGCTATATATTCTTGGATAAGAATGGAAGCTATGTTGTTCACACTCGGGCACTAGTCCTCGGGTATGGATATGGAGATATTTCTACAAAACAAATAGGCTTAACAAGAGGATAAATTGGATAAACAATATAGTAATGTAATATACAACTCTTTCACTTTCTCTTATATATACACTTGTAGACATTTCATCAAAATTCCACATATCAAGTAACAACTATCAAAGAAATGATAAGTGAAAAAAGAAATAACTAGCAAGAGGTAGTGGTATAAAAACTAACCTAGCATGGTAAGTCGATGAAGAACTGTAATTGTGATTGTTATATGTTTCTTTGCACAGTCTAATTTCTTAATATCACGACAGATTTCTTGAACCATGGTTTCACTTTGTTCAGCCTTTGTTTTTATTTCGTGTATCTTGTGCATAAGCTCCTGTTTACCAAGAGAAATGGACTTCAGGAGAGGAATAAATATTTAACAACAGTGACCATCTTCAAGTCCCAAATGATTTTCAATTCCATTTCTTTAAAATATCACAATGCCATAACTACAAGGATAATACAACAAAACATCCCTTAATAACATTTGCAAGAACAAAGATGTCACCATCTGCCTCACTTCATGTTAGGAAATACAAAGTTATCCAAGTAAGAATGTCCAAGGAGGAAAAAGGACCTGAACAGCATGTGTTGCAGCAGCAAGATCTTCCTTGGCTTTTGTGCCAGAGTTACTCTGCACGTGCATAAATATGAACCCCATTGGTATCAATATCATTCCCCTAAAACAAGTTATATATAATCATACCAGATTGCTCAAATGACCATGGAATGAACCCCATTGGTGACTACTGAAGAATGATAATGGTGTAGGCTAAAAAAATCAAGAGAAATAGAATTTGGGAGGACAACAAAGGTAGGCAGGACCTGTTGTCGGACTGCAACCAATATACTGGCATCTACACGGCGAATCTCGCTTTGTATCTTTTGCATAAGTGGCTCTACCCCTGATAATGATGCTTCTGAATATACGAGATGGTTCACAAGGTTAGAATTTCAGAAAATTGATTTCTTTATAAGACTTTGTGATATTAAAATACTTTCCATAAATTGAATTACTACAAGATGGGACACAATGTCAGCTATAGAACTTATCAACAAAATATTTGGCAATTATATGTCTACTGAAATTGAGTCATAAAATAAATGATAAGCGTTCTAAGTCGTAGTTCACTAGTTTGCATAATAAAAATGGTTGCTAACAATCAAAAGTAGACCCACATATGAGTCTCAGTTAGTGGTATTGTATATCTATATCATATATCTTGCTGGTTGCTTTGGCATCTAGTTCAGCACAAGCAGCTAGATCCTAAACATAACAATTAAAGGACTATTGGATACGGAAACTTTTCAAATTACCATGAAGTGTTGCACAGAAACATCTTTGAGCTCTGATTCAAAACTTAATTTCTTGATTTTTTTTGGATCAGATTTCTTCAAATTCATGGACTCTTATTCCAGTTCATTAACGATATAATGCATGACCTTGAAAGTTACAGGGATTTGTATCGACGTGGTTTCACCTTTGCACGAATAACACCAAGAAAAGACCAGTAAATTAAGAGCAGCACTATAATTCCATGAATTTATAAATTTGTTGTGCACAACAGGATTCACTGTCGAAAACAAGAACCCAATGCTCGAAAGAAACAAGAGACGATCCACCATACCAGTCGGAAACATCTGGTTGATGTACTCCAAAGCGCTGGACTTGTCCATATCTCATCAAATCCTGATCGGCTCAACCCCAGCAACACTATCCAATCTGAAATAACACGGCCTGAAACAGAGGAGGTTCCGTATTCAAACAAAAACTCAAGATTTCGTCGTATCCAACTAGAATGAACGTCGGCAACAAAAGAGCAACCAAAAAGGCTCAGTTTAAGCAAAATCTACAGCATCCCACGAGATCAACAATGCTTTCCATTGCGACGGTGTCGGAATCGCTCAGATCCAAGGTGAAGGGGATGGTTTAATAAGGGTCTGGGGAATCCAAGACTTAGGGATCAAGAAGAACCCCAAGGACTGGCCGCAGATCGAGATCGAGGCGGCTGGAGAACCGGATTACCTCTTCTTTACCGGCAACGGGAATCTGGGATCGTCGTCGCGGTTTCCTTCCTTTCGAAGAACAAAGCGAGTATCTCGAAAAGCTGCCGCTTCCGCTGTGATAAAGCTCCGGAACAACGGTCCGATAAACTTTGGTTCACAATCCGACCGAACCGGTGTCTCGGTCAGATCCGGTCCGGTCGAGCCAATACCGACCCCAAGTGGCCAAGGCAGACACACAAAAGAAAAAAACGAAATTTAGGATTTTTGTACATATTTATACTTATAAATTTAAATTTAGTGTAAATATATTTATAATCCTCTGGAAACTAAAAACTCATGTAAATATATATCTTTTAGGTTAATTATTATCATATAATTTAATGGTAATGACATATGGGGATAAAATCCCTTTACAGTTAGTTAATTTTTATTAAATCCCTTTATCAGTTATTGAAAGGCGATAGTGATATGGAACCCTAAATATCAGTTGGCCTGTGACGAAAGGAATGACTTCAAAAATGGATAAGAATAAGCGCTAAAAGAAGCTAATTAGTAGCTTCTAAATGAGAGAGAATTCTGACCTCTCAAATATTATCAGAACTCCAGTGGAAGAAGGTGGTACTCCATTCAAAGTTGCTGTGCAGTTAACACATATTCAAGATAAATGGAGTGCCAAAAGCTAGCAAAGAACTTGTAAGAAGTGGGTTGGGCAAGAGTCAAGTGATGACAATTTGAAACATGTCTGCAAGCTTGTCTCTCAAAAATGTCATGTCAGCTACTCCATTTGACTCAGTAGTATGAAAACTTTACATGCAATACCAAAATAACTACAACTCCCAACAATGTCTTTGGACAAAGTGTAACTAGTTCTTTCATTCATATGTATCAAGAGGCAAGCTAAGATCACCTGCAAGTAGATACCAACCTTGGCAGAGTCAACAGACTAAAATGCAGATAATGAAAGATTCATGATAGTCTTTGGTTGAAAAATGTTGGTTTGTAATGAATGATGCAATGAAATATGTTGCTGGCAGAATTTGAGCAATTCATAAGGTAAATTGTCTTCAAACAATAGCCCTGTAGGTGTAGCTATCAACAGCATCTTGAGCTGGTTTCAGGATAACATGAGAATTGACCTATTACCACTAAGCAAAGAGGCCTGATCTCTGAAAGGAAAGTAAAATGCAGGTGTGTAGATGAAAGTATAGCCATAGAATTTAGTTGCAATAGAGTATATCTGCCATAATATTTAGGTAAAGACAATGAGAGAATGATTAAGGCACCAATCACCAGTGTTCCTTACAAGTTTGTCTGACCCTGGAGACTGGAGTGACTTTGTACTTTGGGGATATGTTTAGTGTACAAAGTATGACAAGACACCACTAACCTAACACATGCTTCTAATCTATTTACAGATTATTCCACCATGGCCTTTTCTCTTTATTTTTACCATAGGCATGGAGAAAATTCTCTCATAAGCTCTTTTGATTGATGTTCTACTCCCATTCTCCACTTTTTGCAGGCTTTCAACTGCTGAACAAAAGAGTAGGCTGAAGACCAACCAATGTGAAGCCTAAGCCGAGACTAAGTGAGAGAGTGAAGCCTACAGCACAATTCAGGTCTTCTCCCCAACTCAGATGACCATGGATTGCTCTGCTAGGTTCAAACAGGTATCTATCTAATGCAATTCTTGTTTCTTTTCCTCTGATTCCTAAAAGAAGCAAGCATGCCCAGAATGCAATCAATTGGCGGGCATGTTTTTTTCTAGCCTCGTTCTTCTTTTGCAGCATTGAGAGAACAAGTCGTTCTTTTCCAATCAAATAACCACCTCTTGTGACCAAATTATCTTCATTTATGGCGATTTCCGCCATGGTTTCATGCTTTTATGGTTAATCTTAAATGGCCAGCTTTTTCTACGCTTTGGACTCTCAGAGAAAATGCCAGATGCCAAAGCCTGCTGAAGCCACAACTCAAACTCATCATCCTCAACAATCATCTCAGCGTCCAGTCCCCAAGGATATCTGGAGGGATTAGATCGCAGCCCTGTCCCATCCAGACCAACCATGTTCACATGAAAGCTTGGCCCATGAGTGTTAGGCTTGCATGCCATTCCCTGTATACAACAGACTTGAGTTAGATGAAAATCGTAGTAACTGCAACAATTTTAAATTTATTGATGATTCATGTTATTCTTTAGGTTATTACATGATCACAGATGTAAAAGCTAGAAGAGATATACGCATATTAGAAACCACAACCACCGTGAAGGTGCAAATCCTATCATAATTCCACTGAAGCAATCTACTAGACTGTTAATTTCCAAAACCTTGTCATCCCTTATAACTGCAACCTCAGCCAAAGAAAACCATAGTCCACGTGTACAATGAGTTACGATTGTATCCGGTAATTTCTTTACATAAACTATGGAATGAAAATTGATTTACCATCAGGCCTCTTCTTTAAAGCCTTTTAAACCTCCTGATTAATCTGACGTGACTACTTATCCTTTACAACGAAGCCAAGCATAAAAGCCTTCAAAGGTCAGGTGTGTGATCCTAGATCGATTGTACATTCAGTACGAGGATATCAAATAAAGTATCACCAAGTTTGTGTCAATGCTCAGCCTTTTACATCACATTTTGTAAGTTAGAAAGTAACCCTCCTAAAGCCACATCACTTTTCAGATCAAGTAATTTTTACTCTCTTAAAAAATAGAAAATTAAAAAAGAAATCATGACAAGAACTTCCAGATAATGATGGTAGAAGCCTGAAATGAACTAAAGACTGAATCAACTGCAGAAAATAATCAGATCTCATGTGAAACAGCTGAAATTAGACGTGTGTACTAGAGTTTCTGATGAATTAGTTGCTCCAACAACTTCAACCTCAAAATTTTGCAATATAGCAAGCTACAGCAATGGGAACTTGCATGAAATTGTTATTTGTCATAAAGAACTGAATAAAATTGAACTATAATCTGGCTGCCCATTATAGCATCTGTTAGATTTACATTAACTGACAAAATTATGACAATAAAGCCAGTTCTAGGTGGTACACAGATATGCAACTCTTTCCTGATTCTGACAAGCTTAAATATTAAAAGAAAATGCAACAAAATTATTAATCATCCGAATGCTAACCTGACAAATTGCCCATTCAGACACATCAAAGATTTTGCTCTCTGCGCACACAAAAGCTTGTGGAATTTCAACCTGAAAAGCAAGAAATGGATAGCCAAAATGATTAACAACATAAAATGCAACATCAGACCCAATGGTCAAGAATAAAATATATGATATGTACAATAAAGGACAGCTGATAACTACAAGCAATAGCACCAAAGTATTTCTTTCTTCGCATGAATGGAACAAAAACAAGGTTAAGAAGTGTAACTTGTTCATTTTGTCAGCAACAATTAAAACCAGAATACCAATTACACCAATTAGTTTATTGATCAAAACTCTTAACATCCAATGCATATAAGATGCAAGACTATTGCACAGAACACTCATCTGCAGTCCAAGATATTACATAGATGTGGATTGCTTTATTATGTGTGTCATATTTAGAAGTGTAGAGGCAGTTAGCAAAACTGCCTCTTGCACTCTGAAAGAATTTAGTTACTAGTGAAATAACATTGGTGTTGTTTCATGTCAGATTACTCCTCTCTGGTAAATGATTTCATAAACAAGGAATAGTATAACCTCTCCACATAGAGGGCACAATATTTCCAAACCAATTACTTGGTGTCACTAGCAGATGGTTAGGTAACAAACACTGGGGACCATGAACACTTAAAGAGAACTAAGCCAACGGACATATCATCCAGTTTCACTGGTTTAATACTTCCTAATCTATCAACAAACGTCTAGTTAGCCCCCAGATGAAAGGTTTCCAGCACAAGCAGGGAGGAAAAGGGGAGAGAGAGAGAGAGAGAGAGAGTTGATTGGTAGAAGGTGTGAAAATGCTGGGCATCCATGTGTGTCGCTGCACCTCCTCCCCACCTTCCCAAGCCTCGTCGTGCCTCTCCCAGCTAAAGAAGAGAAGGGGAAGTTGTGGAAAAGCTCCCAGACCCAGGTAAGTTTTCTTTTCCATTTTTGAGCGGCTTCTCATACTTTTCCTTTTTTTTTTTTCTTTCTTTGCTTCCTGTTCCAGTGGCAAAACAGCAGTGCTAACCAGCATAAACAACCATTTTGACCAGAAGGTGCCACCAAGCTCCTGGAACTTAATTCCCTGGTTAGTTCCATATCCCGTCCCACAGTTGATAAAGAATATCTATATTTCAAGGAATAAAATCTGAAATGAGATCCCACATCAATGCATATGTATACATATAATCAAGGTCTATACTTCAGTTACGTAACTAATAGATACTAAAGAATTCACTGTTGTGAAATGTAGGCAAAACATTCAATAAGATTCAGGATGAAATGTAGGCAAAATTCATCACTTGAGAAACGAATCAAGAAGGAAATTGTCATTAAGTAATAACAAAGAGAAGTTAAAGAAAAAAGTTAGCATGCACAAGATCATGAAAAATACCTTCCGAGGTGTTGTTACAACTGGTGAACACCCACTTTCTACCCACCCGTCTCCATCCTTGGCTTGATGATACTGGGAACAAGACTAATGCAACACAGAATATCATAATTACACTCTAAAGATATGAACAAGAACCATTGTGATGTAAAATATTTAGATTAGCCACTTACCTGACACCACCGTGCCCTCCCTTTACTTCTGTTAGTGCATATCCATATATGAGAATTTCCGCACTTTGTGCATTCAATACGCCTAGATTCTTCAGAACGGTACTCTACTCCTCCCTGTAATATAACACAATCAAATGTTTTAATATATACACACATGATTTTCAGTGAACTTCATGTCCTATATATACACATATTTGCAACTTTTAAATGATGCACATAACATATTTGAATTCTGAAATAAGGTTCATACCTAATAAAATATCTTTTAAATTACTAAAATACATTATAATAGGAGAGAACTTAATAAGGTTCCTGCAGTAAACCAAGTGATCTAGCATCCTCACGTATTGGTCAGGTGAATCAAGAAATGACATGTTTTAAATTTTGAAAACATTTAGAAAGGCACACTATATGATGGCAACCCTCTTGAATCGATGGTGTGTCCATCCCAAGGCAGTCGGGTGCAACAGTTGCAGAACTTTAGAAACCACCTCCTTCATCAGGAGATCTACCTTACAGGTAGTCAACAAGCAGAACTGTTTAAGACATTTAGATTCAGATGCATGACAAACGTTATATCATGGATTAAACTCTTCAGCATTAAATATCTGATGTTTCATGAGACAGCTGACAAGTCGTATATTTCACACATACGTGTTTGAATTTAAATAAATTCACAATATTCTGCTATGTATCTTATGCATCATGATGTATTATACCTGCTGAGAGGTAACAGAAGACCTCTGACACACTCTCCCAGATTCTTCCCTTCTCAACTGTTCATCATAGTTTTTCTTCTTTGTCAAATCTGAAAGAACCTGAGATTTAATTTTTATTAGTTGCAAAGTATTACCTATATACAAGAACAAATAACTAAAATAGGCATGAATTGCTAACTCTAGAAACCAGGAAAACAATCATTTCCTGTGATACAATTTACCTCATATGCGCATTGAAGCTTCTTAAATGATTCACAAGCTAATGGACTTCCCAAATTTTTGTCAGGATGAACAAGCAAGACCTAGGATTCCATAGACACAAGTTAATTTGCAATATACTATTCATCAGATAAGGTTAATTTTTAATCAAAGCAATATTCTTGTGCTTAAGATTACCAAGTTGCACACCTTTTTATGGTATTCCTTCTTCATTATCTTAGGGTCAACAGTCTTACTTTTAAGAAAGCCCAAGACTTCATAATGGTTTGTGCTGTTCATTATCCTTTTCATCTCAACCAATGAAGTCGATTCCACCATGACAACCTTGCTAGACGAAGCATCCTTGTGAGTACTTGGAAGATGTGATGCCTTGGATGTTGTGCAAGGCGACATATAAGATGTCACTTCTTCAGCTTCTTTAGGAGGAGAGTCTTCACTGTCAACAGAAAAATCTTCCATAAACGGTTCTGGTTCCTTTTGTTCTTCATGTATGCCTTCATCAGTACCATCGTATCCTTGTAGCAACTTATTCAATATATCATTGGAAATGAACGAAAGACTTAAAGACAGAAAAACCCCATGCAATCCTACACGGGCATTGATATAATAAACAGCATAAGCAGTCGCCATTAATATCAAAAACCGTGCATGATTAAGGGAGAACATATAACCTGCAAGCAAATCAAGTCCCGTAACTGAAAGGTCTTACAAGAAGTCAATGCAATTAAAATAGGAGAAACTTTTTGCATACCTCCACCTATAAATAGCATTGCTGTAATCCAAAAGTAACCATATATCCACATAATAAGAATGCCATAAAGCCCAACAATAAGAAGTCCAGGTGTGAATCCCAAATAGTGAATGACTGCAGCAGCAGCTACCTGACACAACACATTTATATGTAAATTTAGCATGATCCAATTTCAATAATAATACTTGACCTCTTCTCAGATAGATAACACCCTCATTAAATTATTTCCCTCCTATTAATTTTGAGTGCCTCATAGGAAATGACACAGGTGTTCTAATCTGAAGCACAAAAACAGAGCCAACAGGTTGAAGATTTTATTATATTTCTATAGCTTTCAACAGGAGATAACATGTGGGGAAGAAGCAGCATCGCACAAAACCATGACAGAAAAGCAAAACTTTGTGCCAGAATTTTCCACGAATGAAAACCAATTACATAACATTAACCATCACTTATCAGAATGGCATCTTCTGCATAAATCACTACATGAGGACAGAGAGAAATAACTCCAGTACAGTCGCTTCATAATAATGTTGGATTATCCTACAACAACAAATTTATAAAAAAATTACTTTGTTCTCAATCATTTCACTTCCAAGCCTGGAGATCAGACTCCACCACCACACTATTAATAGAGACATCAGAAGAGGATTTGGGTATGAATCTGAGAGTCCAATGTAGAAAAGAGGTAAAGGCAACACAAAAGGAGCCTAGTAGAAAATCATTTTAGTCGACTATCCATGATGTATTTAAATAGAGCAAAGAAAATGCCTTTTTAGATGTATCTATAATCAATAACGAGACTCTGGAAAGAAAATCCACATCTCTCACTTAGTTAATATTTCAATTTTTAAGTTTATGAGCAAGAAATTTTTTTAGTACCCACAATGTTTAAAGTTTTACAGAAGATGCCATGAGAGGCTCTCTTTGCAACAAAAGAATATATTTTGTACCAACACATCTGTCTCATGAAAAGATAAAAATCATGCTGTAAATTTACATCTGATGCTTATATCATATTATGATACTGATGATATCATACAATAAATTTTTTATTTAATTGTACTAATCTATCTAACAATCATGTTGAAGCAATTCTGGAATTAGGGCAACCATTTTGACATTCGGTTTCAGCCCACTAATCTGGCTTCTAAAGCCATGATAGCTATCAAGCATTTCCAACATTTGATAGCTTCATGAGAAGTACATTACATTCTTCAGAGCAGAAAATATGTATATGTGATTGCAGTTCTAAAACTCTAATTAGGACAATCCAGTAGGAAACACAAAGTTGTGGAATATGCAACCACATAAATGATTGAGAATCATATATTACTATCCAGGTCACTACGATTTATAACATCCACTAGATCATAGAGTGCTAGGAGTCAGGAAGTGATTTATGGAAGGGGAACATTACACATGCAACTTGTAAGTAGCACCTGGTGATATGGCATTAAGATACTTTGCTGATGACATATAAAACCACAGATAGAGGCATCAGACTAGCCTAGAAATAGCCATACAGTATAAGAAGTATGATAGGAAAAGGAGAGAGACAGAGAGTGAAACTCGGTAAACGTTATAAAACAGAAAAACCTAAAAGTAAAACCACAAGCTCTATTTCAAACAGAATCTAGAAAAGAAGGTTACAAACACAAAAATAAAAGGGGGTCCTTGCAAGTGCATAAGTCTTATCAAGAGTGAGGACAAACCAGACTTAGAAGCATGTAGACGAGGGAAGTCGTCGAAGTCAAGCAAAGGAAGCAACTCCACAATACGAGGAATAGAGCTGCTGAACCCAAGGTAAACAGGGACCTCAAACCTCCCACAAAACAGTCCCTCCACTGCAATATCAACCTAAAAAGGAACCTTCCAGCAACTGTGCACCAGCTGTAAACCAACGGCCAGTGGCGGTCGACCAGAAGCACGAGTTTCTCTCCGGCCCAACTCGCAGCAACTCGGACGAACACAAAGGCCTGCTTTCGGGATTGTACCCATTTCCACCCTTGCCTGAACAAGCCTATGCCGCCCATTGAAGCCATAAGAGTAAGAACTTAGCCAAAACCACATCACCCGAAGACACCCACCAAAACGCATAATGCAACCTCTGCCATCAGAATCGGATTGCTAAGAGGTGTTGCAGAGCAACATTTCCTTCTAGTCCTCTTCAGAAGAAATCTCTCAGATCCCATCACCAATCGTCATAACGATTACAAAGACCAGCCTTTTAAGAAGATTGCAGCAGATCTCTCCGCTTGACTACAAAATCGTCATCTCTTCCATCCAGCAATCATTTCTCCAGCAGAGAGAAAGGGAAACCACAAAGAAACGATTTTGCCTCCATCAAGCCGAGCACAAACGTCTCTTTTGCGACTGCCAGCTCATGGCGCACGAACCCTAGCCATTTCCTCCAACCCGGCCGGCGCCTCTCTGCCGGGAAGGAGAACAAAAAGGAAAAGGATCGATGATTCGGGAGGGGCTTCGGGGTGAAACCGACAAGCAAATCCTATATTCCACCTGCGACGAGCTATATAAAAAGGTAAAATGGTAAAATAATGCACGGGAATCTGACGAACCCTAACTTTATCTGCCGGTTCTGCTGCTTTTTCTTCAGGCTTCGGGCACTGCTCGTGACAAAGCGGAGAAGCGAGGCGAAGGAGAAGGTGGGCGAAACAAAAAGAGTCTAATGATCGAAGCGGTTGCTAAAGGGAAAGATTATTAGGTAACGTGGTGGTGAGGGCCATGAAGCGGGTTCGAGGAGGTAAACGTGGTGGCGCTGATGACAGAGAGAGAGAGAGGTGGGGAAGAGCAGAAGCTTTAAACTGGCCGTGGAGACATGTCTGCAATAGACAAGTGGAGTCACATTCCGGTGTACAGCGATATTTCACCCACCCTTTGTAGATTACCCAACTCACCTGCCTGCCTGGTGTTCTTGGCGGGCCCACGTGGACCCCTGCAAGGCATCCAATTACACGGAACGGATGCGGGAGGATAAGGTAGCGGAAGAGGAAGGTTTAGGTCCGAACCAGTTCCGAACACGTCACAGCTTGCCCTCTATGGCAAAATTATATGCGTAATTTTATTATATTGGCTATTTTTGTATGAACTTTTTCAAGTTCAGTTTAATACACATATATATATAATTAAAAAATATATAATTAAAATTAATCTTATTTTGTTGACCAAAACTTCAGATAACGATAATGCCCTTTAAAAATATTGCATATAATATATCTCTTGATACTAGTGCTTTTGATATTTTTCTTCTACATATAAGTAGAAAAATAGTCAAATTTTAAATGATAAATGGATATAATTAAAAATTATTAAAATATTATAATATTAAACCCATATATATATATATATATATATTTATATTTATATATCTATATTTACGATGCTGATTGATTTTTTTATTTTTGTCCAAACTGGTTATATATATTACGTGAATGACAAATTGATAAGTAAAATAACAACATAAATAGTGATAAGAAATATTTTGATACTAATTATAATTCTCACCGAGGAGTTGACATAAAAGACAGTAGGGCATCAATTCGACATGGAAAGTGAATAGGACTAATAAGCAGCACCCCGTTAGTTGCACTTTACTAGTGTAGCGCCACATGGAATAGTACAGCTCAACGTCGTGCCACGAAAGACCGTACAAGCTAACTCACATCGTAAGAAATTGCATGAGCCAACCCACACCAATAAGAGCCGAGCGATTGCCCACATGAATGCACCACAAAGGGACGTGCGAGTAGTCCCTTTCAATTATGGTCCAATCCCATCGGTTCCACAGGTATAAAAACTAGTTCCCGATGCTCAAAGGGGTCCAAACTCGAAACCCTAAAAAAGAGTTATAATCTCTACCAAACATTAATATAAATGTCAAAGGCGTTACATCGAGAACCCTTCCCTCTCCATACTGACCTGTGGTGCAGGACACTAAATAAATCGAGTTCACATAAGTCCTATCTCAAGATAGCCACAAAAGTTCAGAGGCTATCTTGAAGCTCTCATCGTCAACCCTCGATCGTAACCCTCTTTCATCTCATTTTGGGAGGATCTTTTAGGATAATCATATGTCTTCGGGATAATATCAAACTATTTAACCTTCAATTCACGACATCAAGCTGCTAACAAATAAAAAATCTTGAATTCATATTATACGTTAGTATATTTCTTTTTGAATAGACGAATCACATAAAATCTTCAATCTCCACATCAATCTAAAGAAATAAATGATTGCCAAAATAAACTCGTAAAGCACTACTTTTCTCGTAGCACAGTAGTAAAAATCATGAGTGTCACATAACCATGTCTTCAAGTATCTTTTCAAGTGACGAGTACCACTGAAAAAGCCCCTAATCAAAATGTGATCGATGGATGCATATTTTAATATGAATGGAGCTGCATTTACGTGTCGAGTGTGTTCGAGTACTTGTGCCCTCTCAGCACATGATGCAATTTCCATGTACTTCTTTTGTAGCAAATGCCAAAGAAATAAAATAAGCTTCTTTTGTTCTTGAGTTTGAGTATATTGTTGTTGAGTTTGAGTCGGGATATTAAGATAGTGAAGTGATAAGCATGAGTTGCTTCGATAGTTTCTTTCCTGTTTAGCTTAGCTATCTATACATTATTAGGTTTAAGTTCAACAACGAATTAAACTTTGATTGGTCTACAAGTTAGTAGGTGTCGGCTTTGCTTTAGATATGGATATTGGGATGAAGTGCAGGAGGAGAGATCAGATTAGCATCGAATAGTTTTCTCTTTCTTCCTCCTTGTTATTATTATTATTATATGTACACAAAATCTAAATCCATGAAGAGGGATACAAACATATGAAATATTAGAATCTAGAAAACATTAATACATATATATACATATATATATATATACACCCCATATTTATTTTCTTAATCATATGTGGCTTTAGCATGAACAACACCGTTTGGGAATGACTTTGTTGATCGTATTTTTGATTGATGTGATGTCTTAACATTTTTGTACAGAAACCAATCCATAGAAGTGGGGTGCAAAAAAGGAACGTTGTGAGTTTGGCAGGGTTATACTCTAATCTCCTAGTGGGCATAAAACATGAGAGACATCATGTTTTTGGGAGTTTGGACACACTAAACTATGCCTAGTGGTGGAGAGAGAGAATCTGATGAAGAAAATTTATCACCCCAAGAAAGACGGGTTTGGTGAGAACTAAAGAAATGCAGCAACTCTGCAACTCAATGATTAGATCACTCCGCTCACCTTTGTCAAAAGAAACATGCCAATGAGTTTTTATGTTTTTTCTAATATTTCATATATATACATATATATATATATATATATATATATATATGTATATATATATATATATATATATATATATACTATGGAAAAGTCTATGGTATAATTGTTGAACTCACTACCATTTAATGCTTAAAACTTGCTAATATGCACGACTCGATTTCTTTTCTAACTTAAGGGCATTATGGGCAGCCTGTTGTAACATTTTACTCATATTTATATCCTTTTTAATACATGTAAATAATTATAATATTTGACCAAAAGATAAACATGCATATGTTGAAAAGTCTAATCACTTGGGATGGGATACTAGTATTTTTATCTATAAAATAAGATCTAAGTAATCACTTAGTAAGTATAAATCCTTATATAACTCTATTTACGTGAGTATGTATCATGTCTCATATATATTATTTTAAAATCATCATCATAAGATATTTAATAGTAAATACTTGATCTTATGACTTTTTTTAGCAAACATAATCCTACAACATAGCATATGCAAAATTAAAAAAATAATTTATATTCAAATAATTTAAAATAATTATAAAACATAACAAATTCAAGGATTTCTACGTCATACATCATAATATATATGTGCGCTTTCACATTGTATGTCATCATAATATATACGTACATTCTATATCGTATGTCATAATATATATATATATATATATATATATATATATATATATATATATATATATATATATATATATATATATATATATATACTCTCACATTGTACGTCATAATATATATATACATTATATATTGTAATATATTTGTATACTCTCACACTGCACGTCATAGAAATTATATGTATTTCAGGTCGTTCATCATCATATATACATACATACAATACATTTTTTATCACAATTCATATATTTTTATGCATACAAAATATATACATTCATATTTAACTCATGTCTAGCTCATGATAATTATATCATTTATTTCAAACATACTTTTCAAAATACATTATGAATATAATAATTTATACAATTATCATTTTGTAATGAATTAAACTTATACTTACTTGATTTAACTTAAAAATAAATATATCAATGAAAGACTATACTATTTAATTTAAAAATAATATTAATAAGAGATTAAAATAATAATTTAAAAGATAAACAAATCTAATCACATAAATAGATCTAAAATTTCTTTATGATTTAAGTTATTTTAATTTAAAAAATAGCTCTAATGCTAATTGTAAGCATAAAAACTATAATAATGCTATTGTTATAAAAAAATTTAATACTAAAAACTAAAATATAATAACTATAGATCGAAGATTAGATGAACATATATTTTGATGTCAATCAAATTTTTTTTTTCTAATATGAGAACATACTCTATAATCTGATTGGTAGAATATAGTAATATTAATATACCAAAAGAACTAATATATGCCGTATAATATACGTGTAATCTTATATATGTTATGTTATTACACGTGTTGAGTCACTAAAAGATTATATTTATTTATAGACGAAAGTAAATGATATAGGATAAATAATTAAGAGAGATAGTTTTATCAAAATTATCTACCGAAGAATCTTATCATAAATAATTTTTTTTCTATTGATTGATGATCATAATTAGAATCTAATCATATCTATAATATATGTTACCTAATTAAACAGAATTACATAATCTAATAATATTTAGTCAAAAATAATTATACTTATAACTTGATTATTTAGCTTGGGATTCACTTTTATATAGTCAATCTAAATTAATCAGGGTGGTGTAGTGGTGTATAGGTGTTCCTCTCTCCTTCCTAGCCTATTCCTTTCAAACTTAAAAAATATTTTTCACTTGAATTATTTATATTAAATTATTTTGATTATTTTTAAATAACTCTTCATAATTTATAACTATGACATTCGGAATGTTATGTTTATAAACCATGATGTGACAATTCTTAGTTTCAAAAGAGCATTAAATACTAACGAAAAAAAGCACTCTAATAAATCACATAAGATGTGTTTGAGTTTTATTAAAACCCCCCAGAAATTAGATTGCAATAGGTTTCTCTATTGGCTCTTGCTATTTCCTTATTTTCCAACATATAGGGCATGAAAGAGATTTACAAAGCTTAATAGTGTATATCCACAATAGATCTATGTAATCCATCTTAAATAATTGGGAGATTATGATTTTGTTAACGTTGTTATTGTACATGACATAAAGAGATACTGTTGTTTGATATGGAATTGCATATCCAAATAAATGCAACGTATTGATTCACATCATGAAGTATCTGACACAGTTTCTGATCCAAGCTATATGATCAGAGATGACAACAACATCCTTTGCTTGCTGCACTGACCACCGTATTCATTGACATCATTGCTTAATACTCGATGGAAGCAACCACCAATGAATGTGACAGCCAAAGTCCAGCTCGAGGAAAGCAGGGCTATAATAGACATCTATCTGAATGAAAAACATATATGTATTCCTTTTCAAAAATTTAATATAATGAATATAATAAAAAATAGAAGTTATTCTGATCATTTGCTGCCAAAACCATTTGAATTATACGTTGTTGAGGATCTTTGATGGTACGTTGTGTTCCTTCATGACTAATTCATCATTAATCGTCCTGCAAAGTACACCAAATACCCAATTAATGGGGCCGCAATTATGCGTGTCGGCGCCATGTTTGTTGAGTCGGTGAATTCTGTCGGCTACTGATTACGCTGTCAGTCGATCCATACTTTCTTCCAGGATTGGAGAATGGTACATGGGACCCACCTATTTTAAGGTATGGTAAGGGTAAACGGTAAGCAAAAGTGTGGCCCATGCACCCGCGAAGCCCAAGCGTGACGGGTATGATACTTTGAGATGCGAGATAGAGCAGATGTCAAGCGCATCGAACGGTGATTATTTGGTCTTGCATGGGTTCGTGTGCGCTTTGCTACCGCGTGGAAGATTTTTCCGCTATTCTCACCCGTCCGATCTGTCCCGATCACAGAATGAACGTTCCAGATTTTACCTCGCTGTGTGTACCGTGTCACCGGGGTCCACGCACCGCGGCGGTTATTGTCACCCAGTCGGGCTTTTGCCGGGTCGTGGGTCGTATCTTGTCACCGCGTTGGGCGAGGCACCGCGGTAAATAGGATGGTTTCGTTCGAGGGAGGACACGTGGGGACCACTAACTGGAACTGCAAGAACTGTTACTTGCACCGTGGGGCGGTGCCCCTAAGTTAATTACCGACATGGGGAGGGCAATTTGGTCAAATCAACTCCCTCCTCTTCCTTCTACGAACTTTAAACGCGAACCGATCAAAAGTTTAGCGGGATTTTGATAGCCTAATTTATACCGTTTCTTTAACTTTTCTTTGGTTTGTTGTTAGTTGTTAGGCTGCGACGCTTCCGCTCGAATCTTGTTCCTCGTTCCCTCGTTCTCTCTTGGTATTCTCTGACTACATATGTCGGCAGAGAAGAGAGTTGCTCTTGGCGACGCATTCCCGAGTGTTCGAGGTGAGATCCTGCTCACTGGATTGAAGTCCTGTGTCTTCTTGTTCGATTTCTGTGCTTTTCTTTATTCTTTTACTTCGCGGAGATCGATGCAGGGTGTGTGGAACCTTTCATCTAGAACCTGCATTCTCTCAAGATCGCGGAGAGCGTGGTCTTCCTTGGAGTCTAGTACGTTTTCTTGGTGGGTTTTGAGTTTTCGGTCGGTTTCTTGGCTTTTGGTGTAGTTTGAGAGCCAAGATCGGAGTTCTTTTCTCTTCTTGTCGAACTGCGTGAGATTAACGCCTGGATTTTTCTTGTATTTAACTGGTTTTACTCGAATTGAAGAGAAATCCCGGTGTTCTGTCTTTCTTTGAGGCAGAGATCGGAAGGCTAGCTTCTTGAGTTCCTTTTCTTGATTTCGTGGTGTTTCATGAGGAACTTGTATAGAAGATAAGCGTGCCTGCTATGTTTGTTTGTTGCTTGAGGTAGACTGAGGTCATTCACTTCAATTCGTGCGCGGAATACTTCGAAATGGTATTTTTGGGTGGTTGAATTGTCTGAGCTTCGATTCAGACGTCAAGCCCATAAACATTTCTGTGGAAATGGAGCCGCATTTAGAGATTCACCTCGATGATCCGGTCAAAAAGCCTCAATCATCGACTGCCTCTGAACAATCGACAGCTGTTGAGGTCTTGAAGAAATCATCGAAAATGGTAAAACCCAGCGGAAGAACACCAACTGCTAGAATCTCCAGTACCGTTTCTTCCATCAAGAAGCGGACAGAAGGAGCTGATCAAACAGGTTTGCGTGCCAGAAGGTCTAAATCCACTTTAACGAAGTCTGCTGGGAGCTTGAATGCCGCTCCATGGCAGAGGAGAAATAGCACCGGTTGCATTGCACTGAAGCTGCCATCTTCAGCTACAAAACGGCAGGAAAATGGAACGTCTATTGATGGTAAAAAGAAAGCTTCTTCGGTTTCTGAACATGGGAAGAGAAGAAGCCTTGAAAGCAGACTTTCATTACTGCCTTCTGTGATCCCAAAGGTACCTTCCGCTGTAGCACGTTCAGAGACATTGAAGTCATCTCCTGTGTCTCGGTTATCATCTAAGTCTGACAGTACTGAGGCAGATTTGACACGGAAGCCACTCGTGAAACCATCAACAGTTTCTTCTTTGAGAAGGTTTACCACATCTTCAGTGGACAGTCCCAATGGCTGCAGTAGTCTAAGAAAAGTGGATTCAAACGTGTCGTCTCCCTCAGGACGTTCACCTTCAGTTACAAGCAGCTTTAAGTTGGGATCAATGTCTGCATCTATCGATAGGGGTTCCTCTTTATCAGGCCGAAAGAAGACTTTGACTCCAGAGAGTCGTGATTCTCGCTTCATGATGCTTCCTCAGGTGGATGTCAAGGCAGGGGTCGAAATGGTAAGTGATGAAGTCACTTGTGTGTTGGATTGTTATATTACGATATAATTCTTTTTTCTTTGTAGTTTATTCTGGGTTATTAGTCCTAGAGAATAATTCAAAATTTGGATCCATCTAGCTAAGCAATGCAATCCATCTTTTGTCTCACCGATATTTTTATTGATTTTTTAATTTATTTCAGCGGCTTGATTTAAGAGGACACAGGGTTCGCAGTCTTAATGCCTTGACTTTGTCACCAATCCTAGAGGTAATTGTCATTATGGATCCAGTGTCCAATTTAATTTTAGTCCAGACACAAACTAATACTATTTTGAATGAAGAATGACGACTTTACTTTCTGTAGAGATATATTGAAACCAATCATTTTCTTATTTATTTCTTCTTTAGTTTGAGAATTTTGGAACCATCGTTGTTTTTGTTCCTTTGTTTTGAGAATAAAGAAGCCTACCATGAGTAATCACCTAGTTCCCTTGAATAAAAAGTGTTCTTTATGTTAAATACATTAAGTGCTGGTAATGATGCTTTGAAATAAATAGATAAAAGAATGTTTGTGTGAGGCCTTGCATACTAAACTAATTGAGTGGAACTTCTCTGGAAACTCTTGTGCTTTCCTGCTCATGTAACTGCCTATCTAGTTCTTTTGGGTGAAGTTTAATTACTGAGTTATCATGGGAAAAGATGTTATATTCTGTTTGCAACCTTAAGCTGGCATCTGACCATACAAGAAAAAATAAGAGTGTATGGAGGAGAGATGCAGTGGGAGAAGACAAATTGTTGAACTAATGTGAGGTCCACTTGTTTAACATGTATGCACAATAAGTGCCAACTATTTGGGGTTTTTTAACATGTACCTCTCTCCTCTAAACCAGCCTGTCAACCTATGGTTGACCACTGGGTGGCTCGTTGGAGATAAGTCCAAGCTTATGGTGATTAATAAGGATGTGGTAGAATTCTGCACAATGTAATGTAAATTTTCATCAAATGCAGAATCTGAACTTGTCTAATGAGACGGGTGATATATTATATCAAAAGTGGAAGGTTGAAGAAGGCAATATAGCACAAAATTATTAATCACCCGATGGTAAGTTTTAGGGCTTTCTTCTCTTGACTTCTGGACTGGTACAAAAATAATGATCGTACTCATGAATTAGATCCAAGGGTTAAAATGGAATATTTTGGAAAGAATAAGAAGGTTCCAGTTATAGCACACGTTCTTATGATAAGTTAAAAGTGTAAAACATAATTGCCATGAAAGACTTTGAACTGGTAATCTTTGTTTCTGGAAAATACCATCACTTTGTATCTATTTAAAGATTATCTTGAAGGACGAGGAATTGGGACAATATGCAAAGATGTAAGTTTGGTGCAAGAGATGTGGTAAATTGAGAGGGTTATAATTATTGGGGAGTATTGGTAACTGAATATTGTCTCCAGAACTTGCATTTTTAGAATTTGAAAATTGACCTTGACCCATGGAACAAGGTACCCAAGTTATCACACATGAAATACTTTTGTTTCTTTATACAATTATTATCTTGTCTTTGCTGAAGCTGTCTATGATCTTGGTACCAGACTGACTGCTAGCTTAATGGACTATGAATGGGCTTAAAGTCACTGTGGACTAGTTGATTAGGTATGTTTTGCAGATAATGATATTGGTAGCTGGGGCATATAGTTACACATTCATTGATACTGGTGGCTCACAGCCTCACGTATACAACTACACATGCTTGAGAGTTGCAAACCTTTCTTGTGGTACAAATTTGCTAAGAATTGATCATATGTTAATGTTTCATTGCCTTGCAACTAGTGCCAGCTTTCTGTTGTGATCAGTGATCTATTTTGTGCTGGTAAATGTCTGCATGATTGGTGATTACAAAATTCATGGTTGCAAATTTCATTGAATATTGTGAGAGTCCCTTTTTCTTGTACCAAATATGGTTTCACTGGTAGATTTATCATGGCCTTACTTTTCTTTCTATGTGCACTAAAAATTCTATGAAAAATGATATGTTTCTACATGTAGTAATATTCCTACTTTGTAGTTTGTTTATCTCAGGGACAATCTTCTATCATCTGTGGAGGGTATTGAAATTTTAAAGAGGTTGAAGGTATAATATCTTGGTTTATATTGCCAGAATGTCATTTTATTAGTTAAACTGACAGGGGGTTACCTTTCATATGTTTGTCTTGACCCACACCATCTCAGTGTTATATTAATGAGCCAGTAAATTCCACCTTGTAGGTGCTTGATCTGAGTTTCAATGATTTCAAAGGGCTTGGTTTTGAGCCTCTTGGAAATTGCAAAGGCCTCCAGGTGTGTATATGGGCTTATATGGGTGTTTCATTGACAATAGTACATATCTCGATATGAAAGCTCTTGGACTATACTCTGCAACTAAGAATGATGTATGCCTTATTACTTCAGCAACTTTATCTTGCTGGAAATCAAATAACATCTCTGGTTACCCTTCCTCAACTTCCAAATCTGGAGGTCTGTTGTTATCATCATAATCCTAAATTGGAGAATACGTTTTATTTTTCAATAATATGTGCTTTCTTGTCTCTCACAAACCTAAGGTGACCTTTCTTATTTCCAGTTTCTCTCTGTTGCTCAAAACAGATTAAAGTCACTTTCCATGTCTGGCCAACCTCGGCTGCAGGTCAGCTAGTTTCAACTTATACAACTAATGATTTTGTTTTTTTAACTCAGTCACTGTTCTTTGTTTTGATATTTGTTCAGGTATTAGCAGCTAGCAAAAATAAGATATCAACTTTGAAGGGGTTTCCGTATTTACCACTTCTTGAGGTCAGGCTTTTCCATTCATTTACCAAACTTAGTATTTCTTTGTTTTTCCTGCTCTATCAGAGTGGAAAAGAAAAAAAGAGAAAGGTCTTTAGCTTTTACTCTGGGTTTACAATGCACTATAGTTCTCTTTTTGGGCAAACTATAAGTAGTAGTATCTTATAGACGCTGGGTTTTATCATTTATTTTCACATACAAAATAGTTGTTCTTTTTCATCTAACTGAACATTTCATTAATATAGTTGTGTTAATTCTATTGGTTGTTAAAATAAGTTGTGTGGTTTTCTCTAAACATCAAACGGGGTTTTAGGGAATTGATGTGTTATTTGTGAGAAGCTTAGTCATATTTAGCATATTTCTGAAAAAAACCTTAGGTAAATATGCAATGAAGTGAATGCATATTAGTTTTTGGAATACTGATGGTTTGTATAGAAACAGAAACCCATTCGGCATTTGACATAGTTTTAACTGCATTTGGACATGTCTTATGCAAACTCAAAATTTCTTCACAAGCAAATCATTATCTTCTTTGAAAAATAATTTCCAAATGTGCTTAAAGATGATGAATTTACTTTATTTCTTCCGGTACATGTGATACCTTTAGTTTCTCAAACATTTGAATGGGCTACTGCATCTTGCTAAATGAATCTTATATGTTGGTATTATCTCATGTGGTTTGTTTAAGATACCAAAATATTTGGTGCTACCTATTAATTTGTCTTTAGGTGCCAATCTTTTAGAACATCTTACATTTCCTTTTTCACATTCTGAAACAGTTCTTTGTCCCATTAGTAACAGCAACTTATGTGAAGTTTCCAAATGCTATATGCAGCATCTGCGTATGGAGGAAAATCCTATATTAAAGATGCCTCACTTAGAAGCAGCTTTGGTATTGCTTATTGGTCCTACATTAAAGAAGTTTAATGATCGTGGTATCTTCCATGTTCTTTAATCTTTATATGGCATATTTTTCTTGGTCTTTTCTGTAGCTTGTCAAATTAGTATCTGCTTCCTTTTTGTTTTACATTACTTCCTTTATGTTTGATCTTAGTCAAAACCTATGACAATTTTGTTTAAACATGATGCAATTATGCATGGTTGATTTTATGATCGCCCGAATCTAATGGTTAGGCATGGGATATATTCTGGATTTCTAGAGCTGTCCATATTAGCCTTCAGATGCTGTCTGGCATAAAAAGCTCAGGATTTTGGCTGTTGATTGCCTGTTTAACTTTTCAATTGTAAGAGCCTGATTGTTGATGCATGATTGATCAATATCATGTTTGTAAATTTGTTAAATCATTAGAAAGTAGAGATTATGGTTTGAGTGGATTAGCATTAATTGAAAATGAAAGTTACTTGTTTTGGTTGATCTATCTACTCTTACACTAATAGAACATTGCAGATCTTTCACCTCGAGAGCTGGAAATTGCAAAGCTATACCCTGGTCATACAGCTTTGTGCATCAGAGGTGGATGGGAATTTTGCCGGCCAGATCTTGCTGAAGGTCTGCCTTAAGAGTTCCGGATTTTTAAATGTAGTCACCTTCTTGACTTTTGCAACTTCTTATACTGCACTAGTTGTGCAAACAATATTTCATATAGCTTAGTTTCAATTCTTATTATATCGGCTATTGTTTTTATTTTTATTGTTGTGCTTTAACATGATTTTAAATTGCTATTGGTTGTTGTTTGCATTATCAGGTTTAGGTGGATTGTTTTGAATACTGGAAAGAATGCTTATCTTCTTGTCTTTACTAGTGAATGGAAGCCCGTTGGCTAGAAATTTTAACCATCGTGTGGACACATAAGTTTATACTGGCCTGTCTTGGGACTGTGTCATTCGATGGCTTGCCACAGGATGAACTGGTTGACTTTAAAAATGTCAATCTGTTTCTTTGACTTTTTGCTGTATCCCAACTCTTCTTCTTGTGTCTCTTCCTTGCCCGCCTTCTCACTTGATCCAATATTTTGGTCTCGACATCCTTGGTTGTTTCTTTAAGCCTCTTGAAATTGGTTTCAGATACAGCTCTATGACTTTTGTCTGTGATTGGTCCTCTTCAGCTGGCGTGGTCGCCAATGGATTGAGGTTAGTTTCAATGGATTGAGGTTAGTTTCAAGCAGCAACCAACTTATGCTGGATGTCGCATGGAATGACATATCTTCAAGTTCTCTGCTTCTCATTCCTGGATATTATGGACCAGATTTCTGATAAGTTTGTTTTTGTTGTAAGAGCATAAATAGTAAAGCATGAGTCCTAGAACCATAATCTTTTGTGAATTCATACCACAGTTGTAGTAGTTTGTCAGACAGAAATTTTGATGGTTTATCTGCTGAAAATTACAACGTTAAGATTGATTAAATCCGTTGAAAGTCAGAAATCTTCATTCGAATAAAAGAAAAGCACTGTACTAGGATGCTTGTAGAATCTGCGACTTGACATAGTAATTCATGGAACTGCCATTATCTAGGCTATACATCTTATATGCAATGCAACATCTTGTTACAGTCAGAATATCCACTACTACTCCAACAAACCCATAAGAATGCATGGCCTCAGAGTATTGTTTGTGTTTATTTTCCTATGCAACATATGCAATCCTTTATAATACTTCATATGATTAGTGTTTTCTTCATAGTGTCAAGTGTCATCATTCATCTTTGTAAAGTTGTTAACTATTACAGCTTTATGTTTTGGACAGAGTCAACATTTTCATTCCTAGTTGAAAAATGGAAGGATAACATTCCTCATGGCTACATGCTTAAACGAACCTCAGTTGATCAGCCATTTGAAGAAGATATCTGCTGCTGCCACTTTAACTTTGTAAACTTAAGCAGCGACTCTGAGCTTGTCCTTAAGTTCCAATGGCTTATAGGAGAAAGAATACTCTCTAGCTTTTTACCTATTGCAGATGCTGTAGGCAAGGTACAGTGGTACTTGCCTATGAGTTTTGTTGATGTTTCTCTTGAGTTCCAGTATGTTAATCGTTTGTCGCCTGCAAACAATAAGGTTTACTGGCCAAAACACGATGATGTTGGCAAATTTCTGAAGGTCGAATGCACTCCAATTCTCAATGATGTTGAGTACCCTTGTGTTTTTGCTGTATCATCAGTTGTTGCCCCAGGTACATCTCTTGTAAAATGTCACATTAGTTAAACATTTCTATAGCTTCCCCTAAGTAGAAAGTTAGTATGCTAATTCACGTTTGTTCTCTACTTGTGTGTATAATACATTGAAGATATACATGGTTTTAAATATGAGGTGATTGACTGAACTTTTGAATTTTATTAATTTGTAGATACAATCTTTTGCCTTCTATACAACTGGATATATGGATTCCATACCTGATACATGGTTATATATGTTGCAAACAAAAAGATGGTATACAGGGAAAGAAAGTTCTTTTTTGCAAAGTTTGCATTTTTGAAATCTTGAACATATCAAGATAATTATTAAGAGTAAACACGGACCCTTTTGTTGCATATAAAGAAACATGCAACCATCTGATGTTGCTACAATACCAAAAAAATTGGAGTGCCAGATAATGAGACTAAATGACAGTTATAATATCAGTTCCTATGAGAAAAAGTCATGAAGCCTTTGCTTGTTTGGCTGTGCTGCAGTTCTTTTAATAATTGCTGGAACAACAGTTGAGTCTGTTCCATGATGATTTGACCGAATTGTTTACAGCGATTTTTCCTACTTGTATTTGGATAAGGAGGGTGACAGATTTTCTGTTGCTTATGAGTGCATCTGTATGAAATGACAGCTACATAACAATTCCTGCAGGATTGGGAGTTGAAAGGCCTTCAACCTCTTGGTTGTGTCAAAGTTCTTTCTTAACAACTGGTGAAAGGACAATTAAATATGTTTCAATTTATAATCTGGCTTAACATTAAACACCCCCAGTTTAGTTCCATTATAATTTGGCTTAATAAGTTTCAATTTATAATTTGGCTAAATTTATAATTGAGCTAACAAACGAGATTTATGCAGACTCACAGTGCAAAAGGGGAAATATAACATGTGTGATCTGGTCATGGATGTTTATGGTCATTTTTGAATTAAAATATTAAAACTCCTTGATGTCATTCTGTGAAAGAAAGTTCGAAAAACATCTTTGGTTTATCATTCAGTATTCATGAGACTTGAGAATAAATTTTAGGTTTGGTCTATTGTTTCAGTTAGAAGCCAATTTGCTGTTGAGATGAATACAGATGACGAGTCTTTTTCTTGCTGATGTTTGAATAGTTACAAGTCTCATTAGACACTTAGACCAAAAAAAAGTGTAAACCCATGCATCATCCTGAGGGTTTTTGGCTATTTGCCCTCCAGTGGAACAAAATTCTGCAAGAATATACCACTGTTGGTTTGCTGGAGACTGAAAAGCATTTGAATGTATGAGGGGATGCAAGGAAAATGAGATTATTCTAAGCTCTGGTTTTCTGGGTATTGGTTATAGACAAGTATAAGTGGCTACCACTTGATGATATTAGGGTAATTTACAAAAAGATCAATTTCTTAAGATGACAAATACAAAGTCCTGATTATATTTGAGTTTGCCAAAAAAAATTTCTTTTTCAAAATTTAAGGTTGTAGAGACATCTTATCGAAGATCTTCAAATGCCACTTCCCGTAATTCCTTCAAGGTAATCTTTTTAGACTGTTGTGGGTGATATCATTCCTTCAAAGTGCTATTCCAAAAGTGCATGCAATTTATGGTATGGCTACTATTGATGCCGCTTAAATTTTCTTTTGCTTTATGATTTATGAAGTTCTTATGGAGTCAGTAATAGGAGACAATCTTCTTGTATCATGAATTTTTAGTTCCTGAAGGAAGCTATGTGTGAGATTAACATGTTAATTTTATTAATAATTTCATGGTTTTCTTTTGTTGTCACATGCTGTAGTCATGACTCGTGATTCCTCTAATTGCAATTCCTTGGTTAGGAACCAGATATCCTAAAGTTTTAAATTTGACCGTGCATGGTGAGCTTGTGGAGGGAAATGTAATAAGAGGTACTGCTGAGGTTGCATGGTGTGGTGGAACCCCAGCTAAATGTGTAACAAGGTGCGTAGTCTACAGTACTATCAACAATTAGGTTGTTACAGTGCCTCGATCATCATTCTCATTTCTCACGTGTCCATGAATGCAACTTACACTGAAAAACTTATTCTCGAGCTTACTGAACAGCTGGTTGAGGCGAAGATGGAACAGCAGCCCTGTTGTAATAGTGGGAGCTGAAGATGAGGAGTACAAGTTAACTGTAGATGACATTGATTCGATTTTGATTTTCATGTACACTCCAGTTACAGAAGCTGGTGTCAAGGGAGAACCACAGTCTGCAATGACTGACTTTATAAAAGCAGGTATTGATTGCTATATGTGTTCCTGAGTTTTTTTTTTCTTTTGCCTTCTGTTCTGTTTGTGAATTGTGATTATATATTAGTGGACTGATAGCATAGAGTGCAATATTGTCATATTTTGTTATTTGTCATTATACACCATTGAGTTGTTGGAGTTATAGTTTTATATATTTGTTTTGCTTATGGCCGGGAAAATAAGCTACTTGCTAGTAGCAGTTGATAGCATGTTGTCCTAAGTTATGTGTACCAGCATATATTTTTTCACATTTGCATAACCTGCAATTGCAGTGGTTGTCTGCTTGCTAGGTTCCTGTTACAAGGGATAGTCGATGTATGAAAGAACCTATAATTATGGTTAGCAATTAAGATACCTTTTCAGTATTATATTGCCTTTTTGTTTTCTTATGGTTTTCTTGATTTATAGAAAAATCTTCAATTTATATTAAACATATCATCACAGTATTGTATGTTATAATTATTAGCAAGGTTCGCAATACCGTACCGTACCGATATTTTGATCTGGGCTCGGTACCGGTACGGTACGGTATACCGAGCGGTATACCCAGGTGTACCGAGTACTGTAGCACTGCAGTAGTGCTACAGTGCTACAGTGCCTCGGACCGGTAACAGTCGTTCCACGTATCGAAAACCTGTCGGACCGGTACGTACCGCCCGACTATGTGTACACACTTGATTGTCTGAAATGATGTTTGTCAGTGGATTTAAATGATTCAACTATTAAAATTTTATTTCTGCAGTGCTGACTATGTGTAACCACTTCTCGTTTGTTTTCAGCTGCCCCATCGGTCAATAATGTGTGGGTTCTAGGAGATGCCGTTGAAGGAAATACATTAAAAGGTGTTGGAGAATATTTCGGAGGAAAAGAAGGGCCTAGCAAGTTCAAGTGGTTAAGAGAGAGTAAAGATTCGAGGTATTTTTTTGCTTTTTTTTAACCTTTAAATTTGCATATTTTTCTTTCTTGAAGAAGGATTAACCAATTACTTTTTATTTTGACATTTGTAACCAAGGTATTACCTTGTTTTGGATAATTTGTGTTCTTAACATACATTCTGCCATTCTGGAAGCCAAGAATAATGGAATATTTGAGCTGATCGATTTTCTTCCTACTTAAATCATTCACTGATTTTGCTTTGAGTAAATAAAGAGATTCTTATACAAGTCAATTATGCAGAAGAATAGTGAAACTTAATGCCTCATTCAAAGAAACCACCCATACAAAAAAGATGGGTAATCACATCACCCATCTGTTATGGACCACCACTGGTGCTGTTGAAAATGTGTTGTACAGTTGCGATAGAATAGGGTTCTGACTGGATGCTAACCATTTGGGTGAGAAAAGGAACTCATTGCGAATGCATATCCAATTAGTATAAATATTTTCACTTGTGTAGCTTGTCGTTATTCATTTCCCTTAGCTACCAGTTTACTCATGTCCAGTTATAATTATCGGTTATATTACTGTATTGATGCCAATGCCCTGCATATGGTTGATATTCTTCCGTAGTAGCAGTTTGCTGCATACGACATGGTTTTAGCTGGTACTACTTTATGGTAGTCCACTATCCGCATGATGTGTTACCTGTTTATCATTTCATAAATTTTACTATTGTGATACAAGACATTACAAAAATATGAACCATTCTTCAACTTAGAAGCCAATCATCATGTAAATAGTTAATATGGGAAATGTTTCTATAAAAGAAGATGCATGAAGAGCCATATATTTTACAAACTCATATTCTGAACTTCCTGCTATTTATGAGGGCATCTTATCTTTATTGTTAAACCTACAGTTTCAGCTTCGCCTTTTTGTGACTGCTTGTGACAAAAAAGAATATAGGTTGTAGTTTAAGCATTATGCATGAAGAACATATATTGTACTAGTGACCGTAACTTCTTGCATTAACCAGGACACCTTATATTGTTTATTAAACGCGTAGTTTCATTTCATCAATCCTAGTGGCACTAAATGTGATTAGAAAAATACGTTGATATGGCCATTTAATACGTACTTTATCAGCACTACATGTATCTCTATAGCTGTGTTTGCTCATTGTTAACCTTATATTTGTTAGAATTTAGTACTTTTGTGTCATGTCCTGCTAATCTATAGTTAACTACACCTTTTCTCATGCATGCAATATATCAGTCCTCTGACCTGTGGAAAAGCTGTGTTGTTTTCTAACCCATGCAAAATACTAATTAAGCTTGTAAGTTGTAGTGTGCCATTAAATAATACACATTTCACTAATAGTTTCAGTTGAACGGTTCTGTAATCCTAGTTAGCGCCAACAAATGAACTATCAAGCTTGAACTACTTCTTTGAAGCTTCATTTTTAGCCAGCAATTTTATATTCTGTTTGGTTTGAATTGGACAGCATTTCTGAACTAGCATCTTCTGGTACCAATGAGTATTCCTTGACCAAAGAGGATATTGGGAGATGCTTAGTCTTTGTATATATTCCTGTTAACTTTGAAGGTATGTTAATGTATTATTCTCCTGCAACATGATTATTTTAGTTAATGAAACTATATTAATTTTTTTAGGTTTATTTTCTGTCATTTTCCAGGCCAGGAGGGACAATCATCATCTGCCACTTCAGAAATTGTAAAGCAAGGTATGATAAAAACCAAGGAATGCAATCTTGTACCAGACCATCATGCCGTTCCTAGGCCAGACCAGTACATACTACCGAATACCGATACTGGCATACCGACACTCAGTATGTCGGTATGTACAGACACTCTGTTGGAGGAGGGAGAGGATGGGAGGAAAAAGGAAGAGAAAGAAGTGGAAGAAGAGAAAAAAGAGGCATTGGAGGAAGAAGAAGGAAAAAGGAGGAGGTGGCATACTGGCAAAGAGATGGGTGGTGTGTGGTGGGTTGGCAGGTGGATAGGCGGCATGGGGAGGAGGATTGACAGCACCTGGTTCGCGGAGGAGGAGAAGAGGGCTAGTGACTTCCTTCACGAGCCCTAATGTTTTTTTTAGATGCACCAGACCGGACCTTCCGAAATGGGGGCAGTCGTCAACTCGTCATATTGTTTCATGCTTGGACTGATAAATACTGGTTGTACGGATCGTTTTGGATGAAACTGCAAACCAAACATTATATTTGTTAAATGTGTTGATAAACTTGTTAGCTTCTTCATATCAGTTTCTCACCTCACATTGTATCACTTTCTCCTGCAGCCCCTCCAAGGGTTACCAATTTGAAGATTGTTGGAGATATTAGAGAAGGAAGCAAGGTAACTGTTAGTGCTGTTGTTAATGGGGGAACTGAGGGATTTAGTAGAGTTCAATGGTTCAGAACAACTTCCCAGAAATTGGAAGGTGAAAATTGTCTTGAAGCAGTTAGTGCCTCCAAAGTTGCAAAAGTGAGATATCTTAAAGTATATTTTCAATGAGGCTAAGTTGTTTACTTTATCAAAGTTTATGATCTGCTATTCTGTTATTCATATAAACTATCACTTATGCTGATCTTTTTATAGTCATTTCGTATTCCACTTGGTGCTGTTGGGCACTACATTGTTGTGAAATTCACTCCTATGGCCCCTGATGGTGAAGCTGGTGAACCAACATATGCTATATCGGGAAAAGTAGTTGAGGGTAAGTTATGTTGGTCTCTCTGATTTCTTGATTCTCTTGAACACTTGATTTGTCACAAGCAAAGGACCATTTTGCTTACCGAGGCCATGAAGATCAGAATTTTCTCAGTATATCCATATCTAATCTATCTTTAAATATGAAGAAATTACTGTGATGATTGCAATTTCACAACCATGGCACTGGATGCCCTATCATTAATTATAGTTTAAAAAATAGAATAGTTTAGGCCGCTAAAGACTTGGTTTTTCTCCATCTTCAACTTACCCAGGAATGCTGTGAAGGTCAGACTATTCTAGTAATAGACTTCCAAATTTAGTGTCTACTTAAAGATATGAAAAAAATCACTGAGTGATGACTGCAATCTCAAAAGCATGATGCTGATGCCCTGGATGTTTTGTCTTCAATTTAGTTAAAAAAGTAAAATTAGTTAATGCCACTAAATGACATGGATTTTCTTCATCACCTATTATGATACCTAAAAATGACATTATTGTTTCGATATATTTTACCTTAAAGAGAAACTTCTGACTTGGAGTTCTATTTGAAGACTTTTTGTTTAGCATTTGTTGGTACTGCTGCCATTTGTTTCAGACCCTATCCTGGGTCAAACTCCTCCATTTGTTTATTGTCTTTAGACTTCTACAATTTCACACAATATCAAAATTTTATAAAAAAGTTTGAAGCATGAAGGTTTTGATATAAACACCACAATTGTAACCTATTAAAATTTATTTTAGAGGAATATGCACTGGCTCCTGTGGCTCACATTGGACTGCAGTTATATTAGTTAAGTAATTTCTTTAAGGTTTTTGAAATTTTGGTGTGGCATTAGGGTAAAGTTGAAGATGCGAGATGCAACAAAGAATTTGGGAGCAAATAAGGGTCACTGGAAGTACGTTGGGGTAAGGGATTCTTCTAGATCATTTGTATGCTTATAGTGAGATGGAAACTAGATTCATCCATGAAATAATTGATGAGGCTGGAAAGGTGGTGGCAACATGCATTGAGATGTCAACAAGGCAGGGAGGGAGGGAGACAGAGAGAGAGAGAGCAAGTAGGCATTGATAATGAGGATTGGGGGGTGTGCTAGATTTGTAAGGGAAGGGTTTTTGCTAGCAGTTGCTAAGAAGATCAATGTATAAGAAAGACATAGGTGCCAAATGAGTGGCCAAGTGCCATTGACCATTTAGACTCTGGGTGGGCATCTATATAGCTGCTTGATTGAGGTCATCTAATCAATAGCAGCAGATGCAAGCAATAACTAGTTCTTTTGCAGCCACTGCAACTACTGGACTTGCACTACAAGAGCAGTCATCTTTGTCATCTCTAGCTGAGGCAACAACAGAAGCTGTTGGCATTGTAGGAAACTTACGGAATAAAAAAAGTTCAAGAAGACTATCCTTTACCTTACTGATAGTTCAAGTTCACCACCATTTGTTCTTGGCCATCTGATTGCCATCAATAGGTATTGGGATGCCTGGGAATCTTATAGATTATATGAAAATAAGTTAACAAGTACACAGCCCATTAAAGAAATTGCCACTGTGCGATCCACTTACATTACATAAGTGACTACCGAGCCAGGTTGATTAGTTACAATCGAAGATATTAAGAATTTGTTTAGTATTCAGCCACCTAAAGCAATAATTGTTGAAGAAACTCGATGCCCTGTGTTCTAAGTGTCTTGGCGGGTGCTCGAATCATTTTCTAAAACAATGAAGATGATACTCACGTATAGTGGATTTTGGACCAGATGCTTGAGGAAAACCATATCGTACGAATAAGGATTCTGGCTAGTGAACATATGGCTCATTGGTATTACTATTCAAAATAAAATTAATTTACCTGAGACATGAAAACCTGACGTTGACTGTTAATTGAGCATTGAGGTGGACAAGTACCATTAACAAGAATTTAAACTTAATTCATATTTTCTTATCCCTCAATTGGTGTGTAGGTTCAGTATCGAACTTCAACTGCTTTGCTTTTAAAATAAACGTGTCAATGTCTCAGTCCATTGAATCTAGTTTTATCTGCTGTAGCATGGAGCTGAAAATTTCATATCTGAGTCCAGAAATGTTAGTTGCTATCTTTGCAGTTTGAAACTTTGAATTGTAATGTTTGTGCTATTTATATTATCGTATCTCCTACAATCTTCTTCTGTGCTTCATTGTTATTTTCAGTACTTAATTGAACTTACATTTCTTTTGCAGCTCTTCCACCGAGCCTAAATTTTCTGTCTGTAACTGGTGTTTTTTCTGAGGGTGAGATGTTGACAACATCATATAGTTATATTGGGGGCCATGAGGGTAAAAGTATCTTCAATTGGTATCTCCATGAAGTATGTCTTCTTCTGTTTCTTGTTAAAATTTCATGTTGTAATGGCTATGGCCAATAATCTGATTCAGATCAGTTTTATTTAGCCTTTGTTAAATTGCCTGGGTGTCACTTTCTATTTTAGAAAAAAGTTTGTGACTTTTGGATGTTGCAGAATGAAACCAGTAAAGGCGTGTTAATACCAGAGGCATCAGGATTGCTTCAGTATCGGATTACAAAAGATGCTATTGGCAAATATATTTCTATTAAATTCACTCCTGTAAGAGATGATGGAATCATTGGTGAGCCAAGAACTTTCTTAGGACAAGAACAAGTTCGTCCAGGTGTATATATTTCCTTTGATTTTATGAATTTTAATTGTGACGCGACATACCTAAGCATTTTTGTAGACATAATCCTTATGGATGTTCTTTTGTATATTGAGTATAATCTAAAAAGCATGGTAGAAGTAAATAGTTCATCTTATCCAAGCCAAAGAAATAAATATACCAATATCTCATTTGAACTAGCAAAACCTTAGTCATAGCAAATGTGCGGCTGAGCATTTAGTTGCAGAATAAAGAAAAAAAGGATAAGTGTTTATTATAATTTTTTTTTTAGTTGCTTTGTATCTTGAAAAAATATTTAGCAGTTGTAGACATTCTTCTAAAAAATTATGTACCCGTCTGAAAGTTGTATTTTTTTCCTTGCGTGCAACAAACAGATCTATTTGTAAACCAAATAATTATAGAAAACAATGCCCCTTGTACTAACTGTTTAACCAACAGGAAGTCCAAGAGTGCTTTCGCTATGGATAATTGGCAAGGCTGTTGAAGGAAACACATTGTGTGCTGACAAAAGATATTGGGGTGGAGAAGAAAGTGATTCTGTCGGGGGTTGCCAGTTTTTGTCTGTTCTTTCTAATTTTTGCAAAATGCCAATAGCTATTTCTGACTTCTGGTTGTCCAGTTCATTTTAACATTAAGCTCTTTCATTTTAATTAAGTTTTATGATCCATTTTTCAGACGAGTCCTGATGGTATTCAGCATGAAATCAAAAGTGCTACAACTACATCATATACCCTAAGAGTCAATGATATTGGCTTTCTAGTGTCTGTTTCATGTGAACCGGTTCGAAGTGACTGTGCTCATGGTCCTACAGTTCTTTCAGAATGTATTGGTCCCATTGTTCCTGGTATGTCTCTTCTTGCAATATCAAGCATGTATTGTTTCTTGAGATACAAATTTCTACATGCCCTGATTTTACATTGTAATATTACTCTTTAGACCTTGAGACTTGGAAGAATCAAACATTCTAGCTAAGTTTGCCATTTGCTTCATATTTTTGATAGATATTCTAGTAAGGACTTATTCCACCAAATTTCTTTTGTAGGACCACCATCTTGTCGATCACTTGAATTTCTTGGATCAATTATTGAAGGAAGCAGCTTGAGTTTTATCGCTGAGTATAATGGAGGGTGAGACCACATTAATGATGGTCAACTTTCAATGAATGTTTTTGTCAGTCTGATGACTAATTGCCTATTTACTTCAGTAAAAGAGGGACCTGCATACATGAATGGTTTAGGGTGAAGGATAATGGTGCAAAGGATAGAATTAGTGCTAATGGTGCGCTCATAAAATTTCTAAGCAATTTTCATCTTTTAAAATGTCACAAGACTTGATATGGGATAATCATGATACAACTTCTTCTCCAGATTACCTTGATTTGAGTATCGATGATGTTGGTGCATGCATTGAGCTTGTCTATACACCTGTAAGGAAGGATGGAGCAAGAGGATCTCCAAAGAGCATTATTTCAGATATCATAGTTCCTGGTAATTGCCTATTTGCATTGAAATTAATTAATTCAATCATGTCCATCTACATTGCTAATTAAATTATCAAACATCCTGTTCTCGATACTGTGCTTGCACCAATTTGGCATGCTGTGGAGTCTCTGCTGCAGACATGCTATATATGTAACTGTGGTATTGTCATCCACTTGACACCTTGCCAGCATGAATTTGTCCTAAAGCACGTCTGTGCTGCACATTATGCATATACAGAACCAGCCACGTACAAGTGTATGTGTGGCCAACATAGGTGCATGGTGAAAATACTTTAGTATTGGAAATCAATGGATTAATTTTATAACCGTATAAATATGGATCACACACAAATCAAATATTTGTTAAAAACTTAAGTTCATTAGCTTGGACATTGTTAAAATTTAATAGTAGCAGTAAATAGATCCTCTGTTGGATAAATTAAACTAATTTCTCATAGTACTGAATATTCATTAATTCTTTGGTGATCCTATGCACTATGCATTGCACCAAGATTCATCGTGCCACGGCATACTGCTCGGTATGAGCGGTATATACTAGTTTGACAAGCGATCGGTCTGGGCGGTACATATCGGTTTGTTGGTACGTCCCATCGTATCATGTGTCAATGCATTGCACAGTTTTTCTAACTACTGTAATGAGCATATGCCCCCCTTTTCAAGACCTTGTCTAGCCTTTTAATCTTCTACAATATTTTGGAAACAAAAGGAAGTTGAAAAGGGAAGTTAAATGGGAAAGTATATGGCATTAATAAGTGAGATTATAAATCTCATAGCTCATGGATTACAGATTTTTGTTTCCAAACTTTTGGAAGCAAAATATTTTTGCTCCGAAAAAGTTTAGAGAGAATGGAATTACTGCACTGCAACACAACATCAAAATAACTATCATTTTGATTTGTATAGAATCAGTGATTTCAATAGGCGCTCGGGCGCTCGCCTAGGCGCTCGGGCGAGGCGAGGCGAGGCGAGGCCCGAGCGCCTCGCTTCATGTCCAAGCGCCTCGCTTCAACGAGGCGTCGCCTAGGCGCTCGCCCGAGCCCAGGCGCCGGGCGCTTCGGGCGAGCGCCCAGGTTAAACCAGGCGACCGAACTAGTGTTTTACGTCTGGTTCGGTCTCCGGTGCTTTAGTTGGTTCAATCGAACCAACTAAATCACCGATAGGCTCCCTCTCACGATTTCCCCAGCTTCCCCAACCCTAACACTCGCGATTTTGCCGTCGAGATTTCTTCTCCGTTGTCGTTTCTCTCTGCTGCCGTTGCCACAATCGTCGCTCATCGTTGTTGTCGCCGCTCGCAACTCCTGCTCCCACTCCCACACCCGCTGCCGCTCGTAGCTCCCGCTCACGCTATCGCTCACCGCTCCCGCTCCCGCTGTCGTTGCCTTAGCAGCCTCGGTCTTCTCACACTCTTATCACTATACTGTTAACAGTATATTAACAGTTAACTGTATACTAATAATAGTATTTTTATTTATTAAATTAATAATATATTATTTTAATTTTAATAATATTAATTTTTATTTATTTAAAATTATTGTTAGGTTTCAGAATAAATGGCAAGTGTACAGAGCAACTCAATAGATTTGATGTAAAATTTTATTATTTTAATTTTTGAGACTTTTTATTAATATGAAATTGTGATTTTGTATTCGATTTTCTTAATTTAATAGCATATTTTTTATTTAAATAATTATATTATATATTTTTATATTTTAGCGCCTCGTTTCGCTCGGGCGAGCGCCTAGCACCTCGGCCGTTTTTGGACCTTGGCGCCTTTTGGCGCCTAGGGCTTTTTAAATCACTGTATAGAATATAAAAATAAATGAGCATGCTTTCTTTATTGTGATTTGTATAAAATATAAAAATAACTATTATATGATTGAGTCACTCAGTGTCACTTTTTGTCCATTACACAGCGGATCCAAAGGGCATTGAGCTTGTCCTACCAAGCTGCTGTGAGGATCAAGAAATTGTTCCCCTGAAGTCATACTATGGTGGGAAAGAGGGAACTGGGAAATATATTTGGTACAGAACCAAAGAGAAGATAGATGAGTCAGAACTTGTAAATATAGTTGGAGAAACCTTGTGAGTTGTTTGTTTTAAGTGATGTTTGTACTGTTTGGTTTCTTATGTGGGGTCTTTTATAGCAAAGATTACCTTTAATTGGATATTGAAATCTCCAAGCAGAACATACACACCCTCATTTGAAGATGTTGGTTGCTATTTAGCCCTATACTGGGTGCCTACACGGACGGATGGGAAACTGGGCAAGCCATTAGTCGCTTTTAGTAGTAATGTGGTCATGGCAGGTTGTCTTGATTTGCATGCATCTTGATAGTTTGGACTATTATTCTCTTTTTTGGCATCCTTTTTTCCTTATTTTTTGGATATAATTGAAATATGCAGCTCTTCCTTCTGTTTCGGAAGTATGTATAAAAGAGCTCAGTTCAGGTGTATATGCTGGAGAAGGAAAATATTATGGTGGGTATGAGGGATCAAGCTTGTATAGTTGGTACAGAGAAACTAAAGAAGGAACTATAGTTCTTATTACTGAAGCCAATTCCACCATTTATGAGGTTAAAGATTCAGATTACAACTGCCGTCTATTATTTGGGTAATTTCTTGCACGTTAATATATATTTGTTATTCTTTATTATTAATTTTATTACAATATTATTGACTGCTGTCACTAATTATACTATCAGTGCCAATTGTTATAGGTAATGATTTAACTTGGTATATAATATCAAGGTTTGCGATTTCGAATCGTACCGCCCGTACCGGGCAATACGTACCGGTCTGCCCGTGACGAGCGGTCCACTCGATATAACTCTGTATTAGATTGTTACCACTCGAAACAGGTCGGTTACTGCCTGCTACCGGGCGGTATCAGTTTGGTTGCAACGAGGCTGAGGGAGAAGCGTCGAAGAAGGAAGAAGGGGAGGGCGTTTGAAGAAGAGGGAGAATCGGGAGAACCTTGGCGCGAACTTGTTTCCACGCCCTTTCTCGATCTTGATCCGATGCCACCCTCCCTCAACGATCCCGATCCAAGAGGTAACGATAAGGAGAGTCGTAAAGAGGAGGATCTAGAGGCGCGGGGATCAGGGGAGGTGGCGGCTAAAGCAGCGAAAGAGGCGATCTCCTTCATCGCCTTGTCTGCGACTCTGTGGCCTTCGTCGTCAAAGGCCAGAGACGTTTGCGACCTTCGCTGCATTCTTCGCCGAAGGCTAGAGACGTTTGCGGCCTTCGACGTCTTTGTGCCTTCTTCACCGAATGCTGCAGATGAGGCGATAAGGAGAAGAGGAGCAGGCGACGTCGTCGAGGTTACGTACGCCTTTTCTTAATATTTTTAATATTATTGTTATATTTGTATATATTGATTTTTTATTTTTTTTATAATATATATATATATATACCATTCGGTATGCCATATCATATCGTACCGTGCAAATCTCGATACACCGGTATGGTACAAAATTTCGAACCTTGTATAGTATCTTTGATATCATTTATGTGGGAGTATCACTTTCTAGTTAAAGAATCTTGACTTTAGAACTTGTGGTGTGAAACGAAAATCTATGCATCTGCACTTGGTGCCTACTCAGATCAGTGTGTCAACCTGCCTAGTTTTTTAGTCACTATTTACTAAATTCAGGACTCTTGGCCACAGGATGTGCCATAAATGGCACAAAATGGTACGTGTCAACTGTCATAGCACCTTCAAACAGGCTTTTCACTTGTATTATCTTGTGCAAGTGTGTGTTCCCATTGGCAAAGCATATGTCAGTAAGACGTGGTTCAGGAAGCTACCATGAGGGCCCATTCAATTTCCTTCAGCAAATTCCTTTGTTTTGTGTTTATTAGTGCGATATATAAATTGTTTATAACTGACAATTCATCTGCCTGTTCTCGAGCAAAATGAAACTATTGACAATATTAAGACATCAAAAATAAAAGAATGGTTGGATGATACATGAAATGAAACAATGCAAAAATCATCCAATCATGCTTCACATTTATAAACGTGCATGGTCTGATGGAGGAAAATTTGTATATTCTAATATGAGGTGTCAGATGCAGCATCTTTAGCAGCCTACTTTACCATATAGTTCATGCAACAGATTGAAAAGCATGTAATGATAAGGGATCTATGAAAAAAGAAGATTTAACATTTCTGGCATATCCCTGGTTAGTGGTGACTGATTCCTTTTTTAATTTATTCTGGTAATCAGTTATGACAGAGGTACTCTGGGTCCAACTATTATCTGAGTTTCACTGGAGCTGAGAATGGTTGATCTGAAAATGTAACATCAAAGAAAGTTATACTTTATGTTTATGTTGCTTATGACTTTAATGTGGTTGGTGCCATCCATTTGTTTGTACTTTGTAGAAAATATATTAGTATTGCTTCTCTTCACTAATTTACTTTATTTGGTTATTGTTTCTTGCCAGTTACTTGAATAGATTTTTAATGATTTAATTTGTCATTTTATATGTATTTTAATTTGTTTATTTTAACTTAGCAGTGTATGCTTCAGATTCTCTCCTTTTATATTTTCGTTTAATCTTTGAATTTGTACAAAAAAAAATGACCTTCAAATGTTACTTGGCAGCTATATTCCTGTTCGTTTTGATGCACTTGTAGGAGAACTCAAGTTATCAGAACCAACTGATGTAATTCTCCCAGGTATATTTATGTTTTGTCAAATCCACTGTCTTTGGAGCAACTACAGTTGTCTGATTTTCAGATGCTTATTACTAGAGCTTGTCTGATTCGTATTCGCTGTTAATGAAATGAACTACAGAAGAAGTGAAACCTACAAATTCTCTAGTTAGTCTTGCTCTTAGCATATACATTTGTTTTCTCTTCTCTGACAGTGGTAATCATTGCCATGAAATTGTGCAATGGACAAGGTGTCTTTTAATCTAAGACTGTTGTTTACTCTGCAAGTCACAAATACCATCTGCCAGTGCTGTTGAAGTTCATTTTTCCCAAAATAGTAAATCTGGTCATGCTCTTCCTTCCCCGGTATGGACCGTTGCATGTTAGAAAGGAACTCTTACTATTTCCTCTCTGAGCTTAGATAACATTTATGCCCTCAGTGTTGAATCTCGGATTTTGATGATGAAATCAATTGGTAAATTATTTGATCTAATCCATGTGTTGAGATAAGTGTGCAGGAACAACTACGATAGCAGTAAGGCGTAAAGCAGATGATGGGCCGGAGTCGACGACTCGGACGATATACCGGGAGCTCGCCGAGAGTTCATCGTGAGATCACCGGAAGCACATTGGAAGACTCGTCGAAAGCTCATTGGGAGATCTCTGGAAGACTAGCCGACAGTTGGTCGGGAGTTCGCCGAAAGATCGCCGAGTGAAGAATCAATGTATCGGACCATACTTGCCTTAATCGTAGTTAGAACAATAATTAAATTTAATTTAGGAGGTAATCCCATCAACTCTGTTAGGGGCCAACTGGGCTCGAGTTGGGCTAGTTTGGGCCGGAGTCAAGGCACAACCAAGCTGCTGAATTCCTGGCCGGCGGTGGCACCGCTTGGAAAGCAGCACCCCAGGTGGTCTGGGCGGTGGTACCGCCAGCAGTTATTGCTGCCAGCGGTGGTACCGCCCAGACTGAGCGGTAGAACCACTCAGATTGAGCAGAAGTACCGCCCAGTGTCAGGTGTCAAGCGGTGGTACTGCCAGGATCCCGGAAATCCGAGATTGGACACTTTTTGGCTCTATTTTTGAAGCCATTGGGGCCTATAAAAACCCCACCCTTTTCTGCATGAAAGAGTACGAAAGCATTGAGATAATCTTGAGTTGTTGGGGTGTAAAAATGTTGTAAACAAGTGCTAGAGTTTTCCTCCCTTTCTAAGTTTTGAGATCATTCTAGAGAGGTGTGAGACTTGTAAGGGTTCTCTCCTAAACCTGTGAAAAGGAGAAAGCGCTATAAGAGGTGGTTAGTCTTCACCTATTGAAGGAAGGCCTTTAGTGGACGCTAGTGACCTCAACGGAGGAGGAATCCGAAAGTGGCTGTAGGTCATAAAGACCGAACCACTCTAAATTCTGGTTTGCTTTTCAATTTGTGCAAGTTTCATTATTGCAAGCTACATTACCTTCTTTCTGCCTTATCTACACTCATATTTGCTTTCAAGTTAAACTCCTTATGAAACGATTTTCGTTGGAATTGGTTCTAATCGAAACGTAGACTTTTGAAACCGTGAAAGTTTTCCGCTGCACTAATTCACCCCCCCCTCTTAGTACCGCTCTTGATCCTAACACTTAGTTGCTAACTTCAACTTTCGCTTGTAGTTGAAACAAAGGGATTTAAATTTGCTTGCATAAAACATTTTGGTACTGTCCTGGCAAGGGACATTAGAGGGCCTATACTAAGCATGTGCCTGTAGCTAGTAAAGGTTCAACTGGGACACCCTTGGCATAGCCTGAAGCTATGTCTTAGTGGCGTACTATCTAGTGAAAATTGGCATGGTTGCAAATGCAATTTTTAATGGAACAACACATTCATTCGGATATGGTACCGCTTATATGGGGTGTCAACGCGAGTCTTATATCTTTTACCAGCCCGGTGGTGTGTGTTAATTAGTGCCACATAAGGGTTATGGCTGAAGAAGGCCTATTTCTCGTCGACAACACAGAGGAAAGTCGAACCGATGATTCCTCCTCTCTCCTTACCCTTATGAAAAATAGGTAGACCTCTTCCTCAATTCTCAACTTTTAGATGGAGAACCTAACAAATATCTAATTTTCAGCTTTAGATGCTGCACATATTTTTAAGTTGTTAAATTGCACTTGTCAATGAAAGATTGAAGCACATGTTTTTGTGGTTCAGAAACATTAATATCAAGCATTGCTGAATAGTATTAGTTGTTTCTTGCACATTTCATTAGAATAATACTAGGCTACCCCTTGAATGGGAGAGCCTCAAATAATAGGCACTTGCAATTATATGGTTCATATCTTTACATAAAAGACTCTTTGTGAGGGTCTGTTTGGTGTTAGTATCTAGTTTGCAGCTTATTTATTCTAGAAAGTCTAAACTATTGTCATTGTTATATTGAAACTTTTGTGTATGTTTCGGCACAGACATTATTGCACATACATAACATTTTATTGTTTTTTCGTTCGCATTCTTTAAACTATGCCCTTATTATGTTCATCTTCAACTCATAGTAAATATTTTGTTGCTTTCCTCCAGAGATTCCAAAATTTGATATGCTTTCTTTTAAAGGAAAGGAAGTTGAAGGAGAAATGATTACAGTTGTTGAACTAATTCCTAAAAGTGATATTCAGCAGCATGTTTGGAACAAGTACAAGAAAGAGATTAAGTACCAATGGTAATATTCAGGTTAAGTTACTTTTACCAAAATTTCCACATCTATTGTTTAATGATAATCTTGGAGAACAGGTTTTATTCATTAGGAGATGGAGAGCATCCGTCCTTTGAACCATTGCCATCTCAGCTTTCTTGTTCATATAAAGTGCGGTTTGAGGATATAGGCCGAAGTTTGAAATGTGAATGCACCGTCACAGATGTGTTCGGAAGATCAAGTAATACTGTGTCGGCACAAACTTCTGCTGTATTGCCAGGTCTTCTTCATCACCTTGCCACTTGGTTTTAGTTGGAACTGGGCCCTAAATATTGAACTTATAACAACAGTAAGCTTGTTGCCTTTTTTGCTTGCAAGATATGAGTAATTGCTGGTATTTTATGCCAACTGCTTTTCATCATGATGCCATTCTCCTAAGTTCTCTAGAAATACTTTATCAAGTGGCAAATAATTATGCAACCTTTTCTGAGTAACAATATTTGTTTGCTTATATAAAACACATTTGTCCTGAAGAACATCATAATGCTGGTGTGGAGCACTTGTTTTATTGAAATTCTTTTACGTGTAGATTTTTACCATACAGAACTTAATTACTGAAAACAAAGTATCAACTAAGCTAATTCTCCAGTTCTTTAGTCATATTCAGAATCTCCTGATAAGATGCGCTACATTTTAAATCACTTGTCTGCAAAATGACAACTTTTGCTGCTTTTAGGAATTCCTAAAATTGATAAACTGGAGATTGAAGGAAGGGGCTACCACACAAATTTGTTCGCTGTTCGAGGTATCTATAGTGGTGGTAAAGAAGGCAAGAGCAGAATCCAGTGGCTTAGATCAATGGTTGGAAGCCCTGATTTAATCTCAATACCTGGTATAACAGACTTGCTACTCAAATAACTTCAGTTTCCATTTGTGGAAAATGGAAGCTAGTTAACTGTGTCATCTACTCTTAGCTCTTGCCACTTTAGTTTTTATTTTATATTATGCACTAAATTTTCTTATTAATCTTGCTGCATTTATATTCTTGTTATCAGATGAAAATATGTTCTGCATAACATGGAGTTCAGCTACATTTGGATGGACAGTGGAATTTTAAACTCATCAAATTTGCCTGCTATGTCCATCCTTATTTTAGAATATTGTACATAACCAGTGTCATTGCATGATTTAAGCAACAAGTCTTCTCTCATATAGAAGAGTGGCCTAGTGGGCAGTTCATGTACTTTTAATATATTATATACCCTCGATCTGACTTCAATTATGTATATTTTGGAAGGTTGTGGGTTGATCACCTGATGTTTTCCTGCAGATGCATTTTGGTTTCTTTGTGTTTGTGCACACATGCACGTGAGGTCTGAGAAAGAAACTCAGAAGCAGACAAAATTCTTCTTTAGTACTTTTTTTCTTGGTTCAAACATCTTAAATGTGGCTCTAGTTTTTTTTTTTGCCTCCTCCAATAGTTGAGTTTATCCTCCTCCTTCCTCTCGCACTTACTCCTCACCTCTGGTTATTGTCATTTGTTTTCATTTATCGCCAGAAATAAGCTGAGTAAGCTCTCCTCTCCTCACTCTTGTCATCATGTGGGGTTTTTGTTTCTATTTTCTTTGCTACTCTTTCTTATTTTTCCTATTCTCTGATTTGTCAGAGAGAGGGTCAATGTGACAGGATCTGTCCCGTTCATAGTAGTCTTCTCTGTGTGTTTTTTCTGTAAATTTTTTTTTTTGCTTTCTATTCAACCTGCACATACTTGGCATGCCAGCATGGCACAATATGAACTGTTCAACAGCTGGCTGGCAAACCCATGCTTCTGGAACTCAAATTTTTGTATATGGAAAATCTGGAACATAAATGTCTAGTTGGTTTACTTCATGAATCCTAACATGTCATTGGTAGATAGAATGAAGTAACTTATTATAGGGAAACTTTTAGACAAGAAAATTGGAATGCTACGTGTCAGAACATGAATGTAGTCAGCTGGTTCCAACTGCCAGTAAATATTTCTTTTTTTGTCATTACAGGCGAGACTAGTAGGATGTACGAAGCTAATGTCGATGATGTAGGATACAGATTGATAGCAGTTTATACGCCAATAAGAGAAGATGGAATGGAGGGACAAGCTGTATCTGCATCAATGGACCCAATTTCAGTTGGTATACCCCTTGCCTTAGATACTTGAGCATGAATGTGTTTTATTTCATTGCTCATCAGTATGATGATTTAGAGACTTCAACTATGGCTGCCTGAATATGTAAATGCTATAATGGCAAAACGCAAGCATTTCATCTAGTCCATTTGTTTGGTTGCCTACGTATAACTAGGGGTTGCATTGGTTGCTGTTACTTAAGTTTTCCAGGCTGCATTTCGATGTGGCTAAATTCCTTTCATGTGGAAATGTGGGCTACTTGCAGCTTGAGAGCCACTACTTCTGAAATTGCTTATGACCACTTTGACCCCTCTCATCGTCCTTCCTGAACACCAGTATCTTTTTTTCTCTCACCATTCTGTGGCCACTGCCCTTCTCCACCACCTAGCTTGAAGATGATCATATCTTCTGTGATCTATCCTGATCATCATATTCCATGAGATCATCTGTTCCCAGGACTCAATTGCGAATGCAAATTACCATATTTAGCTTTGGAAACTGTAATCACAAATGTAGGCAATTAAACTACTTAATTACATTAGCAAATATGCAAATGCTATATTAACTGTTGAATTCTATTTATAAATAATGTTTTTCTACTAGTTTATGTTTTACCTTCCTCATGTACCTCCCTTGAGAGATGAGTCCCATGTGGGGCCCGGCTCTCTGTCAAAACACATGGTAGGTACATGTTCTGGAAAACATGCTACTCTTTTGAGAGCACGGAATTGCCAAAGGCTTTCATGGTTGGTTACCGTAGACCTATCAAATCAATAATAATTTATTTAATTCATTCTGTTTATTGCCTCAATATTCAAAATATGCAAGAGAAGTTTTAGTTTTCTTCTGTGTGAATGCTGACAAATGCTTGATGTGGGCAATCAAGTGAATTGACTTTTTAAATAAGTTTGATCTATCAGTACCTATAATTTCTCTGACCGTTTGCTCTTTTTATTATTTTTAATGGCCTCTTTTGTCCATTTTCAGAGCCTGATATTTATAAGGAAGTGAAGCAGAAGTTGGAACTTGGATCTGTGAAATTTGAGGTACTGCTATGTTGCTGCTTAATTTTTTTTTTCCTTGTTCTATATTTTGTAGATCGGAAACCTTATTTTGAAACCAGATTTACCCTTGAACATCTCCTTGTGTTTTCTGGTTTTATTCTCAAATATTGCCTATTTACATATGCATACAAGGTATGCAATGTTGTCATGCCAGCAGATTCCTGTACATAGTACATTGAGTGCTTGACTGTGTACTTCAATCAAAAGTGCAGGCCAGAATCTTGACTTACCATGATGAGGCATGGCATGTGGCATGCATCATGCCAGGCAATACTAATGTACATGGGTGCTTATATCTGTAGCATAGAATTAGAATTTAGTATAGTAGCCAGAGATAAGGAATTCAAGCAACATGTTGACTACTGATACTGTGATTGCTATCTCATTGACTTATCCTGGAATATAATTTTTATCAAAACATATGAAATAACTTTAATCTTTCAAGATGATTACTGGAATAGGGGATTTGTTTATGAATTTGTTTTGTTATTATTATTATTATTATTATTATTATTATTATTGAATTGGGAAGTTGACAATCCATTTTACATTGGAAACAGGTATTATGTGACAAAGATCGATCTGCAAAAGAGGTAGTTTGATTCATTTTATGTTCCCTATCACAGACGACCATGCATCAAAAAGGATATTGGATGAGGTCTGCTAAAACCCCTTTTCTGTAATTTCATCACTTTAACAGGCTCCAGGTGTAGGGAATCTGGAGAGAAGAATTCTAGAAGTCAACAGGAAGAGGGTCAAGGTCATTAAACCTGGTTCTAAGACTTCTTTTCCAAACACTGAAATTCGTGGAACTTATACCCCGCCTTTTCATGTAAGCTATCTTGTTACCTCATAGAAGTGCAGATTGAGATTGTTGACATTGAGAAGCATGACAAGGTTTATTGATGAAGACTTGTAAGACTGTTAGAACATTAGGATATTGTTAAAATTTTATGATATGTTGTTTCAGTAGCTTCTAGTTGCGTAGCAGAAAGTGGCAGGGTGGGCTCGGTGTGCTTATATGAGTGTTGACATCTCATTGTACTTTTGCAGGTTGAACTGTATCGGAATGACCAACACCGATTCAAGATTGTAGTTGACAATGAGAATGAAATGGACTTGATGGTGCAAACTCGACATATGCGGGATGTCATTGTTCTTGTAATAAGAGGTTTTGCCCAGCGGTTCAACAGCACTTCTCTTAATTCACTTCTCAAGACAGAGACATGATGCATTTGGTATTAGAAGACGGGGCAGAAGAATGTGGAGGTGCCCTTCAGTATATCTTTTTGCAATGCACCATGAGGAGATTTTTTCTTTTTTTGCCTGAACTTGCTGGACGCCGGCCTTGGACGGGTTCTCAAATGTGATTGCCGATGCATGTTGTCCCGATCTTTGGTAGGGATGCAAAATGTCCAACCCCGAGGAAGCTGGACAAGCACTTTTTATCAATCATTCACCCATCGGCCTCATACTTTCGCTGGACTGCACTTGTTTGCTGTGAATTATGATGTGCCTTTGATGATATTTGTGCGTTTGATATGTCTACTACGATAAGACTGTTGTGAGGAATTTTTTGAGAGGTTTCTTCGAGGTATCCATACTACGCCTTTGAAGCACAATTCGTGTTTCATCCTATCTTGTACTGTTGTTTCTTATTATTCAAGTTGAGGCATGTCATTGCGAGGCCAAAATATCAATCTGGCAGGTGCAGTAGTGTATTTAATACTTAGTTATACTATTAAAAGTTGACCCAAATGTCATCAAAACTTAATATGTGAAAGTTGTCATTTCTTTGAACTTTTAGAGGATCGTAGCTCATGTTTTTTGGATTATTAATTAGGAACAGAATATTGAGATTGATTCGGTGTTTTGTTATCTATTTCCAGACATTGTTATGGCCTAACTTGTTTCTTTTTGCTTACACCGAGTCGAGGCAGTTTAGCTTTTAACGCATTGAACGAAATTAGTTGTCGGTAATAAACTAATGCCTTTAAAAAATTAATAATGTGAACTCTCTGTACGAATAAACAGGATAAATTTATTTATTCCATGTAATATTCTACGTTTGTTATTAATTCAGGCATTATATGCTCATAGGACACTCACCTCCACGTCCTGTACCAAAGTAGGGGCAGTTGAGAAGTATTCGTCTCAGGTAAGTCTTCAGAGCCCTACCAATGCTCACCAAGCTTTTACTGCACAATTTTTAATAATCCATAAAGCAGCGATATAGTGGTAAACAAGGAGAATGAAAGTGACCGAAGATAATGCATCTGAATACATTAAATGCATCATCAATGTTAAAAGGACATTTTTATGTTGTCTCAAAAAATGTGTTCCTAATCGAGAGTTCCTTGTGAGATCTTTAATACAATTGCTGTCTCCGGTGGTATAATTAAGCCCCCCATTGCTCTAAATAGTCTAATCCAAAATAAAGAAAGAAAATGTTCCACCATGTCAGATTTTCCCTACAGACAACAATCTCCCATAGGCAATCATTCAGCTTCCTACACAAGCATCTGCAGATTTGGCGAGTGCACACAATATCATCAGCCAATTTGGAAGATCTCACTCTGAAGCACCAGCTCTCCTCCTCCATACACCTGGTCTTCCGATTAGCATATACAACAACAATTGTTTGGAGTCACAACACCGTGGAACCAACAACGACCCAGTGAGTCCTGAGGTTGACTCCCAAGGGCCGTTGTTGGTTGTGAATCTGCATCACGTTAGCTATTCAAACATATCCACATTAATACTGAAACTAAAATTATAGTATCTCTGGTGAAGTTGCACCTGGAGAAAAGCTACATTGACCTGTCGATTCCTGTCAAGCTCGGACTATCTGCACATTTCACAAAAACCTTAGTTACTATGACAAAAGAGATAGTATGATATGTTTGAATTCAATTTCATAGAATTGGATGAATTAAACAAAAACTATGAAACATAGGTTGGACGACTCAATTGAAGCAAAAACTTCATATATGCACTGACAAAATAGTTACATGATACTTATGGCCAAAAAAGATATTACCAGGTCAGCTGTTTTTCTGTTTTTAATAGTCAACATTGCTGCCTCCGCAAAAGCCTGTGCTGCTTCTGCATCAGCTTCTGCAGCCTCTGCCTCCTTTGCTGCCTCTTCAGCTTGCGCCATGGCTGCTTCTGCCTCCGCAACAGCTTGAGCAGCAGCTGCAGCTGCCTCTTGTGCAGTCATATTTCGCATCCGTGCTAATTCAACATCTACTTGAGATCTCAAGAGGGGTGTGAAGTCATCAACTACAGATCCAGATGGCTCCCTTTGTCTTCCCTCATAAATAGAAATATTAGATGATTTTCCTTTCAGAAAAGCTGATGTTGGTGCTATTCTATACCTGCGCTTGACCTAAAAGGGCAAGTAGGTGAAAATTCTGGCCATTTAGACAAAAGGAGGAGTGACATGTATAGGCACTTCAAGGGCATGAACATGTATGCTAGCATACATAACAATTTTCTATTCAACAGCAATAAGCACATAAATTATCCATTAGCCAAAACTCCATAGTTTCACGACATTGCTAACACATAAATTTAACCAGGCAAAAAACTACTACCTTAATCAATCTCCCACTTGCAGTCAATGTCTTCAGCTTAGCTGATAATAATCGTGTAAAATCTGGAGGAGGCCAATATTGATCCTACATGAAGGTAGAGAGAAATCTATGATCAAATAAAACAAGAGGTATGCAATTATTAAACTTATTGTTTTAATCCAATGATTCTGTGAGTTTGAAAAATGTTCGGGTTCCTAGTCCCTATCAGTGTAAAGATAGCACCTGCACATAATATTTATATAATCAACATTTTTTTTATAAGATTGTATCGCATTTCCCTTTAAGAGAGCTAGGAGAATGGGATTTAGCCTCAGGATTGATACAAACCTCTATATACATCGCAATAGTTGTCTTGTTAGATCCAGTGGGTTCCTTCAAGTTCGTTATAGCTTCCAATATCAGATTGTCTATCCTACATACATGGTTAAGTAAAATATAAATTAGTATACATCAGTGACAACTAAAAAGAATAGCAGAAGGATCAAGATGCTGTTCTGATAGCGTTCTAGAACATGCTTCATCAGAATGAAATCAATGTTGAAAAATGGTTAGAATCTTATGTAGTTCAAATGCATAAAACTCCCTTATATTTTACCTAAAAAAAAAAGATATATTTACATTTAGAAGTCTTACTACTATCATCACCATTATTATGCAGAATTAAGAAAGACAATAAGGGTACATATAGATACGGGAAAGTCCATATCATCAAGTGTAGTGTTTGAATTGTTTTGTCACCATGGATCCTTGCAACTCTCATTAATCTTAGTATGTGTTGTTGTACTCATTGATCCTAACCATTCATTTTTCCATTTTCTAGTAATGAGATATATTTATAAAAGTATTTAGTGAAATACATAGGGAGGTCTAAGTATTTTAATTGGGGAAAGCAGTGTAGGGGAATGCATGCAGAGAACTAAATTCCAAGTTGGCGAGCAAATCTTCCAATATGCTATAAATGAAAATATGTGACAAGGTAAAATATTACAGCACATAGTCAAATCTACACCCTTTTAAGTAGAGAAGGGAATTCCAAAGTCACCAAACACGTTCCACGTTTGAGGTATATTAACGAGTAATGACTTCAACCTTTACTGTCAATTATCTACCTGTTTTCTATATATAAATATAAGACCATAAAAAGGGCACAATCCGTAACAAATATAAGTAAAACTTCATAACTACCGCATGATACACTAAATAAAAATGAAAATTAGAAAGAAAAAAAAAACATGAGGCAAATGTTGATCTAAATGGAAAAGAGACAGATGCTAACTTCAAAACAAGAAATAATGAAGCATTAGTATCACTAACCGTGAGAATGATCTTTTTTGACCAGTTACATGAATATTTTCACTACTCACAGCAATAGGCTTGATGTCAAGTATTTCATCATCACTATCTTCGATTGACGTGCTGACAGCCTTTGGGCTATTGTCATGCTTAACTATATGTTGGCTCCGTTTCATGGCTATTCTGGCCTTCTCTCGAGATCCCCACCCATTAGCAGTCACACTCAAATTCCGCCACTTATCCTGTCCATTGAAGATAAAACAAATGGAAAAAATAAAAATCATACCTTAAGAATTCACTTAGCAATTTAAATCTCATATTTATATCCTGTCTCGAGTTATTACATGACAGAAAGCACTATTTTCAAATATTTTACAGCAAAAAACCCGAAGAAGAAAACTAGGTTTTGTCTGATTAAACAATGTACAAGAAACTTTACCTTGAGGTCCACATTCGACCTCAGACATAATGTACCACTAAATTCTGGATCTTTCAATATTGTGCGCCATTTTCCAGCCCCATGCTTTCGAACTCCAGCTTTGAGAGCGGACTCCTCTTCGGCAGTCCATTTTTGCTTGGGTGCGCCCATTAACAAGAAACCAAAATCTTCTATAATGGCATTTGATAGCACACTATCCTGATCACATATCAGCAGCAGGATGTCCAAGTCAAACATCAAGAAACCAACAAAGAAGATGCACAAACTAAATCAAGTTCCACAATCAAATTGTGTGAAGCTTGATAAAAATCACATCATTTTCTAAAATGAGAGAAATCAATGACAAAAGTACAAAAACAAAATCAACCAGACTTCATCAGCTTCATGATGATCCATACATCTGCAACAAATTTCCATGCCCATGAATCCAACACCATTACTCCCACAAAGCACAGTTTTAACAGATATGACGAAAGAAACAAAAAAACAACCAAGTGAAATAGTAATGGAATGTACAAGTAATAACCGCACTACATACTCTCTAGGACTCCTTAGTTACAATGCAACCTTCCTACAAGCAGTAAAAAAAGCGCAAAGGTAAACATTTCTGCAAAATACAACAGCTCAGTGATAACATATAGCTCTTAAAACAAAGCAGCCATAATCATCAGATAACCTACATACAAGTACTTTAGAAAATCATTGAGAAGCAGACTACCGATAAGAGACAAAAAGGAAAGGAGAAACGATCAAATCACCATAACAAGCTCAGGAATCAAATTCTATCAAGCAGAAACAAACACCGAGCTAAAATTTTGAAAGGACAATAAGAAATTAAAAAAAAAAAACCCAACATCATAATCAATGAATAACTTATCAGATATTATCGTCGACAAGCACGTTACCAAATCTCGAAATCGGAGATGGAATAAGGTCAATCTTCCACAAGATTGTCAGTAAGCAAAACTAGAAGTCCCGATTCCATGTAAGGAAAGCGACCAACACAAACCCCGCAACAACTATCAACAAGAAAAAAGAATCCGGCAGACAATTCCGCAGTTAATTTCAAGCAGTTCGAAATCCAACGGAAAGCCCTAGTTCTCCCGAAGAACCCAAAATGAAGGTCCGAATTGAGACAATTGAACGGCAATCCAGCCAAATAAGTCACAGCAAAAAGAAGTACTCCGTGCAAAACAATAGGTCAACAATTCAAAGGAAACAAAACCCTAGATAGTTCGAGCACACCATCAAACCGAGAGAACTAAGAAAGACCAATTAGCAGCAGCGAACAACCTCCGGTCTTGGTCTTGGAATTGGCCATGGAGGAGATAATTGTGTAACCCTAACCCTCGATTAAAAATATATAGCCTCGTCTTCTCCCGAGTCTCTCTTCCAAGCGATCGGTGGCCATCAGTTGCAGATCGAAACCCAACCCAGAATTAACCGGACCAAGTTTAACCTAACCCTAACATGTTGGCTCTTCAATCCGCCCTGTAGATCGGATCAAATCTCACACACACACATATAATAATATATTAAAATCGTAATTATTAGATCGGATTGGATATAAAAATGTTGAATCGATGGCCAATTAATCGAATCAGCGTTTAATAACAAAATTACAAATATAATATAAATTACATCTTATCTTGAGATTTAAATATATAGATAAAAAATATAATATGTGTATTTCAAATATATATATATAAAAAGCAAACACGTTTCAAGAAGAAATAATGTAATAGAATTTTATTTTCTGAAAAATCTAATGTGATAAATTAAGAGTCTAGCAAATTTCATTCAAATCAGTCAAGAATATCTTTATGATCTGACAGACCCATTCGGTCCAGAATTTATAGGCATGATTGAAATCCAAAATAGGAAATTGTAGTGATCGAACCAAATCACTCGAACACTATCTTATCCACTTGGCTCAGGTTAACAAGAGGCTGCCATTTCAGCACCAAGAATCTAAGGTTTATCCATGGTGGCTACCTGAGTCCACAAGGTTGACACTCCAAGATCTCCACCTCATGTTTTAAGGTCCTGATGAATGCGTGACAGCCGAGGAAGCAGCTTGATCCCTGCGGTGCAAGACAAGCCATGGCCTCCAAGCTCGCCTCTCCGGCTGCAGCCATGACCGCCCTCCCACAGTTCAGCGGCCTCAAGGTCCAGCCATCCATGGTGAGCGGGTCCACAAGCACTGGTTCTGTTCTTTTCTCGACTGCATTTCTTATTCTGCACTCGTGTTCTTGGTAGGTGATGCTGCCTCAACTCAAGCAGCGTGGGCGGGGAGCTTTGGGCGCTCGCTGTGACTTCATCGGCTCTCCGACCAACATCGTGAGCTCCAACTTCATGCATATCTCGCACTATAGATGGATTTGGCACATGCACGGACGTTGGAGAATGCAGATGAGACGATTGTGTAAATGACTGTGATGTTTGTGTTTGGCAGATAATGGTGACGAGCACGAGCTTGATGTTGTTCGCCGGGAGGTTCGGGCTGGCACCGTCGGCGAACAGGAAGGCCACGGCGGGGCTGAAGCTGGAGGTCCGCGACTCCGGGCTGCAGACCGGCGACCCCGCCGGATTCACCTTGGCGGACACCTTGGCTTGCGGCGTCGTCGGCCACATCATCGGCGTCGGCGTCGTGTTAGGCCTCAAGAACCTGGGCGCCCTATGAGAGAAGCGACTTTGTCATGCCTCTCTGTCAATGCCACTCTTTGTCGTGCAACATGTGAAGCCTTCTTCTTCTTCTTCTTCTTCTCGCGGTTCAATTCAGTCAGACGTTCTATTCCTCTTTGTTGTGAACCTGAAATACAGAAGTATCATCTAAATCCCATTCGTTTCACTTTGGACATTTAACTTTCAACCATCAGTCTGTGAATACACTCTAATTCTTGTTGCCTATTTTTATTCAATAATTCAATTTAATAAACAAAGTTTTATGATTGTATAGATACAATATAAATGCAAGAATGAGTAAACAAAACTCACTCTCATAATACTGGCATTTCATAGGCTCGAAACACAAGTGGAGACCAACCAAACGGTTCCGTATGTGTCACAAAGATTGAGCTGAAATCAAGAAACAGTTTCCCCGTTGACTTGTCCTCTCCCATTCCCCGGTGGTGCGCACGTGATCCACGCCCTCTCGTGGTCTCCGCGCTGTACCGCACCCAACGAAAGGAAAGGGTGCACTTTGTGGCCTTGTTAATTCTCGAAAAAGAGGGTGCATTTTGGCCACCCGTCTCTAAACAACCAGCGGTATCACCAATATGGTATTTGCGGACTAGCTGGGGCCCATGTCGAATAACTCAGGTACGCGTTGGGTGAGGAAAAAAAATCCACAAACAAAAAGAAAAGCGATAAGACTTTTGTACACGCGCGTGACCGACTTGCCGCCCTTACCTTCTTAAGGAAGGAGTCAGCCTCTCGAGCTCCAAGTGGGTCCCAGAGACGCTCCAATCGCGACGAAGGAAGGTGACTGCCTAATTACCATTTGTTGTATCAACCGTTCTGAATATTAATTTAACACACACACACACACACGCAAAACCTTTTATTAAACGTATTTACGAAGGGGGCCAGTAAAACAACGTGTCAGTCAACGATTGCATCTTTGCCTGGGCAAGCCGCAAAACATCCATTCGGAAAAGCTTGTCCAATGACGTGGCTCGGTCGAATTGGTCTGTGAGAGTGGGACCCAAACCTGCCGTCATCGGCATACACCCGTAGCGCCGGATTTGCCTCACGGCCAATCATCGGCGAGCACCCAGCCAGCCAGCCAATCGCATCGTGCCACATCATCACGTAGATTAGGTAAGCGGGACCCTATCGGCCAACTCACCGCAGGTTGGCGGAGTACAGAAACTTCGTCGATCTGTTACTAAGCAACAAACATAATCCCACGTTTATTTCCTATTAAACAGCAACTTATGCCCGTTTGTTACGGCGCCGTTTCATTCTCATTTCGCTTGATTATTATTCGTTGGCATTAAAGAGAGAGGGAATAATATTAAAGGAAAGATAGATAACCTCTCCTTACTTTATGTTTCAGCGATACTTTTGTTTGCCGGTCTTATGATTGAAGTTAGATGTGGGACTCAGCTGCCAAAGGCGGGTAGGTGACATGAGTGTGTCATAAGCGGGTGAAAGAAAAAAACTAGACGTTCTTCACAGCCCACTTAACTTTTAATGTTTAAAACCCCTGCTTTAATTACGACCTTAATGGATAAATAACTTCCTAATCCCGTCTTCCTCCGTTAAATCCTTAGGGTTTGGTCACCCTTTTTTAACTCCTTTCCTCTTCTCCCTCCACTTCGATCGAATACCTACTCATTCCTCGAAGCCCCTCCTATGGGATCCCCGGAGGCAAAACTCTAACGGTCTTGATCTTAGCCCTCCGTCGATTCCCAGGGACTGGCAGCGGTGATGAAGCGGAGCAAGAGCGTGGAGTCACTCCACGGCCGGCGCTGGAGGCTCTCCCACCTTCTTCTCGTCGCCGCCGCACTCTACCTTTTCTTCATCGCCTTAAAGTTCCGCCACTTCCTGGAGGTTCCATACGTCGTCAGCGATGACGGCAGCGTCTCCGGAGGACTCGACCGGCCGCTCGATGGCGTCGCTGACGTCGGGCGGAGCTTGTTTGGGTCGGCATACCATGGCGGCGCCCACCAACGGAAGCTGGAGGATGGGCGGACCCTGGACGCTCCCCGGGTGCCCCACGGCAAGGACCCACTCGTACTCCGCGCCCGGCAGTCTCGTTCCTTTGACGAGGGCTACGGCCGGATCACCGGCGAGATAATGAAGCGGTACCTGCGGGGCGGGGGCCGGCAACGGAGGGGCAATTTCTCAGTGTTGGAGGGAATGGCGCAGGAGGCGTGGGCGCTGGGCCTCAAGGCTTGGGAGGAGCTGGAGAACTACCGTTCCGGGGCCGAAATGATCCCTGCCACAGTGGTCCAGATTAAGCCCGAGTCTTGCCCCTCGTCGATCACCGGGCCTGAGACGGTGGCAGAAAGTGAGCGAGCGATGTTTCTTCCCTGTGGATTGGCCGTAGGGTCATCGATCACGGTGGTCGGCACACCGCAAGATGCCCATCAGGAGTATGTGCCTCAGCTTGCGAGGTTGAGGCAGGGGAATGATACTGTGATGGTGTCACAGTTCGTGTTGGAGCTGCAGGGGCTTAAGTCGGCGGACAGTGAAGACCCGCCCAAGATTCTGCACTTGAATCCGAGGCTGAAGGGAGACTGGAGCCAGGTTCCCATCATCGAGCACAATACGTGCTACCGGATGCAGTGGAGCAAGGCTCTACGCTGCGATGGGGTGCCTTCTAAGGAGGATGAAGAAACAGGTAAAATTTTAATTCCAATCCCTTGTTTCATTGTTCTTTAATGCTTTGTTATTTTGGTAGTACAGGTTATTTTGTTAGAAACACTTGCTGCAAAACTATATTTCTGTGTCCAGTTCATGTGATTTTGACATTTGAAAATTGCATCATCTAGATAGTTTGAAAACTAATAATATTTAATGTGAACTTGATCACTAAGTTTTTACCCAAGTAAAAATGACAAATTGACCTGGTGGCCAAACTGCAATAGCTTTTGTTTGCTTTTTTATGGTGTCTGGTGTTGATTTGCTTTGTAGAATAAGTGGTCATGGGATTCTTTTGTGAATAACCTGGAAACGTTGTTGCTTTATCTGCAATTCTTACATTATTAAACAGAAGTATGAATTTTTATGTGGAATCTTTAGGCAACTATGAATAGTGCAACTGAGAATGATTTTTTACATTATAATTTGACGTAATTGTTTTAGACTAAGCCTCATGCAAATTTAAGATTCTGCATTTACTTCAAGTGAAATGTATACAAAAGCCATCATAATCTGTTCAAATTCTTTGTTTTATTACCTTCAGGAACAGCTCTTGTTGTTATTTCTAGTCCATTCCAAAAATTTCTTGATGTCCATCGTTTCTAGTCCCTCTTTGTTTTCCATTTTATTATATATATATTTCCATTGCATTGCATCCAGATTGAACTGTTATCGTTGGATATGTTTCTTTTAATTTCAGGGTAACATGTTTCTGCTAAGTCTACACTGTTGACTTATTCTTTTGTAGTTGATGGTTTTATCAAATGTGAGAAGTGGGAGCATGTTGATTCTGTTGATTCAAAGGAGACAAAGACCACTTCATGGTTGAAGCGATTCGTTGGTCGTGCAAAGAAGCCAGAAATGACATGGCCTTTTCCATTTGCTGAAGGCAAGCTGTTTGTTCTGACAATTCAGGCCGGTGTCGAAGGATATCACATTTATGTAGGGGGGCGGCATGTATCTTCTTTCCCATATCGAATGGTGTGTAGTTTGCATCTTTCTTTTTTATATTTAAAGTTGATAACCCACATTTGTGGCATTTTGACAAGCAATTTGAAGGAATTGATCATTTAAATTGTTTTGTTTTCTGGTCCTGGCTAGGACCAGATGCTATATGCATTCAACTTTTGAGACTTGAAGCCTGTTTATATTCACTGATATTTGTGAATGTCCTTTGCAGGGATTTACCCTTGAAGATGCAACAGGTTTAACAATTAAGGGAGATGTGGACATACACTCAGTATATGCTACTTCTCTTCCAACTTCTCACCCCAGTTTCTCAGCTCAACATGTACTGGAGATGTCAGAAAGATGGAAATCCCCTCCTCTGCCACAAAATCCTGTTCAACTTTTTGTTGGTATTATATCAGCTACAGGTCATTTTGCTGAGCGCATGGCTGTTCGGAAAACGTGGATGCAGTATCCTGCACTGCACTCGTCAAGTGCAATAGCCCATTTCTTTGTTGCACTGGTAATTTTTGTTTGTTTGATTTTTTTCATATTTTGCTTACTTCTTTCATTTGCAAACAAACATATTATACAAATTTTTATGCTAAATCAAAACAATAGTCACAAAAGTCTAGAAGTCTTTGTTTAGAGAATCATGTATAAACTTGGATCCTGATGAGCACCAACTGCAAGATGAAAAAATTCATGGACTTTTTCATGTATTCCAATCTAAATAAAATGTAGATGTTAGATATAAAGCACAAGCATTCTATGTATGTTCTATTAGGGAATATTTAACTACAATTGGGATTAGTACCAAATAACATTGTGCTACATGGATATGATTTAGTGGGTTAACTGGGTATCTTTGCTGCTATTAAGTCCATGCATTCTGAGCTCCAAGTGATGAACCAGACTTATCGTTGTTCTAGCGACACTTCAATCACAAAACGAGACAGTTAAGATGATGAATGCAAGTGTTCAGTGCTTGTAGACTTTGTCATCTACAACATGAAGTTTTCTTTATTTTTTCATGAAATTGGTATGGCACCACCATTCTTTAGTGCGCCAACTCTGTACAAGCAACCACGCCTGATTTCATAATGATATTTAGTAAACTAGAAGCCTGCATCAGTTTCTAAGCCTCCGATGCTGGATCTTTGTGCTAATTTGCAAGAATTATGACTGAACTGCTATTTCATTTGTAAACTTACTATAACAAAATTTTAATCTGAAGAAACAAAGAAATTTTTTGTATAACAGTACTAGTCATATGCAAATTAGTTTATAGCAACACACTCGGTAAAGTTTCCTCGCTTAGTGAAGATATAAGAAATTAAGTGAATGGTTGACGTAATATGACATTTCTGTTGAAATTATTAGTCCAGCCACTGATTTATAGCAACACGAAAAATTGCATTTTCAGAGTCCAAAGAAGGAGCTAAATGCAGCATTGAAGAGAGAGGCGGAGTATTTTAAAGATATTGTGATTTTGCCATTCATGGATCATTATGATTTAGTGGTTCTTAAAACGATTGCAATTTGTGAGTTTGGGGTAAGTTTATCATGATATTTCTTGGCATCCTGATTTATGCAGTTTGCTTATAGAACACAGTTCATCACATGTATTAACTTGGCCATCTTTATCCTGTAGGTTCACAATTTGACTGCAGCATATATTATGAAATGTGATGATGATACATTTGTTAGGGTGGATGTAATACTGAGAATGATCGAAACAGATGCTTCTAATTCATCTCTTTATATGGGTAATCTAAACGTCTTGCATAGACCACTCAGGAGTGGAAAATGGGCAGTCACATATGAGGTGGGTATACTACATAATATTTAATGCGTTTATAGGAATTCTTTTTATTAGTTGTGTAACTTCCTTTTTTATATTTTCTGTTGAGAGCATCATTGAAACTGATTCTTGTGTAACTTCCTCTTTCTTTTGATCCTCTTCAAATCATTAGATATGAGCATATCTATATTGTGTGGATGGTTTCTTGAAATAGGATTGGCTAGTTCCCCGAAATTGTTCTTCCCTTGGTTTACTTCGTTTGAAGTCTGTATAATCATAAATCTTATGCTTGGACATGTCCACATGTCTTTTACCACTGCCATTGTGCCTTATTTATATATATTAGGAAGTGCCTTAATAATGACATGATGATATTGTTTACAGGAATGGCCAGAAGAGATATATCCTCCATATGCTGATGGGCCTGGATACATAATCTCAAAGGACATCGCTAGATATGTTGTATCCCAACATGCCAACCATAGCTTAAGAGTAAGCTTCTTGCAACCTTGAGAACCTAACATCTAGCATACATAAGATGTCTTGGTGCCTTAGCTTTATGCACTTGTGACACATATAATTTGCAGCTATTCAAGATGGAAGATGTAAGCATGGGTATGTGGGTTGAAGAGTTCAACACCACCACAACCACCACCATTCAGTATTCCCACAGCTGGAAGTTCTGCCAGTCTGGATGCATGGAAAACTATTTTACAGCACATTACCAGTCACCCAGGCAAATGATATGCTTATGGGAAAAATTGTCACACGGTCGAGCTCAGTGCTGCAACTTTAGATGACAAGGTGATGTTCACCATCTGATTTCTTATTGATTCTTCAGTGCAATTTTCTAGGGGGATATCAAATTTGGGTGATTCAAGATGGAAGATATAAGCATGGGTATGTGGGTTGAAGAGTTCAACACCACCACCATCACCACAGCTGGAAGCTCTGCCAGTATGGATGCATGGAAAACCATTTTACGGCACATTACCAGTCACCCAGGCAAATGATATGCTCATGGGAAAATTTGTCACACGGTCGAGCTCAGTGCTGCAACTTTAGATGACAAGGTGACGTTCAGTATCTGATTTCTTGTTGATTCTTCAGTGCTGATTCTTCAGTGCAATTTTTATGGGGGGGGGGGATACCAAATTTGGGTGTGATTTTGCTGGAACCACATTGCCCCCTAGTTGTAAAAGTAATGTAAATCTATTTTGATTTTTCAACAGATCCTCCACATTTAGTTTGTTACATAGGAAGCATAAAGATCAAACGAGGATCATTACATGACATAACTTTTCTGATAATTTCTTCCGTGCATATCTTCTTTCTTTCATTTGCATGCCCCTCCTTTCATGCAATTTGTCGGCAGTTTAATCTGATGTGATGAATTGTTTGTATGGCAACGAATTTATCTCATTCCAACTCGGAAGGTAATTGTTTGTGCAATACTTAAAAATATTAGAAAATGTCTGTTCTGAAACGAGAGAAGTCAGAAGCTGCTATGTTTCCTTGAAAACCTTGCAGAATATGCTGTGGAGAGCCATGCAAGCTAAACGAGACCCTTATGTGCTCTTCTTATTTCTCGATCAATTTTTTGATCAGTATATAACAATTACTAGACTCCTATCCCACTTCACAGTCACTTATCTACAAGTGGGGTTGACTGCTTATATTGGAATCCGAGTGTTCTTCTTCTTCTTCTCTACCAACTGCTTGAGCTCCTCATCGGTGCTCTTGAGCATGGTAGACAAGGGCAGGGTAAGCCCGCTGTGTCTCAGCTCCTGATGCCTGCGCTTGATCCTCTTCTCCAAGCTGAAAGCAAAGTACTGGGGGAAGTCCTTGAGGTCCTGCAAGCTCCTCCCCATCTGCCCGATCAAGTACTCGTACTTGGGCTTGAAGTTCCTGTCGATGCTGAAGGTGAACAGCCCCGGGCACCTTAGCACCATCCCCACCGCCTCCTCCCTCGACATGCCCAACCCCACCAGGTACTGCAGCTTGGGGATCAGGGTCTTCTCCACGCTGGAGACCAGAAGAACGGGGTCGTGGTAAGCGAGCGCGTTGGTGTCCGTGAAGCCCAGCCGCCGGAGGTAGTCGAGGGCGGGCTTGAGCTGGTCGCCGACGCTGGAGGCTAGCAGCCGGGGGCACTTGTTGATGACCCGCCGGAAGCCGGAGTCGGGGACGCCGAGGTCCCGGGAGATGAAGGCGAAGACGGGGCCGAGGTCGGCGCGGACGCTGGAAGTCAGGATCCGGGGGCACATGCCCAGGATGCGGCCCAGGTCCTTGTGGTGGATGCCCTTGGAGAGGAGGTAGGCGATGACGGAGTGGACGGAGTCGAGGCTGGCAGTGCGGAGCGCCGGGTTGAGCGAGAGGGCCCGGCCGGCGTCCACGCCCATCACCTCCAGGCTGAGGATCTTCTCCTTGACGTGAGTTGGAAGGCCCGGAATCGGGACGGCGAAGTCTTTACTGCTGCTGCTTGGAGCTGGGCTGAGCACCGACGGCTTTGCGGCTAACTGGGCGGCGGCGGCGGTGGTGGTGGGAAGGATAAGGGAGGAGGAAGCACAGAGGGAGTGGAGGAGAGGCATGTTGCAGTTGGAGCAAGACGGCACAAACTGTGGATGGATCACCATGTAACCTACCGCTCCATGGAGAAGGCAGTTGTTCCCCATCCGTCATCTGTTGAAGATTGGGAGACTACGTGGTGAAACGATGGAAGCTCATTGGTGGCTACGATTTTTACAGGTATCAATATCTGACACATAAACACAAACTGATGATGAATTTTAAGAAATATCATTTTGTAGTTACAGTTAGTACTTAATTTCAAAGTGGTTATTGTTTTGGTTAGCATAGGTTGATATGACCTTTTCAGACCGATGTAAGGGGGGAAATTAAGCGGAATATATAAACGTTATATTAAAATTTATAAGGGTGAATATTCTATTTCTAAACCTTGCAAGCGTAGATAAGGATTAAGAATAGACGAACTATGGACGGTCGAGATGACAGAGGTGAGTAACGATGGACGGTAGAGATGACAGAGGAGGTCCCAACAAAGCTGGTGGCGCGCTGTCCCGTTGGCTTGCTTCGCGGCATAAAGACGGCGTCTCTCGTTGCCATACGGCACAGAGAGGACGAGTCGTAAACTCACCGAACAGAGAGGACGCGAGGAGAGGAGGACAGGAGGAATGGGCGACGAGAGGTGTACTTCTTTCGATCTTTTTCCCTAGACATCCGTCGTCCGATCCCCTTTTCGCTCTGTCTTTCTTGTCGATCGATTTGCCTCACTTTGTCATGAGATCGATTCTCTCTTCTATTTATGATGTTAGGGTTCTTGTCGATCGATTTGCCTCATTTCGTCATGAGATCGATGCTCTCTTCTGTTTATAATGCTAGGTTCTTGGACCGGGTTCTTGTCGATCGATGATCACTTCGTCATGAGATCGATGCTATCTTCTGTATATATTGTTAGGGATTCTTATCGGGTTCTTAGGATGAGGAGGAGGAGGAGGAGGAGGAGAGCAAGGAATGGGCGACGAGGGGTACCCTTTCGATTCTCTCCCTAAAGATCTGTCTTCCGATCATTTAATCTCTTCTCTCCTTCTTACTTTACCTTCATCTCCGTCCGTGAGGGTTGCAATATTGATCGAGGTTCTTGTCGATCGATTTGCCTCATTTGTCATGAGATCAATGCTTTTCTGCCGCGTCTGTTTTTAGAGTTCTGAGATCTCGTTATTAATACGAGGAGGAGAGCGAGGAATGGGCGCAACGAGACGTATCCTTCTCTTGATCGTTCCCTTAGAGGTCCTCTTCTGATGCCCTAATCTCTTCTCTCTATTTCTTTCTTTGCCTTTATCATCATCCGTGTGAATTGCAATCTTGATCGGGGTTCTTGTCGATCGATTTGGTATCCATCTTTAGATATCTTCCCTAAAGATCCTTCTTCCGATGCTCTAATCTCTTCTCTCTTTCTTATTTTCTTTGCCTCCATCTACGTCTGTGAGGATTGAAAATCTTGATTAGGGTTCTTATCGAACTTGATTGCATACGGTTCTTATCGATCAATTTGCCTCATTCAAACGTGAGATCGAAGCTATCTTCCGCTTCTGTCGTTAGGTGATCTTAGGTCGGGTTCTTGGACTCTGTTTTATTTCCTTTATCATCGTCTGTGAGGATTGCGATCTTGATTAAGGTTCTTATCGATAGATGTACCTCATGTTGCCATCAGATTCGTTCTTCGGTTTCCTGTTGGTGGGTTATTAAAACGGGTTTGTGGATTGCCGTTGCTGGAGCAGTTTACATTGGGTTTTGCGTCTTCTTGATTGGATTGTACCCATATGTTTGAGGAATAGACTTGCGTTTTCCAGACTGAGTTGGAACGGAGTCGATCCGACTGGTAATGGAAACTGCTTATGTTAATCTTGATATGAACTTGATCTGATCGCTTCTCTCCATGTTTTGATGTACATAGATTTTTTGCTTAAGATGTTCTTGACAAATAGTTGAATGTTATCCAAGTACATATCTCTTTAATCACACCTGTATCCCATTTGCTATATCAAGATCCCTGTGAAAACGAGCTAGTAGAAACTTTTTAACCTCCAGTGGCTCTAGCTACCTATTTTACATCAACATCTGGAACAGCATAATTGCAATGCTTAATTATGATAATTGTATCGCCTCTATATAGTTATACACTTAGAGCTGTAGATTGATTGGCATACTTGATTCATTCCGGTGATAGAGAACCATGGTTCTCCCTCAGGCGAATGCTTTGAACTTTTTCATTAATCATGCTTCATATACTGCATTGGTGTGTGTTAGTTTTTTATTGTTTCCTTTGTAATCAAAGGATCAATAGGTGTCCAATGTATGACCAGCAAATGCAATTAGTTATGGTTGATAGAATCTATGATTAATGATTGGTAGCCGAAACTGGGTTTATGTCTCTGCAGTTGTTTGTTATCTTTTTCTTGTGGTTCTTGTTTGCCATTATAGGTAGTTTGTTATGAAATAAATGTGTTTCCTTTACTCCTCAGATGTATACTCCTTCCTTTTCTGTGTGATTAAAATACCTTAAGTACTTTACGTTTAGTGGTATAGCAGTCATACAATCATTTGCTTAAATGTTGCATAGGAGCTAATTTTGAATTATCTATTTTAGTGTTCCCCACTGGTCCCAATGCAATTTTGGAATTCATGATTGCTTTGTTATTGTATATCCAAATTCTGGCACATTCACATGCGCATGAAAACCAACAGTACTCACTTCTCTCACTTCGAATCATGTCACCATTTTGGACCCTTAAGCCAACTCCAACTGCCTCTCTTGCCTGGTCTGTCATCATCCATATGTGTGACCTAACTTGTTTCAATTTCAATAAGTGAATGGTTTGTAAATCTGGATCAAGTTGGGTTTGAATTTTTTAATTTGGTTCATGTGAATTAAATTTTTATTAGCCTATTCATATGGAACAGATCGCACTGGCGACAGGTAACTAAAATGTGCATTTAAAGAACAAAAAGGGATTCTTTATTAATTCTGGTCATTTTTGTTCGCAGTTTTTAACGAAACAAATGGTCCTCCATAAGATTTTGAATCTTTTCTGATATCATCATTCTTAGCTTTGGATATGAACCTGGCTATTATGTCTAGGTTTTAGTTTTAGCCACTTGGATTCAGTTGCTGATTGAGGCAATGTTGACTGTATGTTTCCATGTGTACCTATATCAAAGGTTGACATATATGCACAAATATCTTGCTTCAGCAATTTTCAATTCTTTTAATAAATTCCAAGATTCTCTTCTTGTGCTTATTTAACTAAAAATTGGTGTGGAATATGGATTTGATCTAGACAATCGCCAAAAATTGGCATCCGTATGTCTTAACCGGTGTGGGATTATGGATAAATTTGCATTCATAAGAAGGTTTCAAAAATTATTTACATCTTTAGCAAGATAAGGATTCAAAATTGCTGAAGGGTCAACTCAGAAAGAAAAGCTGTAGTGCATTGACAGAGAATTTGAAAAAGTTTGCATGTTGTGGGACTTTGACAGGCGTTTTGTGAGCTCCGTTATTGATTTTGCGCCTATACTTCTGATTGTTAGGTACTTCTCATAGTCTCCTCTATTTTATACTACTGCTGTTTGTGACCTCTTTTATATTTGTATATTTGTGTGTACATATATATATATATATATATATATGTACACACAAATATATATACATACATACATATGTACACACACATATGTACATATATACATGTATAAGTGTGTGTATATATATACATATACATACATATATATATATATATACATATATATATATATACACATACATATACATATATATATATACACATACTATCATTTTTAAAATTTCTATCTTATTCTTAAAAGTATTCATACTATCATTTTTTAAATTTCACCATCTAATCCTAGTCGTTTTTTTACTATCCTTTTTTATTTCTATAATAAATATCTAATATCGTCGATCTATTGATTCATCAAATTTTCACTTAGTATAACTTTATAATTCTTACAAATAACTTTATCTATCTTTCTAGTAAGAAAAAAGTCTATTTAAAATGAATATTTGCAAGATTACATGAAGTTGCAAAATCTAAAATTATACCATTATCTGAAATGAAGATATGAAGTTCTAAGTCTATTATACCTTTATATTTAAATCTATTCAAATCTTCTCTAATTATATTTTTTAATTATAAACATTCCTCGAATGATATCATCTAAGCCTTCTAAAAATTCTCTTTTGGATTGATCATCCAATCCAACTTGAGAGCATAAGTAATAATGACATCTAATATGTTTTATCCTTTTTAAAATATTAGAACTATAATTCTATCTCCAAATCTTTTTATATCTACAACATTATTCTTAATATTCTTATCAACAATAATTCTTATACTAATTCTGTGTTTAATTTCTTCAATATATCAAATTTTAAATCCAGTACTATTAATCTCTCTAGTTTTTTTTTCCTACTAACTAAATCTCTTGTAAGTAAATAATATTTATTATTCTTCTAGTCATAGTGTCTAACAATTATAATCCCCCCTAAAGAGTTTATATATTTCAAATTGCTTACCTAACTAATCCTTTATTCTTTGACTAACTTCAATGAGAGAACACATCCGCATGCCAATATGATGGGCCATTTTCAAACGATCTTTTAGTCTATCGTTTGTAACTTAAGACACCTAGGTGGTGAAAATATCTCGTGTCACTTTCGGGTAACGATCTAACTATATATCGAAATTGATTAAATTTTATATTCATGAGATCTGATATAATTTTATATTGATCATCAATGATAATATAATCAGATAATGACCTATTAAGATTGACTAACGTGACTAAACGTAATGTTATCTATAATCAACCATGCCTACTATCTAACTTGGCATCATTACTTTTTTACTTGAAGGGAAAAAAAAAAAAAGGACCAACACCTGATTGTTTAAAAGCCTAGCTATTATGTGAACAATCACGAGCTTGGACCAACACCTGGGTTCCAAATGGATACTGAATTTCAGCCAAGAGCTCGTGAATAGAAAACATCTTTGCCTACTTTTTTTTTTTCTTTTTTCTGTCGGAAAAAAAAACTACTAAAGAAATGACACTCTATCATATATCAATAAGTGATTCTACATGCTTGTCTACTAACAAATATCATTCCAAGAAACGAAAAAACATTCCATAGAGAACAACTTCCAAAAGTAGGTTTCATTGTACAAGAAAGCGTTCATACCTTTCTGGCACAGCTTGTTCTGGTCAACACACCCCCATATACTTGATGTCACGGGCCAAAATTTAGTCCAATCATATGCTGACACCTCCAACTCATGTTGTGTGATGTGTGCCGATGTCCTCCCAACAAGCTATGTTCCAAAATGTGCCGGTTAGTATGTAATCCTTAATAGTGGAATTACAGATAACAATCACAAATTCTTTTACTGATTGTGGTAATGCATGACCGGTGAACATGGTAATATGTATATTTGTTTTTTACTGATTGATCCTTTGTACATGTTAGAAACCTAAAACCAAAGATGTGGCTGACATTTATGATATGCTTATTTTGGCACATAAAGATATTGATGCAAAGTGTTAATCTGCCATCCGAAAGATAACCAGCTATGAAGTGTAAGACGAACCTTATTCATATTACACATGAACTTTGATAGCCCAGGAACTCCATTAAATTCGATTCTCCGGTCAATTTTTGCACCATGCGTACCTTCAAATCTCTACATGAATAATACATTTAACAGTAAGACACCAAATGACACAACATAGAGAACCAAAAATAAACAATTATCACCTTGAGCTGTATGACAAGCACATTGGGTGCTCGTGTATAAACATCTGCTTTCTGGCTACAGAGAGTTTCTTACGGCTGGCTGAAAAGGACGAAAACAGCGTCTACGTTTCAGTGACATCGCCTGTCATATGATGCAGAAAGAACAAAGAAAAGAATGGCTCGCTTACTTGCTGTACTTGAGGCTGAAAGAATCGAGCGAGGGCAGCCTTGCATGGGAGGTACTTCACCTGGCTGAGCAGGGCCCCCCCAAAGATCTCCTTCATCAACGGTGCTGGACCATGATCGCTCCTCCGCTTTAGGGTTACCACCGCTGATGCTTCGCTTGTGGGTCTTGAGGCAAGCGTTGTGGCAGCAGGAGCCGATAACGTAGCGGAGGAACTCGTGGGTGTCCTCCTGACGGCGCCACCAGAAGTGCTCAGCGAAGTCGGCGAGGCACTTGTGAATCTTGGACGGCGCGTCGAGCGGCCCATCAAGGCTGAGGGATCGAGCGATCTGCCGCTCGAGGATGCAGAAGGCGCACTCCTTCTCTCGATTCTCGAACGACGACTTTCCTACAAATTAACCCCCGACCGTTTCTCGATATTTCTACCAAGAAATAGGGCAAGAAATCAAGAAAAGAAGGGATCGAGGAGGTAGGGTTTACAGAGAGACGAGCGCCGAGAGGAGAGGTAGAACTGGGCGAGGGGCGGGGTGTCGGTGACGCTGTTGAGGTAGCAAGAGTTTCCGAGGTTCTTGAGGCCCTTCTCGTCCTCTTCACTGATGCCGCCGCTACGTCTTCGTGGTCTTCGATCGCTGCCGCTACGGCAAGAGAGGAAGAACAAGAGACGAAGAGGAGAGGGAGGCGGCGAGGACGAGACGGGAGGGGACCTCGGTGGAGCAAATGGGCAAGAAACATGGCGGTGCGGTTGTTTCGCTCTTTTCTACGAGTTGTTGGCCAAGAAACCAATTGCCAGAATGCCTTACCACGCGACTTTACATACGACCAGAATATGTAGCGTCATATCCTTCGGTCGCAATCTGAGTCGTAGCTTAAGTCGAGACATTAAGCAGCTGTTAACTATTACGCCGAACGGCCCGAGTAACAGAACCAGTACCAAGAAGAGTATATATACTAATACGGAAACACATATACCCAAAAAATTACCTGCACTGTGAGTGGTTCTATCGATGGCTCCCATGGGCCCTCAAACTCCCAGCCCAAGACGGGTAGGTTGGTGATCAAGCCAATTTCTCTAACAATTGTAACTGTTACATAGACTAACTCACAGTAAAAGCTATAAGTTAATTATTTGTAGGGTAATTAAACATTTGGAATTGGATTATATATATATATATATATATATATATAATTTAACTAATAATTATAAAAAATATTAAATTTGTCATGATTAAATATAGATTATATATTTTTTATTAAAGATAAATGATGAAGATAAAATTTGATAAGACTGATACAAGAATTTAAGTCATCAAATATGTATAAGTTAAACTACAAATTTGTTACAAACCTGATATGTCAAACAAACCCTTTTCCACCATAAACATATCAGGGGAGATAAAAAAAAGGAAAAAGAAGAAGAAGAAAAATAGCTCCTTTTGTCTTCTCTAAGTGGTAGAAATTAATAGGCCTCGTCATGCCCGCTGCAGCATGATCGGGAACAACAACAGTTTCTGCTTTTGACTGTATGGAGAGACATCATTCATTCTGGCCTTTCTCTTCTGAAGAAACCGCTGCAGCGATCGCTTCATCGAGAGCCCAGGATTAAGCATCTGTGGCATGGGTCGAGGAGATGGCGGCCGCGGCAGAGACGACGTGGAAGACTCCACGCTTTGTTGCTGCTGTTGCTGCTTCTGCTCGGTCACCATGTCGTCCATCTCCCTCTTCGCCATTGATATGAGAGCTTTTGCCTTCACGATACCAAATCAAGCGATCAGCAACCAACCAAGCAGTACTAAACGATCACAAAAAAAAAAGGAGTCTCTGAGCCGAAGGAAAGGAAAGAGAACAATCGACAAACCTGCATCTCCGTGGCATTGCACACGCAAACCCGGCCATCGTAGAAGATCGTCATCTGCTGCTGGTTTCTCAGCGGCGAGTCGACCCTACATGGACGTGCAGGAAAAGAATTAAGAGAGGAAACAAAGCCCGGTACGAGCAGAAGGAATCAACGGGATGGATCGAACGCAGTACCTGCTGAGTTTAGACGAGTCGGATCGATAGTTCCGGTGGCCATCCTCGCCGGTGCAAAGCGAAAGCCGGAGCTCAGGATCGCAGCCCATCTCCACTTCTGCCTTTCTCCTCCTCCTCCTCCTCCTCCTCTTCTTCTTCTTGCTGGTGATTTCGGTGGCGCTCCTCTTGGAAAAGTAAGAGTTTGGTGATTGCGGAGGGGCTGAGTAGGAGTTATATACGCGTTTTCCACAGGAGACGAGTGGACGGGAGGAGAACGTGGAGAATGAGGAGCTCGTGCATGAAACGTTTCTTCGTCGGCAGGCGATCCTATCGGCTGCCGTGAAAGACACACTCGACAACAGGATACTACCATATCCCCGTTAGATTTCGGTGTCGGCTGCCGTCTTTGCCACACAATTGTGGTACGCCATTGTTTTTCTCGTGCGGAACAGTGACGGGATGAGCAGCAGTTGGACCGAAGCCTACCCACCATCTATTTGCGGTGCACGTTTTTGTGGCTTTGGTTCCTTACGGTTCCGTGA